AATTTTGCATCTTGATGAACAATTTATTTGCTCAAAACTTGTTTGAATAAAAATATCTACAATTCTCTGTTTAATAATAGGAAAATGTGTTTTCAATTGAATGCTTTCCTGACTATACCAGAGATCGCCTAGCCCAATTTCAAACAATTTTTCTTTTATATTTGTTATACCCAGCTATTTATATTTTTTGTTTTTTTTCACATTCCTCAAGTAACATATTATAACAAGCTAAAAGAATACAATTTTCACTTTTTAACACCTTGAACCAGGATTTGATAATTCCAAGTAACCTTACTACCTTCAACGGGTATCTCCCTGTTTCATAATAAATCATTACAGAGTTTGTATTTTTTCTTACACCTAACACATATTTTAAATATTGCAAATGCACATTTTCTACATCTTTTGAATTATGAGCTTTTTAATTTTGACACCACCTTATATAAATTTTTACCATCTCCCTACTGTGGCCCTTCGTTTGATGAAATTAGTTGTTTGAACATATTTTATTGTTTAGATATTACAACAAAAGGATCGGACACAAGTTCTTAAAACTTAGAACGTCCTCTCCTTTATAACAATTAATTACACAAAATAATGTTAAAAAATTAAACTACACTGGAACCAAAGGTCAATATGATTATCTTACACAGGTTGTGCATGTACAAAATTGACTTGATGTAGTATGTACAAATGAATGAAATATATAAATTCAAAAACGACCAGATCTCTTAATAAACAATTGCACATTTAAAAATAAACTTTCATTTTCAGAAATGCTAATCGAATCATCTCCCCATAACAGTACGTGAGTGTCTACAATACGTAAATTAATCATTCTAAAAATAGCATTAAACAAATCGTTTCTTGGGACAGTGTATTTCGCACAAGAAAAAAAGTAATGATATGCGTCTTCTATTTTTCCACAAGTGCATAATGGACTGTCAATGATGTTGCACCTAAATAAATCTTTATTCAGAACGCAATTGTGTCTTAATCTAGTATGAATTACATTCCAATAACGAACACCAAAAGAAAAAAAAGCAGGAGTAGATGTTTTTTGAGAGTTTATACAATTTTTGAAGGAATCTATAGTAGTGGATTGTCTTGTTTCAAGAGGTAAAGAGTTCCATTCCCTTATTGCCATTGGGACAAAAGATGATTTATAAATATTTAATCTACACTTATAGGGATGCAATAATTTTGTGATTGTCTTGTTACGTAATTTGATTCGTGTGATCGAATGTTTGGAAATATTTCTTTCAGATACTCGGGTACCATATTATGAAAAATTTTGTACATAGTTGTTCTTACTTTGGACATTCTTCTAATAGCAAGTGGTTCCCATCCAGTTTCAAAATAGAGAGAATCTCGCGATGCTAAAGAAGTTAATCCAGTGACTATTCTTGCTGCTGCTAACTGTAATTTTTCTAGTTTTTCGGAATCTTGACTAGAACACCCACACCAAACTTCAGTTGCGTATTCTAACTGAGGTCTTATAAAAGTAGTATATAAAAGAGTTAAAGTTTTAGCACTTACCCTGAACTGCAATTTTTTAAGTAGACCTAATTTTTTATATGCATTGGCAACGATAGAATCAATGTACGCTGACCATGTAAGGTCGTGTGAAAGGAGAATACCTAAGTGGTTGTGTGATGATACAAAATCTAAATAACAGTCTTGAAATTTAAGCCTTGGCAGTTCGACATTTTTCTTAGTACTAAAAAAGATAGCTTTGGTTTTCGAAGGATTAAATTTCAATAGCCACTGTTTAGACCACTGTTCAAGTTGATTTAAATCATAATTCAATCCTACTTGAATATCATGTATATTTTCCGAACAGTTCTGTAAAGAATTATCATCAGCATACAACCTGCTTAAACTCGACATATTTTCAGCAACATCATTGACATATATCAAAAATAAAAGTGGTCCCAATACAGACCCCTGAGGGACTCCAGCATATAAAGGTTTAAAATTAGACATAGTATTCCTATGCAATACCCTTTGTGTCCTTAAATCTAAATAACTTTGAAACCATAGCAATAATTTATCGCTAACACCATAAGTTTGTAACTTAAATAGAAGACCTTTATGCCATACCCGATCAAATGCCTTAGACAAATCACAAAAAACCATACAACAGTGTTTTCCTTCATCTATAGCTTTAGCTATGTAATTGTATGTCTCAATAAGCTGATAAACAGTTGAATGACCTGGTAAAAAACCAACCTGATATTTATAAAAAAGATTGTTTGAATGAAAATAATTATAAACATATTTAAAAATGACTCGCTCCATAATTTTACCTACGCAGCTTAATAATGATACAGGTCTATAATTTGATAATAATGATGGGTCACCTTTTTTAAATAAAGGAAGTACATTAACTACTTTCCACTGTTTAGGAAATACACATTCTCTTAAAGATCTATTAAACAGAATACACAAGGGAAATGAGACGCTAAAAATAGTAGCTTTTAACATTTTATGACTAATATTGTCAGGTCCTATGGCCTTGTTCACAGGGAGAATAGAAATTATATCAATAATATCTTGCTGAACTATTTCAATACTATGAAAAATACTATTACACAATAAAGAAAAATCTGGTAATGCAGGTCCGACATCATGCGACGACGAAATCGAAGCAAAATAGTTGTTTAACGCCTCAACTTTGTCAATATCGCTATATGAAATATGCACATCGCCATTTTCTGTAATATCCTGCAGCGGTGGTATTTCGGACCTGACCTTTGTTTTGAAAACATCTTTTAATAGTTTCCAATAAATTTTTGAACTTTTGATACTTGCGTCAATAAGATTGGTCTCTATATTGTTATAATAGTTTGCCATCGCTACTTTTTTCATATTGTTAACTTTGTTACGTAGTTTTTTAAACTTATCCAAATCTGAATCTTTTTTTTGTTTTGTGGGCTTTATTTCTTGCGCGATTTCGCATAAGAACTGTTTTCCGCAGTGCGGAATCAAACCAGGGCTTATCTTTAGGCCTTATAGTTACTGTTTTTTCGGGAATGCATTGTTTTACATGGTTTAAAAAACTCGTTGAAAAATTACTCTCCGCCTGGTCTATATCTTTGGCGTCATTAATAAGCGTATTCCAATCTGTGTTGCGTATAAGTGTGTTTAGTGTTTCAAAATCCGCATTTTTGTATAGCCATATTTTCCTATCATATGATTGTTTTTGTATTGTATGTGATTTAAGATAGATGTATGTACCTTTGTGGTCGCTGAGAGAGTGTTCAACGTCTATTGTCCCATAGTCCGATACATCGTCGTGTAGATTTTCACTGACAAGAATTGGGTCTATGAGAGATTTCGTGTTTTTCGTGACTCTAGTTGCGTCGCATACTGTGTTTTGAAAGGAGTATTTTAAGAGAATTTCATTGACTACATGTGTGATTTGGAGATTTAGAAGGTTTACATTTAAGTCACCTAAGATTGAAATTCTATCGGATATATCAACAGCCTTTTCAAGGGACCATTCAAACTTTTTCCAAAATGAATTATCGGAGTTAGGAGGACGATACACACAACAGAGGAGAATATTGCAGGTAGGATCGCTGATTTCTACCCATATACATTCAAGGTTCAAAGGTTCAAGATCAGGGCGTCTATTAACGCGCAACGAGTCAGATGGATATATAATTACACCGCCCCCATGTGAGTTTCTATCTTTCCGGAAAATTGAGTTGAATCCGTCAATGGAAATATCTTCGTTTAAAATGTTAACATCGAGATGGGTTTCAGTGAAACATAAAATATCAAAATCTGAAACAATGCTCAGAAACTTATCAAACTTGTTTCTTATACTCCTTACATTTAAATGAAAAATGTCCAGTGTGGATTGGGTAATTTGAGATGGCCCCGGATTTGTCTCTATGTCACCTGACAACAATTAATATAAGTAAGTACATAATTTGTAACACATAATTCAAAAAATAAATAACTTCTATCGCGCCTATTGACAGTAAACATTTGGTATTTTTTAAAATATACTTCAGACACTCAATCAAAAAATTATTAAATCGTAGTACAGAAAATAGCAGTGATTTTGATGTACATCTACATTTACAATAGAAAAGTCCAATTGCGGCTCGATATTGTTCAATTGTATTACCCATTGTCAAGAGATAAAGAGAAGTGTTGAGCTTTGTTTGAATCAGCCGCAAGGAGATACCGGTATATGATAAATAAACATGCACAATTTTTTTTTTTTGACCTTTGATTATAAGTAAAAACGAAAAAACATTGAGAAAAAGTTTCAGTAAAAAGAAAACAAAAAACAAAAAAGAATGGTACGAGTCACAAGGCAACATAAAAGGCCTGTTGACAGATACTCGGTTCATTGTTGAAAAAATTATGTACATTGATACATATACTGCTACGTATAAGAGCAGCATGATTATGACAGTTAGAAGGAAAAATATAAGGGGAACAATTTATAACATATCATGCATTAATAATTTACGAAATCTTTCTTACATTAAGAATGCAATTTTTTTTTTATGCTTTAAGAATACATTTTATAAAGAAATACATTAACAGCAGATAAAAAAAAACTGTATCTACCAAAAAGAGAAAAAAAAACCCAAAACAAAAACAGAACCGCACAAGTATTTATCATTTTAATACTCAGATCCTGAGATGAAATTAGTCTATTGGTTCCAGCTAGAAGTCAATCCCCTATGCAGAGTTGCCCTTTGTTCCTCTCATAAATTAAATTAGCCCCAGATCTGAAAAACTGGGATGGAGACCAAATCGGTCTGGCAATTATTTGTTTTTTTAACGGAGAGCTACACTTCTGAAGTAAAATTAAATTATAATAATACATAAAGAAAGACAATCGCCTTACAAACAGATGAAAAATCACAGACAGATAAAGAGAACAAACATATTTTGCACCAAGTTTATTAAAAAAAAAAAACAACATAAAATCTTATATATAAATATAATATCATATATATAATATACACCAATATACATGTCCACTTTTTACACTTTCATAATGAATTTACGAAGAATTGCACCGAATCCATTGTTGATCGGGAGAACACGGGAAATATGTAGATCCTATTTGGGGTCCACCCCTCGAAAGGCGCGGGAGATATACTTCCCCATTACGTATGACGTCTGGTGTGAGCTCTATATTTGGAGGAATACAGTTCGGAGACAGGGCATTTCCCAACCAACTAAAAAAATCTCGTCCTGGGTCTGAAATAAAAATGAAATAGAGATGTACATGTAACGATATTCGGAAAGATTTGTGAGCACTGGCAGATAAAGATGAAATTTGTTAGTAAAAGTCCGTTTTCCAATTTCTGACTACGATCAGTTGTTGAAGTAAACATATTTTTTTTAAATAATTTTTATCAAAAGATTTTTTATACATTTCAATTTGCGATCAATCCTTATATATTTATATGCTTTATTTATTGAGACACCTCAGTAGGACAATCTTACTTTGGTTAGGTGTTTCATTCAATATCATGAAGTTCTTGTCTCTACATCGTTTTTCTCGGAACCAAGCCTGGACAGTTCCGGTTTTGAGTCCTATTTCCCGGCTGACTTCCTGGCATGTCGTAAGAGATGGTCTTGGGTTATTGATATAGATTCTGCTCAGCACTTCCGCGTGTTCCTTACTTACAAGAGATAAATCAAGATTTCGTGTGTTTTCCGGATGTAATGGACTATCTCTTCCCTCTGAAATGAAAATAATTAAGATTTTAAACTTTTAATCATCAAATTTTAATAAAATGTTGACTGTGTATCTAGTTTAACTTCCTTAAAGTCAGGTCTACCTGTCTAATAGCCCACGTTTCTTCTCCATTCTTACATTTTATTTTTTTTAAGTGTAATGTCAAAATAACCTGCTTTTAATAATACTTAAAGTACCATTTTTCTCAAAGTGACTAGTACTTAGAGTACCATTTTCCGCAAAGTGACTATCGATAATGGAGGGTGGTAAGAAAGTTCCCAGTTGTGTACTTCCATCTGCCTCGAAAATGACAAGATACTGTCATATATTTATTCTATTATGAGTAACGAGTACTTCAACAGTGGTGTATAATTTCAGAGAATATCAATGAAAGTTTATGAATATCACAAATATAACTTTGAAATATAAACTCGCAAGACAGATGGGACTCGGAAGCGTTCGATTTATATTGCAAGATGCTGTTTTAGAATATGATACATTTTTGCAGCATATGGATTTTAATAGCTATGGTGTATTATGACAACTCTATATTCGGTCAGATCAAATATTCAGCAATCAAAAGCAGCTATTGTGATGATAATGCAGACACTACTTATGAATAATGTACACTCACCCTTTCATGTTTTGATTTTGCTGAACACTAACAACCCCCCCACCCCCCACCCCCCGTTCATATTTGCTAGTCGTTGTTGCTTTTATTTACTTTTTTAACCACTATTTTTGAACTCGATTTTAATTTCTACTCTAGCGAACCGATTGATTCCAATAATGAGTATTGTAAAGCACAAAATAATTACGTATTTTGATTTAAAGATAATCTTAAATATCTTCTTTACCTTGTCCGTGTAGATTTACGTAGTCCTCTTCACAAATAAGTTTATTGTCGTCCCTAAGGTATACCCTGTCGCCTGTGTGTAAGGGGCGGTCACACAGTGTGCACTTAAAGCATGATTCGTGGTACAGGCTTCCAAAGATCCGCCTCACGATTTCAGACGGGGAGAGGTTATTTGAACACCCTGCACACTGTGATCGGTATAATCTGGAGTGAAATAAAATATTACCGGAATTAAGGATACATAACACAAACAAAAATTTGATGCCTGGATTGATATTTATTTTTTGACTGATTTTGAATAGAAATGACATGAATAATAAATCCCTAAAATATAAAGAAATCGTAAGTTTTCTTTTGTGCTTAAATATGCGACTTGGTTTTGTTTCCTCCATAATTCTATACTAAATTTTGCATATATTTTTAATATTGCGACAAAATCTTACAAAATTCTCCCACTCTACCTGGTAAATATTATTCAGGTTACTTATTTGAAAATAAATCTTTGAGAAATTTTGCTGATTTCTGAAAAAAGTTTGTTTGTGTTATTTATCCTTAAGTCGGGCAACAACAGTAGTAAGAAATCTAATCATTTTCACACTGGACGAAAAATCGTTCACTGATAGAGCGAAGAAATTTGTTTACTTAGATGAGAGAAAATATATGCAAAAAAAGTGTTGCATTAATTTATCTTGGTTAAATAGAATTAATGTCTGAATTTATTACAAATTGAATAATATGATGTAGATTTCAATTCAGAACTAAGGCCGATCACTAACTGCATAAAATACAATAACATGTACCATGGAATTAAAACTTTTTAAGTGTGCAGTGTGTAGAAGGCCTTGATATAGTAAAATAGCTTCAAATAAAAAAGGTTCGGGAAAAATATGTCCTTTGCATAGAACAGATTGCAAATAACTCACCTATTGAAATCATGTTCACAGTAAAATTCTTTTCCATTAGAGAAGCATGCATCACCCAGTTCTTTTTGACACAACATGCAGCGAAAACAGGATTTGTGCCAAAACTTCTCACTGTGTGACACCAGAGTAGCGTCATATATACTCAGAGAGCATTGATTGCATTTTGGGGCATCTAAATATAGTAGAAAAACAAATATTTAGTATTAGACACTAAGACAAAATTTGATGAAAAATTTAATTTTGAAATCTTCAACTAACTTTAAAAAAAGATAAATAAAATGCAACATAGTGTAAATACCTGATAAAACGGTGACGCTGGGAGCTGGACCCTGTGACCTTAACCCAGCAATAATATTTTCTGAATTTGGAGAGGGGAATGTACCACAGTCAAGCATGTCTGTACGAAGATATGAAAAAAATTGAGCAGAATCCCTCACTACGATACTCAAACTACAAACTGATCGACAGGTTTCACAGACGCTGTATTTATAACACTATCAATAAGTGATAAATGTCACGGCTGTTTATCATAATTTTAGTTCCTGCGACATGTTCTTTTTTCCCAATCACATGGACTACACACGTAAGACGTTTTGATTGATAATTCACCTGTCTGGGTGGAGGGTTATAGCCCGGGTGAATAAAAAAGAAATCAAAACTATAATTGTTTGATAATCTCCCCGTTAATTGATGCCAATTGTACGGGGGCAATAAAGCATTTAGTCTTATCTGTCTATCGCAATTATGATGAACTGCACGACAGTCAGGTGCGATTATTCAATCTGCGTTTTAGACAGGTTAATCCACCCGACGGCTTCATTAGAAAAATCATGAAAAGTCAAGGAACATCTAACGGTAAACAACGTTTGATGATTTGAACTGCCGAGGAATCCAGACGGACTTATCGCTGGTCAGGTTCCGTCCGAGGTTCACGTGTGTCTACCTGTACAGATGGACTTATGAAAATGTGGTCTTACCACTGATAAACAAAGCAAAGTAAACATCTTGGTGAAATACTTTCTCAGCCACGTCATGTTAGAAAAGACCAAACAATTTTATTTATCAACAAGTCAATAAAATATCTCGTAGATATCTTTTACCATAAATTAATTGTAAACTTTCTCATTTTTTTGAAACTTTGAACTCTTAATTAAATTTAACATACTTCGGAGATATTAAAAACACACGATTTTATTATTTTTAAGTCTAATAAATGAAACAGTATTTTGATTTTCCCTCTTTTAATTTTAAAACATGAAAAATTGACCCAAAAAAAAAATAAAGCCTTTTATTTGCAAACCTAATTGTGTTTAACTTTTGACAGAACTTTAAGAATGTTCGGTAAACAACTCGTGATAAACTGGAAATTGAAATTATATACATGTACTTATTGCGTAATAAGAAGAGACACGTATGGGGAAGGTGATATGAAAGAAAAGGAATTAAAAAATTACCCATTAGTATAATGTGCTATTATTATGATGTAAGAAGTACTTATGTTCAGGTGACAAAAGATTTTTTTTTTTTTTTTTTGGAGCATAAGAAAAATGTGCTTTTTTGTTTTAACACCCCCCCCCCTTTCCCCCACGAAATTGGTTATTGCCTTGATGTATTTTCCTCCTTCTTTTTAAATTTGCTTTTGTTTGTTTATTTGTTTGTTTTTATTTTTTATTTTATTTTTTTTTTTGGTTCGTTCATCTTTTTGTTTTGTTTGTTTGTTTTAAATATACTCGGAAATAAGAACTCTCCACTGCTTATTTTCAGTATTTAGAATCTTGACAAATATTCATCCAATCAGACCGTAGAAAAAATTTTGTGCGTAGATGCTAGGGAAAAAATGGACCAAGAGTGAAGAGAAAAACAACCTATCTCTGCATCCAAGCTTTATAGGTTTGAATTGACAAGATAAAAAGAATTACTCACGCTGTCACATATAAACATTAGTTGCATAATCTAATTAACTGTTCGAGGATATAGCGAGTATGACTGAAAATGTTGTTTACTATTTGCAAGCGGACGTTAGATAGACCTGAATTTATTAAATGGGTCATCAGCTGATAGTGATAGGCATGGAAAAATGGCTCCTGGTTTTAAGGGAGCTATCTCATCCCTTCGAATTATTTTCTTGTTATGGTATTTTCGATTAACGGAAGGATTGGCTTTGACGAGTGGTTGTAGACATGAGAGAGTTATCCTTACCAACAAGACGGGTACACTCACGGTGGGCAATGGCAATCATGATTACAATAACTTCGCACGCTGTGAATGGCTGATCAAGGGTAAGGTTTACTCAGGTGTCAAATAAAGTGATTTTGTTTGGGGACTTAATTGTAATAAACAAGAAAACCTCACAGGTATCACTATTGATTTATTGCTATTTGGAAGCAGGTCTCTGGTACAAACTGTTGAGTGACATTTATATCATTTGCATTTTTTTCCCACATCAAGTTACCCTGATTTTAGTAAATTTAAAAGTGGTATAGGTAAGAGCATAAGAAGTTCAGAATGATTGAAGTTGCTGCAAACTTATTCCTGCTCTTGGGATGAAAATATTGTTACACTCATTGAAAATGTGCATCTTTGAATCATTTCAAATTCCTAACAAATACAATTTCACGAGCAGTAGTCAATACAAATAGAGGGTAGCATCATTTCAAAATTATCCATACACAAGAGAATTAAAACTAATTAAGTGTCAATTATCATGGAAAAAATCAAAGTGTGTAGTATTCCTCTTGCTTGGTGACAATGGAGAGTAGCGAAAAAGTAAAAACCCAGGGTTTGAAATTAACAGTCGCCCACTCGCAATTTGCGACTGAGGTTCCATGTGGGCAACTTAAAATTACGTTCAAGTTGCCCACATGGCGATTAGAAAATTTACGATAATAAATATTTGTTTTTCAATTTTGTCCAAATGTTTTGTATTTTTCTCTTGAAAAATTTTGTAAGCAGTAAAGTGCTTTATAATTACCCGTAAGAAGTACTTATACATAAAGAGTCTAAGTGATTGTGTCGGGCACAATGTGGCATTGACGGGTCAATGAGCCCAAGAAACCAAAAAGTACTGTGTACTTGTGAATGAAAACGTGCCATGAGCTCTATACATGATATTGAATGATCATATCAATCTTCATAAACAGAAGAGTTCCATTTCAAATTTAGATAAGTCGTGCATAATGTTACAATGGATAGAAAAGAAACACGAAGCACATGATAAAAAAAAAAGAAAAATGGGGTTGCTGTTTTTATATTCAATAGAAGGTGTGATAATCTGTGGGCGAATAAATTTTTATGTGGGCCCCAGAATTGCAAGGTTCAGTAGCCCACATGGCAATCAAGGATTACAAGTTAGTTTAAAACCCTGAAACCCCTCATTTTTAAAAGTTTAGCAGATTTGTAGTATGCCTCTTAAAGAAAACTTTTCATACAAAATTGTTGTTTGGTATATCACCTTCTCTATCAGCATGACTCTATCATTATCTGACCAGGTGATACACTACAACAAGGAAGCAGTGAGATTTTATAGTTACTGATACTTGTTATAAAGTTTGCATATGGCTATAGGATCTGTCACAGAGGTTAAAAATATGTCACAATAATATAACAAGTTCATTTTGACAAGTTCAGTGCTATTGGAATGACTGAGGGCCATAACTTATAAGAAAAGTTCCTGACAAAAAGGTTGCCCATAACAAGTATCCATGACCAAGAATCAGGCTTATTTTAATATGGTCAAGGTCACTGAGGGAAAGTTTTACTTGGATTATGATATACAGAGAAGCATCAAGATTTATATTGGACAGAAAGCCTAGAGGTGGTTGTGTATGTGTAATTAATTTTGTAGCAATCATAAATGCACAGTATGTCTGGAAAGATACATAATAATGTGAAGCCTAATCAGTTAACATAAAAATTTGGTTACATTAATGAATTCAAGGACATGACCTTAAATCAAACTTCTGTCAAAAATAATTTCTGTGACTTTGATCAAACTTGCCCTGATGAAGTCCTTGTGGGAACTCTGTATGGGAACCACTTTTCATTATTATTAAGCTGAAAATATGAAGAACTCCATGCTGACCTAACAAATTAGAAAATACAAATTTATAAGGATGAATACAACACAGATTAAAAGAATTTCATATTTGTTGAATTGAAGCTCTTTTTGATCTTAATATTTTAATGTATACTATTTTCATTGAGCCATCCTTTTACTGTAAGGCAAAAATGATTTTTGAATCATCATATCATCTAAATTTCTCAGAATTACGGTGCCTATGAAGCTGATATATAGTATACATATCCTCTTTCATCTTCATTTCTTCCTGCAATTTTTGAAAATGTACTGTTTATTTTTCTTTTTATCAGGAGGTGTTGGGAAATCTATCCAGTTAGAGTTTATTCGAATAGAAACAGAATGTTCATATGATTATGTATTTGTGTATGATGGGAACTCGTACAATAGCACAAAGCTGGCCAGTGTTAGTGGTGATACACTTCCAGAGCCACTGGTGGCCAGGTCAGGCTACGTAAGTATAAATAACCAGTAACGATTATTATGCAAAATGTATAAGGATATACATAACCTATGTAACTGACTACACATATTATGTAAAATATGAAAGTACACATATTTAAAATCACGTTTCATTTTTGTCACACGCTTCTAAAATTTGGGGGTATTGATTTGGATCTGTCCATAGTCCTTTATTCTCTTTGTGTAACACTTTAAGTTTTCGAATGATATCTGAAAAAACCCTTTAGCTTTTGCAATGAAATTTTACATCATGACCTCTTATGCAATTAAGACCCCTGTTGATTTTGAGGTTACAGTTTAAAGCTGAAGGTTAGAAATTCATATATTGCATAAAATGGTTCTCAAATAATAACCCAATCATAATTTGAGTTCTCTTTGAGTTGGAGCAATGAAATCTTTTAATTCGCAATGACTGAAAGAAGACATTGTCCAGATGATAATATAAGTTCTAATATAAGCGGGAGACATTAATTCCCTGAATAAATTTATTAAGAAGTAGATTAATGTTATTCTTTACTTTAGTATGATATGAATTTTGTATGTTTTTATGTCACAAAACTAGTAAAAAATGTTTTATAAGATTTTAAGGTTATTTTAGTAGAATAACATACTTGTAAATTTTTTTGCAGATGCTGGTTTTAATGTTCAGTGATAGGAACTACCAAAAGTGGGGTTTCCTTGCAAATTATTCTATAACTGACTGCCCCTTTAACTGCCATGGCCAGGGAGCTTGCATTAATAACTCATGTGTCTGTGATATTGACTCTACTGGGGAGAGTTGTGAGCACAAACTTTGTCCCAGTAACTGCTCTGGAAATGGGCTGTGTATTCAGTCAGGAAGTCGTAGCCAGTGGGGATGTAAGTGTTCTCCAGGGTACACTGGCTATGCCTGTAACCTGGCTATACAGGGAGAAGAGGATAAGCTGAAGTGGGTAACCTTACTACCAAGTAGTACTGAATTTATAAACCGATTTGAACATGGTGCGGGGTTTATAGAAGGTAGTGAATGTGTATATGTGTTTGGAGGGAGTTCACACAATTATGTTTTGGATGAACTATTGAGGTTTTGTCTTTCAAAGAGCAGATGGGAAGTGATAAATAAAACTGAGCTGTGGCCTGATGCCAGGTATGACCATGGCATGGTTGTGTACAAAGAGGGGATTTTTTTATTTGGGGGTGTTCTATCTGATGGGTTACACAGTGATGAACTTTGGTTCTATGATACAATTAGTTCCAATTGGTCATTGTTAGCCTCTAACAGTACCATACAGCCTCCAGGTCTATCAGGACATAGCATGACCTTAGTGGAAGACACCATATATGTTATAGGAGGAAAAATGGATACTGGGCAATACTCATCTCATATTTACAGTATTAATGCATCAAGTCCTGAATCCTGGAGTCTTGAGAAGCTCTCAGGAGGTCGGACTTCTAACCGTCTTCTTCACGGACATTCCGCGGTGTATCATGCAGAGACGGCATCCATCATTATCTATGGTGGCATTGCTGCTAGGTCAGCCCGCTACACAACTTTGTCAAAGAAAATCTTCACATTTAATGTCATCAATAAGTTTTGGACAGAAATTGAGTACCGTGCGGAGACAGGGGCATTACATGTGCCTCTGCAGCGAGCTCACCATACTGCTCTGATACTGGGGAACTATATGGTTATATATGGAGGAAATGTTCACATACACAATGATGAGGAAAAGTGTTATGATGAGGGAATTTATTTATATCACCTTGGATGTCACCAATTCGTCAACCATTCTCTGGTCCATCAAGGCTCAAGTTATAGTAAGTACTGATAGACCCAGTGCAGAAACTTTGAAGTGCTGCAATGGGGATTTTGAAGTGTATCTAAGTAGGAAATTAGGAATAGTGATAAACTCAACTGTGTGTCTTAAGATTAAAGGTTATTTGAAATAGTTTTAGAACTTGATAAACATTTAAGGATTTAGCCAGTCAAGGAAATATGTTTTTATTATGCCCCGCCATGAATATGGCCGGGGCATATAGTGTTTGTCATGTCCGTCTTCCGTCCTTCCGTCCTTCTGTCTGTCCTTCCGTCACACTTTGCGTTTAGCTCTGTTCAAAGCTCAGTTTCAAAGAAACTATCCAAGATGTTTTTATCAAACTTCATATGCTGATACAAACTGATGAGAGCTATTCAACTGCATCAACATTTTTTGACCTTGACCTTTCTTTTGACCTTGACCTCACTTTTCTTAAATTAGTGTTTAGCTCATTTTTAAAGATACCATTCAAGATAGTGTAATCAAACTTCATATGTTGATGCATACTGATGTAAGTTATTCAACTGCATCAACATTTTTTGACATTGAACTTTCTTTTGACCTTGACCTCACTTTTCTTAAATTAGTGTTTAGCTCAGTTTTAATGAAACCATTCAAGAAATTTTTAACAAACTACATATGCTGATACATACTGATGAGAGCTATTCAACTGCATCAATATTTTTTACCTTGACCTTTCCTTTGACCTTGACCTCACTTTTCTTAAATAAGTTTTTAGCTCAGTTTTAAAGATACCATTCAAGATAGTGTTATCAAACTTCATATGCTGATACATACTGATGAGAGCTATTCAACCGCATCAACATTTTTTGACCTTGACCTTTCCTTTGACCTTGACCTCACTTTTCTTAAATTAGTGTCAAACTTTATATGCTGATACATACTGATGAGAGCTATTCAACTGCATCAATATTTTTTGACTTTGACCTTTCCTTTGACCTTGACCTAACTTTTCTTTAATTAGTGTTTAGCTTAGTTTTAAAACCATTCATAATATTTTTATCAAACTTCATATGCTAATACATACCGATGTAACCTTTCAACTGCATAAACAATTTTTTTTCTGACCTTGACCTTTCATTTGACCTTGACCTCACTTTTCTTAAATTTGTGTCAAACTTCATATGCTGATACATACTAATGTAAGCTATTCAACTGCATCAATATTTTTTCACCTTGACCTTTCCTTTGACCATGACCTCACTTTTCTCAATTTGTGTTAAAATGTTGCATTACTAATATACCCTTGGCGGGGCATTCATGTCCTATGGACATATTTCTAGTTTTATCTCATTTTCTTTACCTTTAAGAATTTAGCCGCCTCGTGAAAATTGACATTTTTTTTTTGCAACTTTCAATGTGATAACAAATGTGAATAATAAATTTTCATTATGCATTTTCTATGCACATCTTATTCTTAAGAAAAATGGGAACAAAGCTTATTATGTAAAACAGCTGTATTTGTCCTCTCTATGTCAGTGTAGGTCACTTTTCAGATTAACAGTTGTTACATCACAGAAAAGAGACTGTAACATACATACAGAGGTACTATACATATCTAGACACTCATTGTCTATTACCCAAACCTGCAGACCCGATTATTTTGAATTAACAAATGTGAGAATCAATAAAAACATGGCAGAACCTGAATCGTTACTGTTATCTTGTTTATAATGACAGTAATTTTAGTCCTTTTTCAATTTCTGTTCTTCTTTAAGTAATGAAGATGTTGTAATTTCAGAATCAATGCCTTCTAAGGGAAGGTTTGGTCATACAGCTGTTGGTATCCATGGCAACATTATGCTTGTGGTGGGCGGTTATAGTGGTTATCCCCATGGCGATGTATTGGCATACAAGTTTCCTGGAGTTGTAGCTCCTCCCAGTGTGAGTGCTGTAATTTTTATTATAACATTATAAAATTTTTATAATTGAACTAAATATGGTATGCATTGCTTAAATTTTGAACAAGCTGTCTGCATTTTTTTTTTAAATTTAAGTATATATTAATGCATCCTTTAACAAACACTATGAAGAATTACTGATTTTAATAATTTGTGATAAATTATTTCCTCACTCAGGCTAAAGTCCATCATCTTTTCTAACAAAAAGTAATTTCTGTGCTTTAATATGAGATAGGTAGTTGGGTTCCTCATTTCACTTCAGGTCATATCTGCTCAATTTTCCTCGGTCAACATTTGAACATTACAATTAGAAAGTTTTTTGTCTGAAACTTCAGTTATTACTTATTCATTCACCCATCAACTGTTCATTTAATTGAATGTCATTCTCCTTCTTTCCATCTTACTATACTGAAATGCAAAAGAAATGCAACATCCTTATTTTAAGGGGAAAATTATATACAGGTTATAACTTTGTACTTAAAAAGTTAGGACATCTTCAGCTTTGCCAAATCAGTAATTTAATGATTGAATGATTTTCATTCCATTACCGGAAGTTGATTTTGAGCCCTTTTAACAGAAATAAAAAATTGATTGTTTTATAAAACATTTGACAATAATTTTCCCCTTAGAATAAGGTTGTTGCGTTTCTTTTGCATTTCAGTATATTATTCTGTATAATTTAAGCTTTTTTCATGTTTGGATCATAACTTGCACACTCTGAGGCATAGTATCTTCTTTAAAAGGCTACTCCTCCTACAGTTTTATTCTGATTGCAATAGATCTTACCACAAAAAAGGACTAAACCAAGGATCATTATTCTCTTTATTGCTGTTGCAAAGTTTCAAGTCCAAGTGCAACTTTTCTCTTTCTTTGTTATAAGTTCAAACCAGTAGAGCTACAGTCTTGTTAGAGATTTCTGGTTTTTCTCAGTCCCATTGAGTCTTAGATAATGAAGTTTGACTAAAAGGTTTGTGAAATTTATTTTTATTTCGTGCTCGTCATTTTCCTAGTATGATTATGACATCGCATGTCGGAATGTTTTGACGACATTATGTTACATTACTAATGACATTTAGGTTTGACTGTACAAAATATAAACAAAAAATTTAATATAAAAGGATCAAAATTTTAAATCAACAAATATACACTATTCAACCTTGCAGAAATTTAATTACAATGTAATTATCTCAAGGAGTGGTTGTCACTTTCCTTTGTGATGTTTTGTTTACATTAACCAAGCACAGAAGTCACGTATCAAACATGATTTCTGGTGTCCTGAAAGTGAGATTTAAAGAAAAATTGTTGTTTCTGGTAAATAATATATAAATATTGCTTGTCTTTAAGGGCAACATTGAAAATTTTCTCCCCAAGAAAACCATTGTCAACTGAGGCACAGCTGATGTTGAGAGTGATTTTTGAGGCATGAAATTTTCAATGTTGCCTTCAAATATATGCAGTATTCAGATATATGCAATATTCATTATAATCATATTAAATATTTCATACAAATACATATTACAGTGAACTGTGTGAGCATAAATTCTGTGTTTATTGTTGCTGTGTTCTACATCTACCATGTTAGAGGGGGCATGGTTGCCTAATTTAGAGGGTTTCTCAATGAATCAGATGCATCTAATTAACATGAAAGTATATTGTTTCAAAATACAGACAATTTTTCATTCCTTTTATTAAGAAGAATGATACAAGGATGAGCACTTTGGCTATATGTAAAAGGATCTCCTGCTCATATTCCTGAAAAATTAAAATTTGAATTTGACAGTCATCAGTCTAGACTTGTGGAAATGTAGAATTTCAAGGAGAGTCTTTACATGAAGATCATTCTAGGACATTCATTAATAGATTTGTGATATAAAGTCTGTCACTATGCAATAATGAAGAGATGTAGACAAGGATCAAAATAAATGTAAAGTTTATTAAGTTAAATATTAACTTAAATATCACAAATACTAATTTATGGAAATACTTCAAAATATCAAACATTAGTCTCTTTAACAGGTAGTGTTTTTGAATTCATGCAAGAGCTGACTGAATAATTTTTTAACACCTCTGAAATTGTAAATTAAAAGGGAAGATAAACTTGTTTATTGTGTGTGTCTGTCCAGGTGTTACTTAGTGTAATCGTGAAATAAATAAGACAGAGACCTCATATATGATTCGTAGTTTGTCATTATAATCATTTATCATGGCATGTGTCACAGTTTACAAATCACCATTACCACAACTTCTTTCAAAATAAGATTATTTACATTTATAAATTGACAATTTTTCAGAAAGTTCCTAAAGGTAAATTTTGTTGATACCCTGGTAAATGTACTAGTTTAAACAAAACATTTTTAAATTTTTTTTTCCTTAATAGTCATGCGCGGATCTAGAGAGGGGTCGGGGAACCCCCTCCCCCCCCTCCTCCGGAATTTGCTAAGTTATTTAATCTTTAATATATTGAAGCAAATAAAAAATGACATTCACCCCCCCCCCCTTCCCTTTTGGAAAAATGGACCCCACCAACACCACTTGAAAGTAGTTTTTTTTCATGATTGGTATATGGATTTTATGCTTTTTGGCTTGTCAAGAAATTTTCTGGGTTTGATACTTTTGGGAAAGGAGGTTAGGTTTTTTTTTTCTTGTCAAGAAATTTCTGGGTTGGAAATTTTTTTCCCCCTTGGAAAGAATTCCTGGATCAGCACCTGTTGGTGATTGTTTGCAGTTGTTCAATACTTTAATGTTTTTCATATATGATGTTGTATGAATATACATGTAGCAAATCAAAATAAATTATATCATTTTGTTCATTTCAGACTTTTCCAACATTTTCAGTTGAGTTTTATTTGCTTAGTACCCAATAGACTTGCATTTCCAGTTATGTTTTGTCAGCAATCATTTGATATATATTTTTGCACTTTCATATTCTTTTATCTTGACTATTCCAGAGGGTTTAGCATGGTCAAAATGGTATATTTACATTTACTGTGTTTCATTTACTTAACCAGCTCGCTCCGTGATCGGGAGGTCGTGAGTTCGAATCTCGGCCGCGACTGACCTAAGTCAATAAAAAATGGGTAGCAACTGTTCCTTCGTCATGCTCTCGGCACTTTGAAGTGAAAGTTGTGGGTCCTTCGGATGAGACCTTAAAAACCGAGGCCCCTTGTCACGGCAGGCATTGGCACGATAAAGATCCCTCACTGCTCAATGGCCCTGAGTGCTGAGTAAAGGTCAAAATTTGAAGTCCTTCACCTGTATATGGTGAGGTCTCTATATGAGTGAAAAATTCTCGAATGGGACGTAAAACAAAACACAATCAATCAATCAATCTTCTTAACCAACCATGAAATTGATATGTTATAAAATGAATATTTTTGGTGCTTTTAAAGATTCAAAATGTAAATATAAGGAATGTTTTTAAGTTTAGTGCATTAATGGTGTGGAAATCACACAGACCTGTGTGCACATTCAAGTAAATTCAAATACATGTAACTAAAATTTTGTTAGATATTTAATGCATCAATGCCAAGGAAAATAGTAACATGCTTAAAAATTAAATTTAACAGATATTTTTAAGAATTTTCATGCTCGTCATTTTGCTAGTATGATGTTGACATCGCATGCTGGAATGTTTTGACGACATAGTTATGTAATGTTTTCGGCGTGATGAGTTCGAAAGATACGCAGGTAGGTTAAGGCTTCCCGTAGAATATCACAGTGCACTCTGTGCCTTCACATCTCTGAACTACCAAAATATGACGTCATAATGGAAAATGACGTCAAGTCACTGCAAACTTGAGGTGTTATGACGGGGAGAGTGTCATGAACTTTACACTTTATTCAAACTGCATGTAAAATGCTAGATAGCTATTGCAAAACTCACTGGTCGTTAAAGGTTTTTTAAGTCTTATATGTCCGAATATTTTAAAAATACACCGCTTACCTACCCTTGATTGAAATTCAGCATCTTCAAAATGATTATGAAAAATATACTTTTGAAATGTACTCTGTTTTATACCCGTGGTTGGAGGTAGAATTTATTTTGTGTGTATAAAAGAGTCTGGCGCAGGTGATTAATAAGGATTAATCTGAGAATTTTTGTGGAAATCTGTAAGAAGAGGTTGTTCTCTAACTGAATCTTGCTTGGGAAAAATGTGTGTTGGCTTTGTTTTAATACAGATTACGATATTGTGTGGAAAATACCCTCAAATTTGTAGGTAAGTTGAATTTCTCAGGAAATATTTTGTATCTAAGTAATACTATGACTTTTCCCAAGCACATTTCGGATACACAAGGATACAATGAGTTTATTTATATAACAAAATGTAAATAATTATTGTGTTAATCAGCTGCGCCGAAGCAATTTATATGGAACACTTCAAAAAATTATAAATGACCGTCACGTGATCAACAAAGTCATGTGATATCATAACAAATATGTTAATATATAGCCGGGGATGCCCTCTATATAAATTGGGAGTACTTAAGTTCAATACTTATAAATTAAAACCAGAACCGACCTTGCAATGACATATTATGTTTTGAGCGCATTTTATAGCTTCGGGAAGCCTTAACATAGCTGCGTAGGATAAATATAATAATTACTAAATATTATTTAGCACTGAATATTACCACTAAATATGGTATGGTTAAGTCTGGTTGCGGCTAAGATCCGCTCTCCTAATTTCTGGTAGCAAATATTGTGAATAAACCTGTAGCAGTTTTTTTTTTATGAAAGAAATCAACAAAAGATAACAAATTTTCAAAAATTATATTCTGATACATGTATTCAAAAATTTATTATAGATAACAAAATCAACAACAAAATATTTATAGATAAGGTTGCACAACGTCACTTGCTAGATTTACAGGACCCCCCGAAGTTCAGATAAAGTTAATTTCTAATACCCAATTTCATAAATGAGAAATGAATTATATAAATTTCAATTATAGTACCTCGACATTCCAAAGATAGTCTGGGAGCGACTAAAAACTGAATTAAAAAAATCCACAAGTCTGGTCTGGACAAAAGTAACTGTAAAAATTTCTACATCTGTTCACTAGAATCCCAAAACTTTAACTGACTACAAAACTAAATGTTTACGCTAATATGTCGTAGCTTAACCAAACGTGACGTTACACAACCCAAAATCACGACACATTTCAGGTTAAAAACCTGTACATAATTTCCTGCGACTGGAAGTAATGGGAAAAGAAAGAACAAATATGGAATGACATAGTAAAACAATTGTACAACAAATTTAAACGTATTTTAAAGATATAATAACGATGAATGAATTTTCCAGTTAAGATCACAATTAGATAGACACACATTTTAATAATGTAGTCAAAAATCATTACATCAAAATCATTACATCTGCATTTCTAATGACATTGCATCACAGACTCAAGATTCCTTGAATGCTCTGCCTACTGAGCATTTGGTTTGATTAAAAATATTTAAACAATAAAATGCTTTCTTTGTTTGTTTAGTATGGGAATTAATGTCACAGCTGTTGCAGAAAAAATACATAACCCGCTTACGTGGATCATGTAAATTTTTTCTGCAATACAACAAAGAAAGTCATTTTTATTGTTTATATTTATAGCTGTATAAAAAAAAAAACATTCAAAGTAAAATTAAATATGTTAAATATTGTGTTATAGATGTGTATGTCATCGTATGCATAACTGATGGAACAGCCAAGGCTCAGGAAATCCATGCAGGTGGTTTGCTTAGTGTCCTTTACTGACTGATAAACGGCAATGGGTTTCATAAGAAACAAAGGAAATAATATTCAGTGGATGTAAATATAAAGTGAATATTAATGAAGGACTAGTCCCAGGGAGTAGCTCTGATTTTACATGGAGTAGTCCTTAGATGGGGGTTAGTGCCTTCTCAGGGAAATAGATAGTCTTATGGTATTCATTTTATATGAAGTAATAAAAGTAGAGGCATAATAAAAAATATTAACTTCAAATCTGTGTTCATACCCCTTAAAGATAATACAGAACAATAACCACAATTCATGAAAATATTGCCTTACTTATAAATAGAATATTTACTATATCACAAAAATAAGGTATCGCAAAAATATGGTGATCTACAGTAATGTATATTTATAAATTACTTTTCCAGTAGTGAACATCCAGAATATTAATTAATAGGATACTTTTTGATTTGATTTGACAGAAATTTACCCCTGATTGCCTCTTGTTCACAGGGAAATGGATACTGCATAGAAATATAATGGTGTAATTTGCATTATTGATAGTTCCACTACTCTAAGAATCAGCTCAGTCTGTCTTTTAATCAATAGAGGAATATGAAATTTGTTCTTTCTACATGTTCTGTATTGATCATATCCTGGCACCATCAATTTCTATTTTTAGAAACTGATGTCAAATTACTAAAACATATTGTTGGACCAAACAAGTGTCAAATCTGATACTGCTGAAGTACAACAGAGGGCAATGTAATTTGGACTAGTGATACTTAGTACCATTTTACTTATCATTTATAGCAATTAAGTTGACTATATTTACCAATTGTTTGAAATCTCTTTGAATGAATAACAGATCAGAACCCTTGGCTAATGAAGTTGTAAGGCTGGGAACTTGACTGGCTTTATGGATTATGCAACAACATAGGTCCATTAAAGATTATACTGGTTATGTAACTTAACAGTGTTCAACTCAGAATTATATCTAGCATATCTGCATCCTAGGGAAAGCTAGCAAAAAAATTTGATGCAAGGTACCAGATTAAAGCATAGGGGCTTGGTTTCAGGATAGTGTATTGTGTTTAAATTCACTGATTATAATAGAGATTAAAAATCGCTGAAATCTGCAGTTTTAAAGAAAAACATTTTTAGTGTACGTAAAAAATTTCAAGGGTTGACACCTGCCATCTTGGATTCCAGAGGATAACTTGGTTCACACGATTTTAATCAATCTACACTTTTCTTACGGGTGTTGAATGAAATAAGCTAGCCTCAAAAATGATTGAATAACTGCCTTCTATTTTCTGCTGATTTGCACTTGCTATATAAAACATAAAACATCCTTGATACCTAACACTAAAATTGAAAGCAACGAAAGTGATGATTTCTAACTATGTAAAGAGTAGAGGCATTCTGAAATTGCACAGAATGTCTAGAGAAGTCAGAAACTGCTCCAGACTTATTCTTTCTAGACCTTTCCATGCAATCCTGGGATGCTTCTACACTTTACATAGTTAGAATCATCACTTCCATTGTCAAAATGAAAAGTAATAGGTAACGGCCTCAGACAAAAGTTAGGTTCTTGAGTGTGACAAAAAGCATGTTGTCCTCAAACCTAGTCAATAAATGTATAAAATTGTAAGCCATTCTGTATACTAAGTGCACTATACCTCTTTTCTTAATTAAGAACAGCAGAACCAAGGTAATAATAAAGGTGAGCAGTATGGCCCATGGGCCTGATGTATGCTTCTATTTTACCTGTGTTTAACTGTATTGTCCACTAATCATCAGATATAATAGTTTCAGTGTGTATGGTATTGAAAATTTACTTTTGTATAGTCTGTTAAGCTTGATTAAAAGTAAGATCTTGTTTTGTCTTCCAGTCTGAGGAGAGCTTTGACAAGGATTACTGTATGGTGGACTATGCAGACACACCTTATGCATGTTATTACGATTTAGAGTGCATGATCTGTAAAAACAGAACCGACATTAAAAAGCCAGGCTGTGTCCACAGAAATAGACCAGAGGTATGGATACATCCATTTCATTTTGATTGTGAAGTGCTTAATACAGTTAATCATAGTTACAGGAAACATGCTTATAACAATGAATTCATGCTTACAGCAAAGTGATTTTTTTTCCTAGTAATTTTAAAACATTGTGAACTGATGGGATGTAACAAATCACATTTATAGCAAATTGTAGTTGTTCGTCCTTGGCATTTTGGTATAAACATGTTTTACTGTTACAGTACACTTCTGACTTCTGTTCCTCATTTGTACAAAGTTCTTGAATTTCCATTCTTATACATTCACCTTTGTCAGTGGCTCGCTAATGTTTGCTTGTGTTCCTGAGCAAATCATCCAAATTAAGTGAAGCATCCAGATTACTGAAATGGATCTTTTATAATTTATATGTATGTTCCTCAAAAAATTGTCTGGAAGAGGAAGCATCAAGATTACTGGTATTCGAATTAATGAAGCTCCCCTGTATTGATATTATTGACCTTAAGTTGATGTTTTGCAATAGCATGCTTTTGTCTAGTGTCTTTGTACATGGTGAGGGTCATTTAGGACTGATCACACTATTCTATCAAATTATGAATATATATCCTTTTTCTTCTGCCCATATCTTTTTGACCTTTATCTTGCTTCTTAAATAATTTCAGATGTGTTACAATGGTGAAATGGCCGCAACACCATTTCATTGCCAGCATATTTGTTCCCTCCTAAAAACCTGCCAGGCATGTTTGTCTCAAGGTCAGGGTGTGAAGTTGACATCTGCATCTCCACGGAAGCGGTTCTATCAAGTTGAATGCTCATGGTGTGCAAAAAATTCAACATGTCAGCGGAAAGCAGGTATAACAAGAATAGATATCAGTTTTAAGGTTCATAGACCCTCTGATAAGAGAGATGACTCTCACTGGAGTAAATGGCTATTATTCCTTTATAAAACTGTCGTGTCAAAATGACATTTCCGTCAAATTTTGCTCCACAAAGTGTACTGTAATTGTGTATGTAAATTGTGTTCTAAATTAGATTTCTTCTGGAAAATCGCCAGCATTAAAACAAAATTGTATATCACTGAGCAGAGGGACATTAAACCTTTAAAATGAAGTCTGTATTAAAACCCTCTGAGAAAAGTGACATTCTTGACTAGATACTTAAACTTTTTTTTGCCTTTTAATTATAGTTTTTACTACAAACTTTTCTACTGGTTTTTAAATTAAAAAAAAAGCATTTTTCAGTTTAATTGATTTTCTTTTCAGTTTTTAAAATCTTCAATAAAAAAATTGGAATGCTTTGTACACTTATAAATGAAGTATCACATTAATTCAAATGCTTAAAGTCCATATTGTATAACTGTACATAAAAGAGTTTGGGAAAACTTTTGTAGCAGTATTCATCTCTGCCTTGTTCACACTGTATTATGCCATGTTTTGTAGCGCCTGAAGGCTCGTGCAGGGCTGCAGATGAGACAGCCTCTGGAATCGTGGGATGGTGGAATGGGGTGAGTCCAAGCTGGACAGACATTGACCAATGCAGTTTAGCAGACATTCCAAGTGGTATCCAGAAGGCTACCTACTACCATCCTAAAAACGATTCACAACCAGACGAGGTAATATTTCATTCATCAATTCTTTCTGCTGATTATTCCTCACATGTATTTGCTAAGGAGGCACAAACATCAGAAATGACAATGCAAGCATTTATTTTCATGATGTTTGCCATACAGAAATAAATGTCTTCCTTGAAATTGCAACAAGAAAAGTTTTAAAATGAATTTTAAACAGGGTAATAAAAGAAAACAAAAAAAATAAAAAAAACTTTTTATGTATGTTGAAATGATTACTCATTATGGCAAGATTTCTGAAGTCTTTTAAAATTTATGTCATTCTATGACCCTACAATGAATCATTCTGTACAATCTTGCAGGTGGAATTTTTGGGTGAAATATCAGCTGTAATGACAACATATCCCAACAGTAATCTGCTGGACTCCACTCAGGAGCAGGTTTTCCTGTCTGTAAATTTCCATGGTTACATCTGGCCTTTAGAAGTGACCCCTAGTTTAGATAGTGAATTGACACTATATATAGAATCACATAATGCAGAGGCAACCATGTTACTCAGCAATGATAGTTCCATCCAAAATGCAGTAAGTATTGCCGTTTTCATATGCATATTGTTTTTAGACACTTTAGGAGCATATGTCCAGCATCTTTCTGTGGTTTATCACAGCCAGTGTGCTTTGAACTGTAAGCATATTTTGCACAGATATTGCTTGGTATAAAAATGTTATTATCTATTAGTATGGTTACTGATCTTGTGAGTTTAACTTAAAATGTAGTTTGAATCATTCAAATGTTTAAAAAAAAAAAAAAATCAGTGATATATATTTTTTTAAGCAGCATAAAAAAGGGTATTGAAAGAACATTTTTGGGTCTTTTATTTGACTTCTGATCATTTTAAATTTGAAATAGTGATACCGTATAATGGGTATTTTCTGCAGTTGTCCAATTTTTGCGGATAAGACAAATCTGCAAAAATTACAATCGCAAAATATTTCTTCAGTATTCAGATATTTTTTACATGCTAGTCTGATAAGTGGTGCGTATGTCAGTCAACCTGGTTTAATGTTATTTCATAAATTAACTTGCTATCTTTCACAGGTCAAATCGCAAAAATTTCCAACCGCAGAAAATACCAGTTATACGGTAGTTGTTTTCAAAATTCTAAGAAGGGGTTTCATTTTGAACCATTCAGAAGATGTTTTTAAAATATTTTCTTTTTATGTTGATTTCTATAGTGAAAAATGCAATTTTTACCAAAATTAAAGAGTTATCTCTCTTTGTTTTCCCAAATAATTTATGTTTTATGAAAATTCACACAAATATCTATATACCGTAAATATGAAAAATCATTCAAATATGTTAACTTTTGAAATTTGACTTGGAGGTAGGCAGCAGAACAATGCCATTGTTCGCAGTTCTTTGGCAGCTTGCATGCTGTGTTTTGTAAAGCAAAATATATTTTTAAAAAGTTAGAAAAAATAAATGGAAATTTCAGAAGTTGATTATGACCTTCCTTTGGACATTTGTATGGCAGTGGCATTTTTAAATGCGCAAATTCTCTAAATCTGAAATGCAGTTATCCAGAAATGTTTGATTTTAAAACAATTGAAAGGTAGCCAGAAAGCACCTTAAACTTACCTTGATTTTTTCAGAGGATTTGTCAAAGCTATACATCTTTTGGAATTTTCAGGAGAATGTAAGAAGCCAGAAATCTTCTCTCCAAATTCAAGTCCAGGTTACACTGAGGAGGAACAATAAGCCGATTTTTCCAAGTGTGGCCAGGGATAGCAAATATTACTTCCAATTGGAGTCCAGAAAGTTATATCAACCACAGAAGAATGCAACTGTCGCAGTGAAGTGGAATGCAGCAATCAGCACAAAAACGAAAACAGATCTTAGTCAGATTTCTACAGAGTTCCTAGAAATGTTTCACAGGTGGGAACTTGCTGTTACACTAGAGTGATTGATAAGGGAAATGTTTTACAGGTGTGATATTGTTGTTACACTAGGGTGATTGATTGGGGAAATGTTTTACAGGTACACTAGAGTGATTAATTTGGGAATTGTTTCACAGGTTGGGATTTGTTGGTACACTAGATTGATTGATTAGGGAATTGGGATTTTGGGATTTGTTGTTACTCTAGATTAATTGATTGGAAAAGGTTTCATAGGTGGAAATTTGTCGTTGCACTAGAGGGATTGATTGGGGGAAATGTTTAACAGGTTGGGATTTGTTGTTACACTAGAGTGATTGACTGGGGAAATGTTTCACATGTGATGATTTGTTGGTACACTAGAGTGATTGATTTCTAAAATGTTTCATAGGTGGGGATTTTTTGTTACACTAGAGTGATTGATTGGAGAAATGTTTCACAGGTTAGGATTTGTTGTTACACTGGAGTGATTGATAGGGGAAAAATTTTACAGGTAAGAGATTGTTTACACTAGAGGGATTGATTGAGGAAATGTTTTGCTGGTTTGAATTTGTTGTTTCACTAGAAAGATTGATTGATTTCTAAAATGTTTCATAGGTGGGAATTTGTTGTTACACTGAGTAATTGATTAGGAAAGTGTTTCACATGTGGGAATATGTGATTGATTAGGGATTGTTTTACATGTGGGAATTTGTTATTAACTAGATTGATTGATTTGGGAAATGCTTCAAAGGTGGGAATTTGTTGTTGCACTACAGTGATTGATGAGGGAAGTGTTTCACATGTGGGTATTTGTTGTTACACTGGAGTGATTGATTGGGGAATGTTTCACAGATGGGACTTTGTTGTTACACTAAAGTGATTGATTTGGGATTATCAAGTCCTTCACACTGAGGGAAGGGGAAGTGGGGATTGCTCTTTTTGTCACACCAAGCAGCTATGTTACAGTAACATACAAAGGAATTAATATTCTTCTCATATAGTTAAAGCTCTCCCTAAATAAAGACAAAATCTATTTTTAACTTTTTATGCCCCTGGATTGAAAGATCCCGGGGGTATATTGTTTTTGTCCTGTCTGTCTGTTTGTTGTCAACTTTAACCTAGCCCATAACTATTGCACTGTCAAGGGTAAGGCTTTAATATTTGACATGAGTGTTCATTATGACAAGACCTTTCCATTGGTACAGAAATTTTTGATCATGTGACCTCAACTGTGACCTTTGACCTACATTTGAAAAACTTTAACATTGGCCATAACTATTGCACTGTAGTCTACGTCCCACTCCAGAATTGTGTTACCATCGGGGGCATAGTGTTTCACAAACACATCTTGTTTTTATGATGTTTTGGGATGATAATGATATAAAAGAAGTGGTTAAATAAATTAACATATTAGAAAGAGAAATGATTAAAAGTAAAAGATAACAGGAAATGTATGCTGTGAAAAAAAGGTGATGGCAGAAGAAGGGATGAATGGTAAGATGTAATAGAGATAAAGTGGTAGGAAATAGAGTAGGAAGTCTGACCGAACATCTGAAGCCTGCTTTCTGTTTTCCAGTGATGTATGTAGTAATTACACCAACTGTCTGTCCTGTATGACTGATGCCAGCTGTGGATGGTGTCCCAACACTGACCAATGTGTCAGAAAGGGGGACAACTCTTCTTCAGCCTGGTGTGGCCCTGACCAGGACATGCTTTTGATTACCCATCCTACTGAGTGCTCTAGATGTCCTGATTATGTGGATTGCCTGTCCTGTTCTAAGGTAAGTTTCAGTTAGTTGATTCTTATCATTGCCATTGGAATGGGGAGGGGGGACCTCCTGACCTTGACCTTGGAGTTTTGACCTACATTTGAAAAACCAACCTTGGCCATAACTTCTGAATGGTAGGTACTAGGGCTTTGATATTTCACATGTGTATTTTTTTGTGACAAAACCTACCAACATTATTGACATCCTGACCTTGACCTTAGGGTTTGACCTATACTTCAATCTTGGCCAAACTTTTGAGCTGTTGGTGCTAGGGCTTTCATATTTTACAAGTATATTCCTTGTAAGAAGATCTTTTTTTAGTATCAACATTTTTTACCTCATGACATTGACCTTTGAGTTTGGCCTACTTTTAAAAGAACTTTCACCTTGTCTATGAGCTGCCATATGGGGGGCGTCAACCAGTGTTTCACAAACACATCTTATATATTGGAAACTATAAAAAAAAATAAAAAATAAAAAAAACAAGATTTTCTGACTCTTGACCTTTTGAACTCAAGATCTCCCTATGTTTTTTTTTAGTTCCCTTGATTTTCCAGAGATAGAGCATCACCTGTTATTATTATAAAGACTATTAGCATGTCACTTTAAGAATTTGCAAGAGTTGGTATATTTTTTTCTTGGGGGGGGGGGGGAGAGAAGGTAGTGATTTATAATTTTGTGATCCAGCTAATTTTATGACCTTTTAAATGAGAAGGTTAAGGACCTACTAATTTTGCCAATGTATTGTTTATAGGATGTTCTGTGTGAGTGGAAACATGTTAAAGAGCAGTGTCATCGCCGTGGACGTTTTGACTCTGGCACTGTGACGGATCCCAACAAATGTAGAATGCCGTGTCATCAGTAAGTATGAGATTTTGTAAATTTTTTTAAAAATTCTTATTTTGTTAAGATATTTACATTTTGAAACTCCATATGAATTGCTAAATATTTATAATGTGCATGCATGACTTCATAGTGATACACTGTTTGAAGAAGGCCTGTAAATTTCTTACAGAACTATGTACGATAAAGGCATATCCCTGCCCCCATTAAAGTCAAATTTTGATAACCTCTTGAAATGTGCACAATTATATATATTGTTTAAAACAAATCTGACAATATCCATTATTGATTGGGGAAAAAATAATAGCATTTTTGTCTCTTTGACATCACAAACTTTTGAGCTCATTTGTTTTTTAAAAAGAGAGGAAAATGCATGAATTTTGTTCAATTTTGACTCAATCAGTGAGAAGTTCTTAAGAAATTCTTGAAAAATCTTAAATCTCCCATTTCAATACCAGTATTCAACTGAATATGAAAATTCTTCATAGAACTCGCACATTATTGTTTGTTCAGTAAAACATTTTGGAAATGACCGTTACATGACTAACAATTTTACCAACTTAGGTGCATCATAAATTATCATGATTATACTGTAGACAATGGAAGTAACTAAGATACTTATTAGGCCAAAAATAAAATTAGCTTTGTTTGGCGTTGCCGGCCGACTCACAAAAATCGGTGCGGTCCGAAGAATTTTTTCAACAAATACTGATCATAATTTTTATTTCGTTATCATCCAGATTTAGTTGTTTGTACATTTGCGTAATATATACAGAATGGGAAAGAATCATGTAAACGCTTGATTGATCAAACAGTTTTCATTTGTAAGCGTCTATGTGATGTTGAATAAATGCGTATCACGAATCCAAGCATGGCTGTCGAAAGCGGTAAAATGTAAACTCGGTATAACAGAAGTTGATGGCATGACTCTCTGTGGTAATGTGGTTCTAAAAGTAAACTGATGAATAAGATATGCCAGTTCGAAATAGAAATTTCACGGTACAATGTCCTGTCTGATTTGCTAGTCTAGCTGCCATGCTTGGATTCGTGCACATGATTCGAATTTACACTGATTTTTATTACTATGTACATTAAAGTTTAAAACTAATAGGGTTTTAAAATCAATGACAAAACTGAGAATCCATTCGGACTGTGGTTGTTGGTAAACTATCGGAAACCCATGACGTTCGGATACTAACAACATGTACCATTTCTGAAATTTAAATAAAGAAAAATATTTTCCCTACCTACCGACCCAAACGTATAAAGACTAAGTCGGCAACGCCAAACCAACAATATTTTAATTGTGGCCTTAAGTGGTAAAAATAATATATACATGTACTAAAGTGCTGTAGATATGAACTTTTTACATTTACTATAAATCGTACAACTGTGAAGTGTTCTGTAATTTCCTTAAACATCATTCTTGTTCAGTTTGTATTTACACCTCTGTAATTTACAGAGAAATTTCAGCCCTGTGGGAGTACAGACTTCCTGTAGAGCCAGTCAATGACTGTCCATAGTTGTTATTAATATCTGTCTAATTAAATGGAGATGACTGGTGGAAATTTCTGTTCATTAGCATATTTGAATCACTACAGCATCCCACACACTAAAGATTAATCCCTCCTCCCCAAGCTCAACCCACACAAACAAAAGGACTATAGTCAGTAATGGCTAATATCTGCCCTCAGAATCACATTTTGATGGGGAAATCTCAAATTATGTTCTAAACCAGGGGAGATATATGTAGACTTAAAAGCATTAAACATTTTCATCCATCGTGACATCATGACTTAGATATGACATTAAAAAATGATGTAAATTCAACATTTCAAAAGAAAAAAGTGCATTTTACCTTGATAATTTGATTGGAAAATATTGAGCTAAGGTCTGCTCAGACTCCCATCTTTTGATATAATGTGTAGAATGATAATATCAATGAAATGTGTGAAAATAGTTCCCAAGCAAATTTGTGCTCTATTGAAACTTAAGTCAAAATTGAACAAAATTCTTGTTTTTCTCTCTTTAAAAAAGGGAGAGGGCGTAATAAGTTTTCAGAACTTGTGCCCAATCCCATTGTATTTATTAATTACAATAAAATATGTTCAAACCAAAAAATAATGGGAAATCTGAATATTTTGTGATGTCACAGAGACCTAGATGCTAATATTTTTTCCCAAATCAATAACGAATTGTTAATTCAGATTTGTTTTATACAACACTATTAAGAGAATTTTTGTCATGAATTTGTTTAATTCACTCTATGAAAATAACAGTGTCAGTGAAAATATCAATTTTATTCAACAGATGAAACAGTATTTCACTGTTAAAAATGTAATAGTATGTTCTATGCAATACCAGTAATTTTATATTTCACACATATACTTTTTAGCTCACCTGAGCTGAAAGCTCAAGTGAGCTTTTCTGATCACCCGTTGTCCGTCGTCCGTCCGTCCGTCTGTCCGTCTGTCCGTCCGTCCGTCTGTAAACTTTTCACATTTTCAACTTCTTCTCAAGAACCACTGGGCCAATTTTAACCAAACTTGGTACAAAGTATCCCTGGGTGATGGGGAGTTTAAATTGTTAAAATAAAGGGCCAAGTTCCCTTACAAGGGGAGATAATCAAGAAAAGACAAAATTAGGGTGGGGTCATTAAAAAATCTTCTTCTCAAGAACCACTGGGCCAGAAAAGCTGAAACTTATGTGGAAGCATCCTTGGGTAGTGTAGATTCTAAATTGTTAAAATCATGACCCCCGGGGGTAGGGCGGGGCCACAATAGGGAATCCAAGTTTTACATTGAAATATATAGGAAAAATCTTTAAAAATCTTCTTCTCAAGAACCACTGGGCCAGAAAAGCTGAAACATACGTGGAAGCATCCTGGGATAGTATAGATTCTAAATTGTTTAAATCATGACCCCCGGGGGTAGGGCGGGGCCACAATAGGGAATCCAAGTTTTACATTGACATATAGAGGAATAAATCTTTAAAAATCTTCTTCTCAAGAACCACTGGGCCAGAAAAGCTGAAATTTATATGGAAGCATCCTGGGATAGTATAGATTCTAAATTGTTAAAATCATGACCCCCGGGGGTAGGGCGGGGCCACAATAGGGAATCCAAGTTTTACATTGAAATATATAGGGAAAATCTTTAAAAATCTTCTTCTCAAGAACCACTGGGACAGAAAAGCTGAAACCTATGTGGAAGCATCCTTGGGTAGTGTAGATTCTTAATTGTTAAAATCATGACCCCCGGGGGTAGGGCGGGGCCACAATAGGGAATCCAAGTTTTACACTGCAATATATAGGAAAAATCTTTAAAAATCTTCTTCTCAAGAACCACTGGGACAGAAAAGCTGAAACTTATGTGGAAGCATCCTTGGGTAGTGTAGATTCTAAATTCTTAAAATCATGACCCCTGGGGGTAGGGCGGGGCCACAATAGGGAATCCAAGTTTTACATTGAAATATATAGGGAAAATCTTTAAAAATCTTCTTCTCAAGAACCACTGGGCCAGAAAAGCTGAAACTTATGTGGAAGCATCCTTGGGTAGTGTAGATTCTAAATTGTTAAAATCATGACCCCCGGGGGTAGGGCGGGGCCACAATAGGGAATCCAAGTTTTACATTGAAATATATAGGAAAAATCTTTAAAAATCTTCTTCTCAAGAACCACTGGTCCAGAAAAGCTGAAACTTATGTGGAAGCATCCTGGGATAGTATAGATTCTAAATTGTTAAAATCATGACCCCCGGGTGTAGGGCGGGGCCACAATAGGGAATCCAAGTTTTACATTGACATATAGAGGAATAAATCTTTAAAAATCTTCTTCTCAAGAACCACTGGGCCAGAAAAGCTGAAACTTATGTGGAAGCATCCTTGGGTAATGTAGATTCTAAATTGTTCAAACAGGACCCCCCGGGGTAGGGCGGGGCCACAATAGGTATTACAAGGGGGGGGGGGGGGAATCTGGTAAGGACAGCATGGCCAAAGTTACTCAGGTGAGCGATGTGGCCCATGGGCCTCTTGTTTCATGGAACTAAGGCCAAATAAAATTAATTAATAGTTTCTCAGGCCAAAAATTTCAAAATTCAATGTGGCAGGCAGGTTCTGTTTTTTTTTTTTTTTTTTTTTTTTTTTTTTGAAGCAGGTATTATACCTTTTTTTCATGTCAGTTGTTCAACAAAATGATGATATCAACTTATTCTTACTTTTTTTGCTCTCTTACATTAATTATAATATGTATTCAACTTTAAATAATGTAATTCCAAACATTTGTTTAAAAGTTAATTCATAAAATACAGTATTAACAAGAAATATATTGTTTATCTAATAAAAACGTCTATCTATTAGCATTTATGAAAAGGGGAATAACTCGATTTTCTTTTTCAACTTCGAAAAATAGAAAATTGAGTTATTTCCCTTTTCAAAATGTCAATAAAATTGATCAGTGCGGCAGTTTTTGACCTGATGCGGCGGTGCCTAAGAAACTATTGATTAATTTTTTTTAGCCTAAACAATACAGTTTATTATTTTCAGAAAAACAAACTGTTCCACCTGCATTGCTGAACTTAACGAGTGCTTTTGGTGTGAGACAACCAAGACCTGCTTCCCATTCAACCACTACAGTTCTCATTTTATTCATGGAAAATGTCTGGATTGGGTCGACTATGATGGCAAACAGAAACACTCCTGTATGGATTGCTCCACCAGAACAAATTGTACTTCCTGTTTGGAGAGGTTTGGGTGTGGATGGTGTGGAGATGCTGACAACCCAAAGATTGGAAAATGTGTGGATGGAGGGTTTGCAGGTAACAAGTAGGGATGGGTATCACCAAAAAATTCTGTATCGCGATATATCACAATTTTTTTCCTTAAAATATCATGATATAAATATGATATTTTTACCAGCAAGTTTTACAATGATTTTAAATGAATATTCATAATTTTCCCTAAATATATGCTGGAAAAACATTACTTTCTTTTCATTTTTCATTTTCATAATATAAAACATGTTTGGATGCTGAGATGCCGTTCTTTTACCATTTTCAACATTTTTTATACTTCCTATAATTGTAATTTGAAAGATTGAACAATAATTGAATAATTTCTGGAATTTATAACTATGTGCCTAAATACTGGTATGGTAGTCTCCATATCACGATACGTATCATGCAATAAAAAAAATCACGATACTGTATAGGGGGAAAATAACTCGCGGTGTTAATATTCGCTATATTCACGGTGTTAATAAATCCGTGAATTCAAGAAACAGTGAATAAGTTTTCAGTAACTTCCATGTTTTATTTGGAAATTTGAGAATATACTACTATAGGTATATATACGTGCAGTATATGGTCCTTCGGTAATTACGAGTAGTACTTGTCATTCAATTATTTTAATTATCACGCTTTACTTTAATTCAAATCAGCAGATAATAACATGTATTTGTTAAAAAGCCGTTTTGTTTTAATAGCCAACGCTACATGTTTCATAAATCAAAACACGTGGGTCATGGGTTTTGATTACCCGTGCGTAACTAATGTTACTACATGTACGTGTTACCTGCATTATCATGCGCATTAGTTTCTATCGACATTTTGGTTAAAAAAATCATTCAAATAACTATCGAACTTGCTGAAGATGTGGAAGGATTTTTTCGCCGCGGGGTGTATATGCACTCATCGTAATAGCACATAGGAAAGTCATTCGACGTTTATAGTTGAGGGCTTTTAATCACTACACTTGTCTTAATTAATCGTCAATTAATTATTAAATAGTAGTATAACTATTTTATATAAACCTACCGTTTTGTTCGTGAAGTGAATACATCACACTGATTAATATCATTTTAGCTATGCTGTGGATTAAACGGATATAGAAAAGGGAGTATGGCGTGTAAAACGTTGCTTATTTTGAACATACATCACAAGATTTTGAATATACATCACAAGATTATCGAATAAAGCAACGTTTTACACGCCATAAGGGAGGTAACTTTTATTATATAAAATATATAATATTATATAATTCCGCGAATTCAACAAACCGCGATCTTGTCCGAGGGGAGAAAAACGTGAAAATTACAACCCGTGAAATTAATCCCCTATACAGTATACCAGTATACCGATAAAATTGCACATCCCTAGTAACAAGTACACGTGACATAGGTACATTTACTTGAAATACCTCCAATTTTGAAGTTATCTGTGTACTTTTGTCTTGATAGGACCCTCTGAGGGACCTTGTGATGTCATAGTAAGGGATCACTCTGATACAACAAACCTGACCTTTAGCGGCTATACTAACTGGACTTACCACCAGTGTTTGGATGTTGACGAGTGTCGCCTGGGTCTCCATAAATGTCATGACAAAGCAGAGTGCATAAATAAGCAGGGACCAGAAGATTCCTACGAATGTCATTGTCGGAGAGGGTACAAAGGAAATGGAACTTACTGTGAACCTACGTACGTGGCTTACTTCCACATTAATATGGAATTGTTTTGTAAATTAGAAAATGCAATATGGGGGTAATAAATGTTGTCAAGATTGTTAAAATGTTGAGAAATGACTGCAATAAAACTTAAAATAGATGGAACTATTTTTGAAATTCTTGATTTGTGAATAGCTGTTTGCAAAGACTGTAAAAATATCTATAAGCATGATAACTATAGATATCTTGTTTTTTTTTTCCAACAATTACAATATTAAGAATTTTCCTCTGATCACTTGCTGAACACATCTTTATTTCTAGGTGTTACCATGACTGTGTAAATGGCGTTTGTTCAGGGGCCCCAGACTATGAGTGTGATTGTGACCTGGGATGGACAGGAGAAGACTGCAGCATCAACTGTGGCTGTAACTTCCACAGTACTTGTCACAATGGTCTTCGACAGTGTGACAAGTGTCAGGACTTCACTGATGGAGAGTTCTGTGAAAAGTGCCAGTTTGGTTACTATGGTAACCCAGCTGAAGGTAAAAATTTTGTAAAAGTGTCATGCACCTTTATGAATGTTTATCTTGATCCACCCACATGAGTAGGAAAGTTTAAAATTTGACCTACGGTATGTCAATCTTCAAAACTTAAAAACTTTTGTAATATCAAAAAAAGGGGGGGGGGGGCAGTGCATTTATTTAGCATGATATAAAATCTTTTCTGTTCTTTATCATAATATAGAAAATGATGATTTCAATGGAAATCCTACTAAACAGTCAAAAATGTGGCTTATTCCTGTAAAATATTTCAGGTTGCCACAAATGTAGCTGTAATCAGCATGGAGATGTCACTAAGGGAATTTGTAACAATGTAACGGGAGAATGTTACTGTACTGGGAATACAGAGGGACTGGTGTGTCAGCACTGCTCACCAGGCCACTATGGCTCACCTGAGTAAGTATCAAGTCTGCATTATTGTTCAACCAAACTTGCATGGATGATACATCTAGAGATACATATTAACTGATGCTGCAAGTGAAGTGAATTGAAATTTTTTAGCTGCTTAATGAAATCCTATTATGATGAACTTGATACATGTAATAAATTGATCTTACTGAACAATCATTTGGTGTAAGACTTAGCCTTACTAATGGACATTTGTGAAGTCAAGCTTTAATATCTCTGATTTCCTAGATTTACAGAATATCTTATTCAGTGAATGATGGAATATTTAGGACAGTTGATAACTGTGATTTAAGATATTGCTGACCTAATGAAATTGACATTATTTATACAGAGATGGGGGAAAATGCTACAGAGCTTGTAAAGGTAGAATTGTAATAGAACAAGCTGAGGGTTCCCTAGGATTGCAGTTACCAGCAACTTCTACAAAAAGCAAGAACCTTCATTGTCTGTGGATCATCAATGCACCAGATAAGGCCAGCTCCAGGACAACTTTTTCACTGATGGTGGATGGAATTGCCACACTTTGTAGAAAGGTGAGTAAAATGATATTGGGGTGTAAGTATGTAATAAAAATTTTGGTAATTTTAAAAAAAAAGTTGTTTCTTTCCTGTGTAGATGTCAGTTATCAATAAAATCATTAACAATGAAGTGTAAGAGTTTGACATAGGAGAAATCAATTGTTTATTCATATACTGGGGACATTTAAAAAATTCTGAACATTGCTTGATAAACTGTGCATTATTTGAGATTTTTATACGCCCGTCTTTAGACGGGATGTATTATGTTATGGCGTTCATGTCCGTCCGTCTGTCTGTCTGTTAGCTTTTCTCGTGTCCGGCTCATAACTTTAATACTATTAGGGCTAGGATTATCAAACTTTGTCAGCTGATACTTCTTGGGTAGAAGGTGTGTCGCACACTAAAAGTAGGTCGCTCTGACCTTTAATGAAGATGCTATGGCCAATTATGGAAAAATCCTGTCTGGCTCATAACTAGAAAACTATTGGACTTAGAATCATCAAACTTGGCTAGTTTATGCATCTCAGGTAGAAGGTGTGTCACGACCTATTTCAAGGTCAGTGTGACCTTCAATTTAAGTGAAATTTAAAAAAAAAAACTGTCTTTTTACTATTAGATTACACAATCCCAAAAAATGAAAGAGTGTTGCAGTATTCTTATTAAAAAAATGTTAAATCAAGAAAATACTTATTTTTTTCATATATACTTTACAGCAATCTACTATAACAAATGTAATGTTACAAGAGAAATTCCACCTCTCCCATGGGTGTAATTATCAAGCGCTGGTCAAGAAGAATTTGATAACGGAAAATTGCACAAAATTGCATGTCAAATTAGAGAGAAATTAAGGAGTTTAGTGTGAGGAGCTAACTGGTAGAGCATCTCTGATCAAGCAGGTGTTATCTATATCTCTTGGGAACTGGACAAAAAGAATCAGCCGTGTTGGATTAAATAGTTGGGTAGCCTAACTTTTAAAATGAATTTGGTGAAAAGTAATTAAAACTTATTTGATATTGTATAATAAATTAATTTGATATTGTATAATAAACCTATTTGATATTGTATAATATAATTAAAACTAATTATACTCAGAAATTCCACCTCTCCCATGGGTGTAATTATCAAGTGCTGGTCAAGAAGAATTTGATAACGGAAAATTGCACGTCAAATAGAGAGAAATTAACAGTTTAGTGTGAGGAGCTAACTGGTAGAGCATCTCTGATCAAGCAGGTGTTATCTATATCTCTTGGGAACTGGACAAAAAGAATCAGCCGTGTTGGATTAAATAGTTGGGTAGCCTAACTTTTAAAATGAATTTGGTGAAAAGTAATTAAAACTTATTTGATATTGTATAATAAATTAATTTGATATTGTATAATAAACCTATTTGATATTGTATAATATAATTAAAACTAATTATACTCGGGGGGGGGGGGGGGGGGATATTGGAATCAGCATGCTTGTTGTCCGTATGAATTGCAGCTTTTAAAAAACCAGTCTGACATTAAATCTAAAAAAAAAAAAAATCAAGTATTTAAAAAAAATGTTTTAATTATGGTAGATAGTCCCTACAAATCTAAGAGTAATGCAGGGACCTTATTAAAAATGTTGCATCAAGATTACACAAGTTTTTTTCTTCTTTTCATAAATCTTTGTTTTCAATGGGCATTTGTCAAGCTCTAACACAACCAGTTGAGGATCTATAATATAATATTTGTTATACCAGTAATTAATGCCTACACCACAGGAGATGTATAAACAAATATTATGAGGAATGCAAAAATCACTGAAATCCTTGTATCAAAGTTGACATGATTTTGTTGCACTCTAAACTGTTTATGACAATTGAACAATATTTGACAGGCGTATCATGCTGTGGTGGGGCACTTTATTTGATCAGGAAAAGATGTGTTTATTATAATGTCACCCTAGTTTTTTGTGATGTTTTATATGACTGCTAAAATGATATCATAATCCTAGAAATTCAATATACTAGAAGACAGCAAAGTTCAGAAGTTTTTAAATCTCCTTGTAAATTCATTAAATTGTAGGAATTATTTCCACACAGTTAAGTTGTATGAAGGAACATGCATGTTCACCAACAAAATATATGGAAGATTGAAACTCTTTTGAATTAATGAAATTTGCATCTTTGGTTCATAATGTTATTTACTGAAATGCAATGCTCTGGGATAGAATTTGATGTTTGTAATATGTTGTAATATTTAAAAAAAAATGGTGAAATTTTGACAGAATATGTGTTTTCTCAACAGAAATTAACGACAGTAAACAATAAACAAACACCCTCTGAAGCTCTTGTACAACAAATCTTTTTTTAAGAGCAAATTTTATGTGTTTTTTAACATCAATATCAGTGACCATTGCATTTTTCAACAGCACATATGATTCAGTAGTTAGGTGATGTTTTCTCTTGTTCTGTGTAAATTCATTTCACTTATTGCACACGCATCTTGAAAAACAAACTTTTGGGGGGGGGGGGGGGGGGGGGGGGTGAAATGTCTGAGATGGTTATATTGTATGGTTCTCCGTACCTTATTGTTACAGAATCATTTGATGGTGTTTGATGGAGTCCCAGACTTTATCTCTGGTAGCAATGCAAGCAACACACAGAGTCGACTCCTTGGCACTTTTTGTGGCTTTGAACAAAAGAATGAACTCTTTCAAACAGTTACTGGAACAATCACTGTCTACTATGAAATGGATTTGGGTAAATTTTTAGATCTAGAGGTCAAAGACGAGGTGAACTTTGCATTGGTAAAGTGTCCATTGTCCATCCTTTTGTCTGTGTGTCTGTCTTTGAACAAATATTGAAAATGTTATTCTTAAATTGAAATTGTGTACTTACATGTATATATAGATGATATAGGATTTATAGGAAATGAGTATTCGAAATGACTTGTATCATAATCTTTTGAATGACCTCTCTAATTTACCTGTGCATATGAGCATTACTTCTCAACCAATCAGATACTTCTGGAGCAGGTCAAAGTTGTTTAACCTCTATTTGTGAAAGGGAGCACCAAAGCTAAGGGCACCTAAGTCTCTCTCAGGAACTTTCCTAATTGTGTATTTTTGTTTTTTGTTTTTGTTTTTTTTGTTTTTTTTGTTTGTTTTTTTTGTCTTCATTTTAAAAAAATAAAAGATTATAATTGTTTCTAAAGGCATGAAATTTTATCTTTAATTCTTCAGAAAACTAGTACTAGCATTCCAAATGATTCTTATGTAAATATAATCTTCCCATCTTCACTAAAGATAGACTGTTCTGTATTGTATTTATAGAACACAAGAACACACTTGTGACACAGCATTCTAAATATTAAAGTTTTATTTTCATGAATGATGTAACAGAGGTTTCTAAGAATAGAATAATCTATTGCTATTTGTTCCCATCATTGTACATTAACTTTTGAATATTGTAAGGAATAACTGATTCAGTTTTGGCCAGATTTATATGTATGTATTAACATCTTTGAATGAAGAAGAACAAAAGTTTTAATTTTCTTGGTTCCCATTTTCTGCGGGACACAGGATTCTTTACTCCTCAGAGCACTAGCATGTAAATTGTATATTTATTTGATTATTACTGTATAATGAGCAGTAAGCTCTCTCATAAAATCCATGTCCTCTGGGCCCAGGGGTTCAGCCCCTATGGTATGGCCAAGTTGGTTATGAATTCCCAAGGCTGTTTGTATTAAGTATTAAGAGAAACAGTGACAAATCCCATGAGCCTCTTCTACTTTTATGGTGAAAATAAGATGGAAGTACATGAGAAATAAAAGTTTATTTTGGGTCTGTTTACAAATGATAAGCAACTTGGGAACACATGATAATTTACGTACAGGCTATTTGCATCATCTGTTATTTGTAAACTTTTGAAATTATTAGGACATCTGAGTCACTCTTTTGATGTATTGTTGTTTCCATCTATCCATCCAATGTTCATATTAAACTTTTGAACATTTTCAGCTTTTTTCTTTGAAGTGGCCAATCCATCAAAGTTCGTGTAATCTTCAGAAATCTTCTATACTCCTGGTTATCCAGCAGGCAAACTGTTTACATGATTTCAGTTAACCTTATCTTAAGCTCACCTGAGTCAAGGCTTAAGTGAGCTTTCCTGATCAAAATTTGTCCATTGTTGTTGTCGCTGTAAACTTTTTACAATTTCTTCTTCTTCAGAACCACTGGGCCAATTTCAACCAAACTTGGCACAGAGTATCCTTTCGTGAAGAGAATTCAAGTTTGTTCCGGACATTTAGCATGCACATTGCTTGATTTTGAAAAACAATTAACTGCCAGTCAAAATAGTGAAATTGGATAAAGGTTTGAGGTCCCAAAGTGTAGCTAAGTTGGTCATTTGTTAAAATTATTCCTTTACTCCTCTGAAGCAGGCTAACTTCTCATGTGATCCTTCAAAAATGAATTTGCTAACCTTGAATGATCCATGCTTCAGGTCCCAGGGTGAGGCAGTGTATGTTATATATATATGTATAATCAGATCTGGTTATCTTGAATAGAAGGGGGCCATGAAAATAACTTTTAGATATCTGAGGATTTGAGATACATGTATTGACTCAGAGGTTAAAATACATAAAGAAAAAGTTGTAACTTCCAATTGGACATATCCATGGTATTCAAAATATCAGTGTTCAATTGTATATCCGAAAAACATTATTGTGTCTTTGAAAATATTAGCAAACAAACTGAATAAATGATGGTTTGTAATGAGTAATAAGCCCACAACTATGTTTGATGGTGCAGTCAGTTGGCTAGCACATTTGTGTTTTTAATACTGGATATCATCAAAAAACCTGCCACTTCAAACCACACGATACGTAAGGAAGGTTAAAGGTTGGACACAGTCTAGACTGTGACTTCACTTCTTTCACTACATTTACATGTGATCCTATGGATTTCAGGGTCAAGAAATCAAATGTAAAGGACTTTAAAAATTGTAGACAAATTCTACATGTTAGTAATGAGCAATCAGTCCTCAAATTATTAAATTTTTGTGCCCCATAGTTTGCCATTGTTATGAATAAAAAAGAGATTCTTTGTAAAATAAATTGGAATATCTGGGTACTGTATCACAGTCAGTATATTTATCTGTCCACCCACTTTCCTTTTTAATCCTAATGCAGTTGCTACAGTCCTTGTTCCTATATAAGTGGATTAAAAATGCATGTGTGTGAAATAATTAGCCAGTCATGAATTCATGCAGTCTGTCTCTCCCACCTCTATCACCTGTGTGAAATCTTGTTTTTGCGTTTTTAATAAATTACTGACAGCTCTAGACAGCATGTTGCTTTTGCTAATTGAATATTGTTCTCAGCTAAATGATCGTGATTACAGTGTGAAAGTAGATAATGTTATTGTGTTTCCAAATGTTACACTGATGTAATAAGTCCTGTGTTATTACATCATTGTTTAGAAAATAGATCAAAGTAAATATTTTTCAAATAATAGCATCTGGGTTTTTTTTTAATTTCATTCTCTTTAACACACTCACTCCCTTCATTGCAAATGCCAATGAAGTCTTTTTCATAGTTTTTAGATTTTTGTGTCCTCTGCTAGAGAAATAAAACATCAAATCAAACCATAGTGGCAGGAAGTCAAAACAGAGCTGCGATGTCATGAATTTTCCTTTAACATCAATAGAATACACTGGATTGTGGTCAGCAGCTCCATAAGCTTTATTCTTCATGTCTCTGAGGGCAGCTTTGTACTCTTGTAGCTGGTTAAGAAGGCCTCCTCATTTTATCTCAAACCAGTAGAGCTACAATCTAGTCAAAAACTTAAATCTAGCTATTGTTGATTATAACTGATGAATTATTGATTTTTTTTTTGCCCCCATATCGAGGATTCGGGGGTATATAGTATTTGTCCTGTCCGTCCGTCTAGCTGTCTGTCAGTCTGTCTGTTTTGTTTGTCTGTTGGTCCGCAAAAACTTTAATATTGTTCATAACTTTTGATTGGTTGGAGCTATAGCTTTCATATTTCACATGTGTATTCCTTTTGACAAGACCTCTCTTTGGATACCATCATATTTGACCTTTTGACCTTGGCCTTGGAGTTTGACCCAGTTTTACAAAATTTTACCCAACTTTAACTTTGGCCATAACTTTTGAACAGTTGGTGCTAGGGCTTTCATACTTCACATATGTAATCCTTGTGACAAGACCTTCCTTTGGATACCAACAGCTTTGACTGTTTGACCTTGACCTTGGAGTTTGACCTACTTTTGAAAAACTTTAACCTTGGCCATATCTTTTGAATGGTTGGTGCTAGGGCTTTTCATATTTCACATGTGTATTTCTTGTGACAAGTCCTTTCCTTGGGCACCATTAAATTTTGACCATTTGATCTTGACCTTGATGTTTGACTTCCTTTTGAGAAACCTTTTCCATATCTTCTCAATGGTTGCTGCTAGGTCTTTAATATTTCACTGGTATATTCCTCGGGACAAGACCTTACTTTGGGTACTAACATATTTGATTTGCAATTGAGAAAGTTTTGCCATATGGGGACATCTTGTTTTTTATGCCCCTGGTATAGTGATTATAGACATTGGTTGTTAAAGTGTATACCTTTCATTTTGTATTTCTTTTAAAGGTCTCGATTTTCAAAGTGTATAACCTGCTTAGCCAAGCAACTTTAAAACTCTATATATATGAGTTTTAAATAATACATAAAGGATTCGTAGGGAATTGAGATTAGAATTACATGTATCACAATGAAATTGTATTTGTAAGTAACATGTTGATTTTTTTTTCATGTTCATGCAATGACAAAGATCAATTCTGTCAGTAAAGTCTCAGCTCTTTCATAAAGATGACCTTTAATATTTTTAAGTATATATATATTTTTTATTTCAGATGATGATTTAGAGGACCAAAGAGGTATTATGTCCGAGACATTCAGTTTTAATTTAAGGAAATGAAATCCAGATCAGATAATAAGAATACACAGTCATTTATTGATTATTTACATTTCTTGTAACTTTTGATAGGGTTTAACCTGAGTTATGCTGTCAATCGTTGTCAGTCCTGTGGACCCGAGGAAATCTGTATTGGTACCACATGCAAGCAAGACCCAAATCACTCTAATGCCAAACAGCATTACAATGTCTGTCCGGAGAGGTGCAACACTAAAGTAGGTGGAAAATCCTGTATAAAAAAGAAAGATGTTTAGATTCATCATCTGTTTGTTCACTCATGTAAAACATTTGGCTTTGATGATAATGATTTTCCAAAAGAAATCTAATTTATAATCGAATGTGAACAATTTCAGCGTACCCTGTGGTGCAAATTTTGACAAAACTTCACTTTTGACAACTTTTTAAGGGAATAATAATCATTTATCATAGTAAGAGTTATCTCTCTTGTCAGAGGGTCAGTGATCCTTGAGTTATCTCTCTTGTCAGAGGGTCAGTGATCCTTGAGTTATCTCTCTTATAAGAGGGTCAGTGTTCCTTGAGTTATCTCTCTTATCAGAGGGTCAGTGATCCTTGAGATAAAAATTTAGGGATGTACAATAGAGTGTAGATGCTTGCAATTTCAGTTAAATTTAGTAATTTTAAGTTTTTAGTCTCCTACCGGTGAAACTGGAGGGGACTATAGGTTTCCTCTGAGTCTGTCCGTCCGTCTGTCTGTCTGTCTGTCTGTCTGTCCGTCTGTCCCTCTGTCTGTCAGTCCGTCCCACTCGGTTTTCCACACTTTTCTTCTAAACGCTTGCAGATATTAAGCTGATTTTTGGTATATGAGTGTATCTTGATGAGTTACAGATCAAGCTTGCAATTCGTTTCGCTTCAATGATTTTTGACGGAATTACGACCTTTTGAATTTTTCAAGGTTTTCCACGATTTTTTTTCTAAACGCTTGCAGATATTGAGTTGATTTTTGGTATGTGACTTTACCTAGATGAGTTATAGATCAAGTTTGTATTTCGTTCCACTTCATTGATTTTTGATGGAATTATGGCATTTTCAATTTTTAACGGGAACCAGATTAGACTTGCTGGTAGGGGACTAGTATTGCTAATGCAATACTCTCAGAATGCTTGTTATGCTTAAGTTATGTGTCGAAATGCTCAGCAGGACAATCCAGTTGTTTTAAAGTACTGAAAGATTTTGCACTCACCATGTGTTACAACTTTATAAATGGTACTATCCTTGAATGTCAACGGAGATTTATGAATATCAGTGACCCCTCTTACAAAACACAGCTCTGTTCTTTATTATACCCCCCACAAACCAAGTTTGGGGGGGGTATATAGGAATCACCTCATTCGTCTATCCGTCCATCCATCTGGCTGTGCAAACGTGTCCAGTCCATATCTTTCTTATGGAGGAACATTAGAATCTCCTACTTCACACAAAGAATGTTCATGACCTGAGGATGTGTCATGACCTACCCAAGGTCATTTGGGCAAGTTCAAGGTCACTGAAAGAAAAAGTTCATATTTCGTGTCCAGTCCATATCTTTCTTATGGATAAACTTGGTGAGTTCCCATTTTACACAAAGATTGCTTATGACCTGAGGGTGTGTCATGACCTTGACCCAAGGTCATTTGGGCAGTTCAAGGTCACTGAAAGAAAAAGTTCAGAATTCATGTCCAGTCCATATCTTCTTATGGATAAACTTGGTGAGTTTCCATTTTACACAAAGATTGTTCATGACCTGAGGATGTGTCATGACCTACCCAAGGTCATTTGGGCAAGTTCAAGGTCTCTGAAAGAAAAAGTTCATATTTCGTGTCTGGTCCATATCTTTCTTATGGATAAACTTGGTGAGTTCCCATTTTACACAAAGATTGCTTATGACTTGAGGGTGTGTCATGACCTTGACCCAAGGTCATTTGGGCAAGTTCAAGGTCACTGACAGAAAAAGTTCATAATTCATGTCCAGTCTGTATCTTTCTTAAGAAGAATAATGTTGGGATGTTGGGATTTTCCACTTCAGACAAAGATTGCTTATGACCTGAGGGTGTGTCATGATCTTGACCTATATGCACTGTAGAAGAAATGGATAAATAATGCATCCATACTTTCCAACAGAGAAATACTTGAAAAATTGTTATTTATTTTTTCAATGTAATAAAAAATTGTTATTTTAAGTATTGATGTTTTATTAGGCTGTGCCTTAGTTTCATTCATTAAAAAACTTAATGAGTAATTACCAGTAAATTTTCACTCTAAATGTTTAAACACATTGTGAACACCTCTTAGATCCATCAAATACTAGTATTAATTACTTGTCACCTTCTCTGAAAAACCTGTGGGGGTATTTGTCCCTTTTGGATAGTTCTAGTTTTTACTGACATTTAATTCTTGTAATTTCACAAAGTTGTGAATTAGACATAGAAGAATTGCAGTATTGATCTTACGGGGTTAAACGTTATTACTATCTATACTTATTTTTCACAATTTATCAGGGGCCACATTTTGTACACTAAATGTAATCATTCTTCATAGAAAAATGTGTTAAAAAATGTCAAATTTTGTACTAAATGACTCATCTAGATATATGTCATGGCATATTTTAGCAAATAAATCACAATACAGAGTTGTCAAAATTTTGAAATCGCTATCAGGCATTTGGTCTGACAAAGTGGAAAGTTCTGTCGAACCAGACAAAGTTTTGTCAGACCAGATACATGTACAATACCTTATTGTACCTTATTTTGTACAGGGAGGAAAATAAATAACTGCACCAAATGCCCTTTCTTATACTCAACAGCATTAAATCTCACAATGTTCGAGTCTTTAATGAGAGACATAAATAACACGATATATGTCTCTGCTTTAACAGATTTGATTGTCGGTCACCATGTGGCCATCTCTGCTGTTTTTGTGACCTCACCTAAGCACCCTGATCCTGATCTTTCAAAATTTTGAATTGTGCAATTTTTTCAAGCGGTCATTTGGACTGATGTTTTCTTGTAAGTTATTCGTCCAGACAATTTTTTAACCAGCCTTGCTGACAGGATCAAAGGTTTTCAACATTTCTGCGATATCAGGGGGAAAAAAATCTTTCTTAAACCATGGAATCTGGCATATCATATCTTTTACAGGATCAAAGAATGAATTTTTTTTCACTTTTCATGTGACATTTCAGCGGAATCCACATCAATTGCACCTGCATTCTTTTTTCAAAGCATGGTCCTTGGGGCAAGGATATGACCATAATAAAGAGGTCAACATAAGAATATATAAGAAAACTAGATACTCGTTGCGAGCAACGAGAGGTCTTCCGTCCTATTCTCCATCCTTGTATTATTGTATGCAAGCAAACATATTTATTTATTTATTTATATTCTGTGCTAGTAATAGTGACGCACAGAGGAAAAAACACACTTTAAAGAAATGCTTATTATGGAATATATCACAATGAAATAGGAGGGTAGAATTCCTTCATGGCCGGAAGTGCTCCAAAGGAATAAAAATTTTATTTTGCATCTAAATTATTCACAGCTGATCATCCCTGCAAGTTTACATAAAAAATTCTCATGTTTGAAACAACTTCCGGTTTAACGGCTGGCACTTTCAGCGGAAATAGTTTGTATGGACATGACATATTTTACTTCGGTGCTAGTCCAAAATATCCGTAGAAACAAAAATACTTGAAAAATTTACTTTTTTGCATCGCTTCCTGTCACGACCGGAAGTGACAGCCATGTACGATTTTTCACATGATGCAGATGAACTGATAACTGACTATCAGTTCTGAAGGTTTTAGACTTCAGTCTTATTGAGCAATTGCATGAACAGAATCTCATTTTGGGGACAGAAAAGCATGCGACCGGAAGTGATTTTTACAAAGATATTTGAAATTTCTCTAGACATTTGCAGTCTTAATAAATTGTATAAAAATCATTTCAAAAATTTTATCTATTGGCGATATTGATAGGAAAGTTAAAAAAACCCAATTATGTTGTTTTTCTCTTATAACCGGAAGTTGTCATTTTTTGTTTCCGGTGAAACCAACACATATTGAAACTGTGAAAGAGATTTAATTATTTCATGCAAGTTTCATTTAAAAAGAGAAAAGTTGAAATTTTCAATTTCTTTGATCACTTCTTGTGACAACTGGAAGTGACGGCTGATGCTCTTAACCCAAATGGTTTTGCCTACTCTTCAAGTTCTATTATTTGTATAAGTTTGGTGTCTTAATCTCTTACCGTTTCAGAGATCTCACTGGCGGAAGTTTTCATTTTGAGGATATGAAAACGTGCGACCGGAAGTGAATTTTACAAAGATATTTGACATTACTCTAGACATTTGCAGTCTGAATAACATACTCAAAAATCGTTTCAAATACTTTATCTATAAAAGATATTTATGGGAAAGTAAAATACTCAAATTATGTAGTTTTTCTCTTATAACCGGAAGTTGTCGTTTTTGTTTCCGGTGGGACTGACATATTTCGAAACTACAAATAAGATGCAATAATGTGATGCAAGAAAAGATTCAAAAAGGAAAATTTGAAAATTTTGATTTCTATGATCACTTCCTTGAGCGACCGGAAGTGCCAATGACGAACAAAAAGTAGCGACCAGGCTAGTATCTATCACGATCTATAATCCCTGAAAGTTTGACATTGAAATATTTAGCCTTTCTTGAGATCATCCATGGACAAAATCTCATTTTGAAATCAGAAATTCATCCGTAACTCGGAACCGGAAGTGAGTTTTCCAATTTCCTCATGGATAAAATAACTTCAGATTACAACACACTGTTCAGACCTGTAAATTTCATCCAAATCCACCAAATAGTCTTCAAGAAATTGCGTGCACAAAATTTTGGGCGGAAAAGTAGTAAAAATAAGAAGAAGAAACAGTAGAATCACTATAAGGTCTTCCGTGAAGACGGAAGACCTTAAAAATCTGTTAAAATCTTCAGGATAATACTGTTTAGTAGGGAGACAAATTATTAAGTCTGAGTAGGGTTTTCACCCTCAGCTGCAAATTGCCCTTGTGTGATAACTTAACTCAGACCTGATAATTTGTGATAGTCATCTTTCTCCCTCCTGTATACAGTCTGTAGCTGTTTATTAACACCTCTGTCTCAGACTGCTAGTGAATTTTTTTTTTAGGTCACACATGAGTAATGCTTGTATTCACTGAAAATGTTTGGAAAATAATCCTGCGATAGACTTGCCTAACATTTTCTCTGCTCAGATACAACTGGCTCTGGCCATTGTAATCATTATTTTAAGGAATGAAGCTTATTTTAACCTATGTTATACAATATAACATAACCTGGGGCAGCTTATGCTTTATAAACCACGAAGCGGTTTATAAAAAAGCGTAAACTGCCCCAAGTTATGTTATATCGTATAACATAGGTTAAAAGAAGCTTCATTCCTTATAATTTAATTTCAGTGTAGACAATAAGACAATTTTTCCTCCAAAAATTGCTTCAAATTGAGCATATTTTAAAAGTAACGTCAAGCGGAGTAATACGTTTTTGACGTAGGCAACTTATATTATACGGTATAGACGAAATCTTTTATACAATCAAATGAAATGTTACAACTAAAATTAAATTATATTGTTTTCAACATTTGGGGTATTGATTGTGATGTTGCAATGCCGCTACATGCGCACTGACCCTGCGGTGAATGCGGCTTCAAAACCAGTGAATATGTAGTGTTATGGACCGTTTGCATTTGTATAGATTATATAGGGGCTATTTATAGACTATATAATTAATTCTGTTATTTTATAAAAAATATTTTTATAAAAATTTCATAATTTGACTGCTTATAAGTTTCCTTGAATTTTTTTTTCATTATTTAGTTATCACACCCCTCCAACTTCATCCTCACCTATTTTCAAACTAAAATCATCTTTATAAACACTAATGAACAAGTCATGGTTCAAGTACATCAGAGCCTAGAAAGACTGAAAAAATCTCATTGGAAGACTTGCCATTCAAGTAGCCATTGTTTGAAAAGATGTCTGAGGTGAATTGCACTTCGTACTTCAGAATTTGTCCATGCAGATTTCTTTATGTGTTCTTATATGTTTTAAGTTTACATATAAACCATGATGTACAACCATCTAATTTAAATTTAAAAGTAAGTGCATGTAATAAATTTTGCAGCAGGGAATTTTAAAGAATAGGTTTATGTTAAAGTTGTATTTTTTGTTCAAGACTTGTTTTTTGCCGAAATTGATCTTTGCGCTGAATTTAAGTCTTTAAAACAAGAGCACTGCAAAGCGGGGCATCCCCTCACAAAAGAGCATATCTATAAATGAAGGCAGCACTCGACATCGATCCTGATACAAATTATGTCACTTCCGTTTCACACAAGGTCAAAATAACACACATACAAACAAACTCACGCAAGTGTGTTACTATCCCCTTCAACTCCGTTGCGAGGGGATAATAATTGAGAATATAATCTGTTAAGGAGTGAATTTAATGCAGATTCATTTCAAAGAAAGTATAATTATTTATTTTCTATTTGATATATATTTTGATGCAAGACAACACCTAGGGAGGAAGTGGAATTTCCTTTATGTTTTTTAGCTCACCTGAGCCGAAGGCTCAAGTGAGCTTTTCTCCGTTGTCTGTCGTCGTCGGTGTCGTCGTCATAAACTTTTCACAATTTCATCTTCTCCAGAACTACTGGGCCAATTTCAACCAAACTTGCCACAAAGTATCTTTGGGTTAAGGGGATTCAAATTTGTTCAAATGAAGGGCCACGCCCTCTTTCAAGGGGAGATAATAAAGAATTAGTGAAAAACTAATAGCATCTTTTAAAAATCTTCTTCTCAAGAACCAGAGGGCCAGGAAAGATGAAACTCACGTGGAAGCATCCTCAGGTAGTGTAGATTCAAGTTTGTTCAAATCATTACCCCCCAGGGGTAGGGTGGGGCCACAATGGAGGATCAAAGTTTTACATAGAAATATATAGGAAAAATCTCTAAAAATCTTCTTCTCAAGAACAGCAAAGCCATGATGAGTCATTTATATGGAAGCATCCTCAGTTAGTGTAGATTCAAGTTTGTTCAAATCATGACCCCTGGGGGTAGGGCGGGGCCACAATGGACTATCAAAGTTTTACACAGAAATATATAGGAAAAATCTTTAAAAATCTTCTCAGAAAAAGCAAAGCCCTGATTGATCATATTTATATGGAAGCATCCTCAGGTAGTGTAGATTCTATTTTGATCAGATCATGACCCCGGGGGTAGGGTGGGGCCACAATGGAGGATCAAAGTCTTAAATAGAAATATATAGGAAAATTTCTTCTGATGAAGAACTGCAAAGCCATGATTAGTCATTTTGATATGGAAGCATCCTCAGGTAGTGTAGATTCAAGTTTGTTAAAATGATGACCCCCAGGGATAAGGTCGGGCCACAATGCAGGATCAAAAATTTTACATAAGAACATATAGTAAAAATATTTCTTCTCAAAAACAGAAAAGCTATGTTTAGTCATATTGATATGGAAGCATCCTCAGGTAGTGTAGATTCAAGTTTGTTCAAATCATGACCCCTGGGATAGGGAGGAGCCACAATGGGGGATCAAATTTTTACAAAGGAATATATGGGAAATTTTTTTTAAAATCTTCTCAAGTACAACAAAGCCATTTGTTATATTGACATGGAAGCATCATCAGGTAGTATAAAATTCAAGCCCCCCCCCCCCTCCCCCCAGTAATCTTTTCAATACAAGTGTACTGAACTGATTTGTGCTTTTGCCAAGCCAATGTGCTCAGGTGCGCAATGTGGCCCATGGGCCTCTTGTAAAATAAAGTTTTAAAATGTACATTTTTCAAGGCCAAGGTCAACCATTATAAAATATTGAATAAGAACTAAGTTAAATATTATATCACAGAAATTTTTAAGTATGTTGTACATCCTTAATTTGAAAAATTTATTAGCAGCCTGAAAAATATTTGGTGTCAGGACCATGAAAAACTTTCTGTAAACTTTTATAAAATTAATATCTTTTTTATATATGAGTATTAAGTTTCAAGAGTTTGATGTATACTTATTTAATAAGTTACACAATCTTGAAATATACTCTAAAATCAGGAAACAGTAAAACATGCTTAAAAGGAAGTGCCAGGGACATCCAATTTTGAATGGTTATAAATGTGATTAGTTATATCAATTGGGTTCATACATGGCATGAAAATCACTTCACTGTAAGTGTGCATTCATTGTAATCAATTGTTCACTATATCTGAATTTTACTGTATAAACTTACAACATACTTCTTCTCAAGGCCATTTATCGTTTATTAAATTTTATTATATACCTAACTGTGTATCACTCAATTTTATTGTTGATTTCGCGAAATCACAAATCATGTGATGGTGTGATCTGATATTCCGGATAACCACACTGTGGTTTTCTGAATCCATATCACCTTTCTCTGAAACTGATGACGTAGAGCACAGTATATGTGACGTTTTTTTCTTGCCTATCAAAAAGTTCCTTAAAAATATGCTTTGTTTAAGGGATAAAGTTATATAATTGATCCCCAAAATTTCCTTTTATTATGTTTTGCTATTTGTAGTGAGGTATATAATAAATTTATCATTATAACAGTAACTTGATCTTAAGAGCCGTATCACGTCTCGTTGACAGGCGTGGTTCATCAGATCAAACTCAACGCTTCGCGTCTCGTTTGATCTGATGATCCGCACCTGTCAACTCGACTCAATACGACTCTTTGGATCAAGTTACTGTTATAATAATAAATATATATCCTGTAGGGTTCAAAATCTTTGACGATATATATCATTGAAAGGTTTTTTTGTTTCAGTCTCATGGAACATGTGTTTGTTTATCTGATCTGGATTTGATGATTTTCCCCTGGAACTTTTTACAACCAATCAGCAAGAAGAAGACAGGAAGTGCACCTGGTCGCTATGGTCACAGTGTCACTTCCTGTGGGGAAAACGCTAATTCCTTTTATATGTTTGGAGGGTACTCTCAGGAAGATGGGGCTTTAAGTGACATCTGGATGTATAGTCCTTCCACTTACACATGGACTGAAGTAGTGCCAATCACCACCAACCATCCAGATGGGAGGTTTGGATTATTAACTGTATCTACTTAGCTCTTTATGATATAACTGCTATGAAAGTGGAATCAATGGAATGGCAGTGACATAGCCCCTGTATCTTAATGTTTTAAGCCATCTTGTAAATACATTTTAAACAAATTGAGGAATTTTTACTTCTTAAAAGATGTTTCATGAATTATTGCAAGGTTTTAGAATTGTCAATTCATTTACATTTAGATTCTTTCATCAAGCGGTCTGCAGTCCGGCATCCAAGGAGATTTATGTATATGGAGGGGTTGTGAGGAACAAAGATGGAGCTTATAAAGCAACCAAAGAATTTTGGAAATTTTCCATTGGGCCCAGAATGTGGACCAATCTTAGTGAAAATGTATTTCCATTAACTATGTACTTCCAGAAAGTGTAAAAATTTGAGACTGTAATTAAAAATATAACCTTATTTTCAGTAGAAATGATACTTCTGAAAGCAACTTGTACATGTACTAGATTATTTTCTTTGGCTCAAGAGAGGTTTACCTTGAAATGATTTTGTTGTTGTTATGACAGATACCTGAGGATTTCAGTCCTCTGGCAGGACATTCCATGACCTTGGTGAAGGAGCGATTTCTGGTGGTTATCGGGGGTATCTCCTCACAGGATTATTTCTCCAGTGATGTCTATATCTATAACACCATGTACGAAGACAACAAACCAGCATGGAGCAAACACAGTCTTGGCAGTCTCCCACGGGGTCTGTGTCCTTCCTTAATAGATTTCACAAGAAAAATTCTTATCATTTCAAAAACAAAAAAGAAAACAATTTTAAGAAAGCAGTCAGTGTACAGACAAAAATTAAGATTGTGAGCATTTCTTTTTATTTGTATATCCTTTGACCATAGATGAATGAATCTTGTGATACAGCTGCTAACCAGCAAACAATACAGCTTTTACTGTCAGAAATGTTTCATACAGGAAGCTAATTCTGTTGTGCAGGTTTGTATGGTCACAGTGCAGTGTATGATCCAGACAAAGGCATTATCTACGTTCATGGAGGAATGGCATTTAAACACTCCAAGTTTGATGTTTCGAGGGACACTTATGTGTATAATATGGAGAAAAATATGGCTTATTTTATACATACCAGGAGTAATGAACAGGTATCATTTAGCCCAGTTATACCCAGTTAAACATGTCTGATTTGTTAAGTTTAAAGTCAACTATAGCACCATACTGAAGGTTGTTCAAACTTGTGCAAGAGACAAAGATAACCGTAATATACTTTCCTCAGGGTCATAATCCCAATTTCTGTTCAGTTAGTGGGTAGAAAATTATGCAGATTTAATAGATTGCCATTGTATGTCTTGAATACACTAAGTACGCTATGTTAAATTTTCTGCTGAAAATTTGTGCCCGCACACTTTGTGTAAATCAATCCCACATGGGAAAATGTACCTTAATGCTTGATGTGTAGAATTCAGACAACTTATGCCTCGTATCTTTAGAAGAGAAGTTGATGCAATTACGGCCCATACTGGTAGAAGACTCAGTATTACTTATGCAGTACTCTTAGAATGCTTGACAGAAATGGCATCTTTGCTTGCCAAGAGTTTTTGATATACTCCACTCTTCTCAGAAATATTGCCATTTTAAAAAGATGGCATTGATTGTGTGATGACCAATGTTATATCTGTAGACATTGGTTATGTTACAAACCACAGTAAAGGTGTTTTAAAATTTAACTTTTTGAAGATTATGCAACAAAAAAATTTATGTGCAGTATATAAACAAGGTCTTATTCTATCCACAAATTCTAAAATTATATGATAGTCTACTGATATTTAGAGGGGCCAGACTACTGGTATTAGCTTACTGGATCATTGTTAACATTAGCTTTCCATCACTGGGATGAAACAGTCAACGGATGTCCCACAAAGAGATATTGTGAATAACTATAGGTTTGCAATACATTTGCTGATTGGTCAAGAAATACATTTGCTAATTAGTCAAATGATATCAATTGATTCCTTTCACATCTTCCAAAAAAATTTCCTGATACTTGATAAGCCCAGTTTCTATGAGGATCACTTGGTTAGTTAAAGTGGATGTTACACTTTGTTTGAAAAGCCATTGCATGACTTTGTCATTCATGACTAGGTTTATTAACTTCTAGTTTTGTAAGCTGTGCCTCAAGTGTTCCATACTGCTGTGCTTGCCCTGAATGACTTTGTCACTGGTGACAAGGTTTATTAGATTAATTTCTTGTTTTGTAGTCTATGCCGCGAGTGTTCCATACTGCTGTGCGTGCCCTGGATGGAATGTTGGTGATAGGGGGAATGGGAACCAGAGGGCAAATAACAAATTACATATCGCTCTTCAGATTCAAATGCAGCGTGTGGCAAAAGTACCAATCAGATTCAGGTATGTCACAGAAATCAGTTCTAAGTGGCTCTAGCTTTGATAGTTTAACAGGAATATACACAGTTTTAGTGCACACATACAAGTAGGTATATTTATATTTAAAATGGAAATGAATTATATGTGTAGTAGAGCATTCTTAATTTATTAACAAAGTTTCCATCATTAGTATAAAATTTCCTATGATGATTGGAATAGGAAAACTGATTTCTTGATTTCATTCGTATAGAAACTAAATGTTTGATCGTTATGCCTGAGCATATTTCCTAAGTGTCAACAGTCTTCTATTTATCTGTCATAGACCTTTTGAGCAGTGGCTGAATTTCACCCCCGTAGAATGAATCTGTATGATGAATGTCCTTTCAGATAAGTCATCGTACAGAGAAATGGCCAACTCACTAATAGGAACTAGCTCTATCCGCCTGAAGAAGCGAGTTTATGTGGTGGGGGGGTACAATGGCACCACCTTTAGCCAGGTGGTGGAGATTGAGCCTAAGGAGACTTTCTGTCAGACTGCCCTACAAGAGAATGACTGTAAGGCCATCCAAGGCTGTGACTTCTGTGTCAGTGAAAACATTGGAATCTGTATGGAATCTTCCTCTGACAGGTGACCTTTCCTCAACAGTTGATAATTAAGGAATGTTACTTTAATTACCCTTTTCTTAATTTTTCTTTTTTTTTTTGACATCAGATTTCATTAAGCTATTGTAGTAATTTGGAAATGTTCCAGTTTTAGTAAGTAGGGTTTCTTAAAACATTTCTCTGTCGGCAATTATAATGTGGAAGGAAATGTCAGAGAGTTGAATTACCCTTGCTTCTCCTTACAGCCGTTGTTCCAGGGGAGAGGTTTGTGATGAAGCCTGGTATAACAAGACGGACTGCAGTGTGTACAGTTCCTGTCAGACCTGCCTCACAGGAAGTCCATTCTTCAACATGCAGGTATTGTATATATAACTATTCATATGTAGTATAACATTTGTATATTCAGACTAGGAATTAAATTTCATGAGAATCCTTTCTCCCATTAGAAGTATTTTAGGTTATTTGTTTATCTGGATTGCATCATTCTAAACAAAATGATAAAAGAAATCTGTGTTAAATTTTGATCCTGTATATATTTCATGGAATTCTCTTTTGTAGCCATGTAAATGGTGTATGGACTGTGCCTCCTGTATTAAGGCGGGAGAACAATGTAATAATCACAAAAATTGTGAAGAGAAGTCTGCCATTACATCTCCAGCTCACTGCCTTCAGGAGAAATGTGACGTCGGTCAGTGTAAGGACTGCCTGCATGACCAGGGTTGTATCTGGGCCAACTGTATACTTCAAGGTATGTAGGAGAGACATTTCCAATATTTGATAAACAAAGTTTGCACAGAGTAGGTCCAAAGTTTTACAGTAAAAGATAGAAGTAGGATCTTTTTAAAAAATCTTTAATACGATCTAATCTTGAAATGAAACTCATTATGATTAGCTGTTCGCAAGACCAAACTTTATAGCCTAGATGTTCCAAATCCTTGTCACTAAAGAACACATCTGACTATGAACCATGCTGACTTACCTACGGAACAATGTAATACAATTTAACCTTATCATCTCCTTTGAGATAGGGGCATCAGTAGAGGAGAAAAAATTGTACCTATTGTGAATTACTTAGTGATATTTTTGGATTTCATCTGTTTCAGTGTGTTCAGAAAAACTTAGTTATAACTACTGTATATTACAATTTTTTGATATATAACTGGTCTTTTGATATTTCTTTTTTCAGGATAAAACTACTTGTTAATTTTCATTTTTTTGGAATAAAACAACTTGTTGATTTTCTTTTTTGGAATAAAACTACTTGATGATTTTGTCTTTTTTCAGGATAACTACTGAATGATTTTTCTTTCAGGAGAGAACAACATTCAGATTGTTGACACCAGTTTTAGTTCAACCTGGAGATGTACAAAGGATGTGCTGGGGGGTGTCTGTACAAATCACAGTGTGTGCCCTAGGAGGTGTGATGAGCACTCAGACTGTGTGTCATGTCAGAAAGCGACGGGGATGGGGGCGGGTTCCAGAGGATGTGTGTGGAGCTCCGTAAAACAGCAGGTCTGTTCAGGTTGTTTTAATTGTTTGAAGGGAAATATGACTTGGTTGACCTTATCATGTAGAGTTAAACATCATGAGCTGCAATTTTCTGTTAGAAGTGTTTGTTCTAAAATTTAGATTTACTATATAAATGACAGAAAAAATTAAAGTTTATAAATTTTGTGTTATATATACATGTACTTGTGTTGGAAAAACTATTTTGAAGCTCTAATTGAAGCAAAATTATATTATTACTGTTATTTCATGTTCAAAAACTGCTCCTGGTGTACAGTGTAACCACTTCATCATTTTCAGTTTAATTTTTCAAACATTTTTATGCTGTAGACATACTTTTTCTGTGTTGGATTAATAAACACTATGTATCTGATAACAAATTTTCCGTGGAAAATTGTTGTGCCATACTTGAAGTGCATTTTAGACATACATGTATAATGAGAATTCCTGAAATCCATGTAATTTTCTACCTGCTGATCATTGAACAGAAATTGTGATTCCACAGAATTATGATCCCACAGAATAAAGTATTAAGAAGTTTCTTATCATAGTCTTTTTGAAAAAAAGAAGTAATAAACATCATAAATAATAAGGTTTTTACCAATGGTACCTGTAACAGAATGTAAAAGAAAAAGTTCTAGTTAAAAGTATCAGTCAGACTGTATGAATAATTGTTTTATATAAGATATCTTTGTTTTACCACACATTACTTCAAATCTATTTTATTTTCAGTGTTTTGATGAGGCCCTGCTTCCACTGCACTGTGTTGGGGGGGAGTGTGGAATCATCCTACAGAAAGAGCCACATAAATGTCCAGACCCCTGCTCACGTTTCCAGATCTGTGCCGAGTGCATCCAGGCTCCTTGGTGTGGCTGGTGTGCATTTGCCGGTTACGTTGGAGAAGGGATATGTATGAGGGGAGGTACCCTCAACCCTACAGGGAAGGGGTCATGCTTGGAAAACAACATAAAACACAGTGAAGGATATATACCTAGTAAGTAGACTGTAGGATTTAGTTCAATTCTGCCAGAGGTGCAGATCACCCTTGTTTATGAAAGTTTGTCCATGTAAATTAAAATCATTTTTTTTCTAGAGAACTACAGAACCAGAAATAACAAATAATGGCCAAAGTTGACAATGTTAATTTAATTTGAATGTAGCCATTGCAATAGGGTTAAGCCAGAGTAAGAATTTCTTACTGGAAAAAGGGGTGTGTTAAGCCAGAATAAGAATTTCTTACTGGAATAAGGAGTGTATGTGTGTGTGTGTGGTGGAACATTTCAAAACTGTCTTATTTTAGTACAGAGTCTTCTGGAAGTATAGATTTAAATGTGTCCAAAACATGAATTGTGTTTCCAAGATAAGGTCAGAAAAGGCACCGTCATTTTATAAATGAATGTTCAAGGAGATATTTTAAGAAGAACTGTAATGAACTAAATCGATTCAGTTGGAGAAGTCAGTGTACAAGCAGCCTCATAGAGTTTCATGGGGTTTGTTTGTTATGCCCCCTTAATCAAATATTCAGGGATATATAGTTTTTGTCCTGTCTGTACGTCTGTGTGTCTATTTGTTTATCTGCAAAAATTTTAACATTGCTCATACCTTTTAATTGGTTGGAACTATTACTTTCATATTTCACATGTGTATTCCTTGTGACAAGACCTTTCTTTGGGTATCATCATTTTTGACCTTGACCTTGGAGTTTGACCCAGTTTTGCAAAACTTAAACCAACTTTAACCTAGGCCATAACTTTTGAACAATTGGTGCTAGTGCTTTCATACTTCACATTCACGTTGTTCATATCCTTTGGATATGAACAACTTTGACCTTGACCATGGATTTTGACCTACTTTTGAAAAACTCTAACCTTGGACATAACTTTTGAATGGTTGGAGCTAGGGCTTTCATACTTCACATGTGTAATCCTTGTGACAAGACCTTCCTTTGGATATCAACAACTTTGACCCTTTAACCTTGACCTAGGAGTTTGATCTACTTTTGAAAATCATTAACCTTGGCCATAACTTTTGAACAGTTGGTGCTAGGGATATCATACTTCATATGTGTAATTCTTATGACAAGACCTTCCTTTGGATACACTTTGACACTTTGACCTTGACCTTGGATTTTGACTTACTTTTAAAAAACTTTAACCTTGGCCATAACTTTTAAATAATTGGTGCTAGGACATTCATACTTCACATATGTAATCCTTGTGACAAGACCTTACTTTGGAATCCAACAACATTGACTTTTTGACCTTGACCTAAGAGTTTGACCTACTTTTGGAAAACTTCAACCTTGGCCATAACTTTTAAATAATTGGTGCTATGGCTTTCATAATTCTCAAGTGTAATCCTTGTGACAAGACCTTCCTTTGGATACCAACAACTTTGACCCTTTGACCTTGACTTAGGAGTTTGATCTACTTTTGAAAAAAACATTAACCTTGGCCATAACTTTTGAATGATTGGTGCTAGGGCTGTCATACTTTACATGTGTAATTTTTGTGATTCTTGTGACAATATCTTCCTTTGGATACAAACAACTTTGACCCTTTAACCTTGACCTTGGAGTTCGACCTACTTTTGGTAAACTTTCACCTTGGCCATAACTTTTGAATTGTTGGTGCTAAGACTTTCATACTTCACATATGTAATCCTTGTGACAAGACCTTACTTTGGATTCCAACAACTTTGACCCTTTGACCTAGATCTTGGAGGTTGATCTACTTTTGAAAAACTTTAACCTTGGCCATAACTTGTGAATATTGGTTCTAGGGCTTTCATATTTCACATGCGTATTTCTTGTGAGAAAATCTTTGATTGAGCATCTTTTATTTGGTCCATTTGACCTTGATTTTTGACTTACTTTTGAAATACTTTAACCTTTTCCATATCTATTCAATGATTGCTACTAAGGCTTTCGTATTTCACAGGTATAGTCCTCGAGACAAGACCTTACTTTTGGTACCAACATATTTGATTTGCATTTGAGAAAGTTTAACCCTCACTATAAGTTGCCATAGGGGGGCATCAGTTTTTCACAAACACATCTTGTTTTTATGCCCCCGTATCAAAGATTCGGGGGTATATAGTTTTTGCCCTGTCTGTCTGTCCATCTGTCTGTCTGTCTGTCTGTACGCAAAAACATAAACCTTGCCCATAACTTTTACTTGGCTGGAGCTATGGCTTTCATATTTCACATGTGTATTCCTTGTGACAAGGCCTTTTGTTGGGTACCATCATGTTTGACCTTTTGACCTTGACCTTGGAGTTTGACCCAGTGTTGCAAAATTTTTACTGATCTTTAACCTTGGCCATAACTTTTGAACAATTGGTGCTAGGGCTTTCATACTTCACATGTTTAATTCTTATGACAAGACCTTCCTTTGGATACCAAAAGCTTTGACCTACCTAAGAGTTTGACCTACTTTTGAAAAATGTTAACCTTGACCATAACTTTTGAATGGTTGGTGCTTTTGCTTTCATACTTCAGATGTTTAATCCTTTTGACAAGACCTTTCTTTGGATACCAACAACTTTGACACTTTGACCTTGGAGTTTGACCTTCTTTCAGAAAACTTTAACTTTGGTCATAACTTTTGAATGGTTGGTGTTAGGGCTTACATACTTCATAATGTAATCCTTGTGACAAGACCTTTCTTTGGATACCAGCAACTTTGACCCTTCAACCTTGGAGTTTGATCTACTTTTGGAAAACTTTAACCTTTGCCATAACTTTTGAATGGTTGGTGCTAGGGCTTTCATACTTCACATATGTAATCCTTGTTACAAGACCTTTCTTTGGATACAAACAATTGTAATCCATTGACCTTGACCTTGGAGTTTGACCTACTTTTGAAAAACTTTAACCATTTTCATAATTTTTGAACGATTGGTGCTTCAGCTTTCATATTTCACCTGTGTATATCTTTGGAGAAGGCCTTTCCTTGGGCACCATTAATTTTGACCATTTGACCTTGTCCTTGTTGTCTGACATACTTTTGAAAAAATTTTTGAACCTTTTCCATATCTATTCAATAATTGCTGCTAGGGCTTTCATATTTCACAAGTATAATCCTCGAGATAAGACCTTACTTTGGGTCCAACATATTTGATTTGCATTTGAGATAGTTTTACCTTTGCAATGAGTTGCCATATGGGGGCATCAGTGTTTCACAAACACATCTTGATTTTACACAGAAATTCTTACATTGAATGTGTAATTGAAAGGGAAACCTTTAATTTTCCTAATAACAATCCTCTTCTCTCTCTCTCTCTTTGTACTAGCCAATACAAGCCGTAAGTTTTGATTGTCAAAATAGTTGATCATTTTCTTATATTTCCCATGCATGTTTTTTCGTGTTTGTGTCACCTGCAAAGCAGTGTGATAGAAAATTGTCTGCTGTCTGTTTAATTGTATGTTACAAGACTTAAATAGTTATAAAAGTGACTGACCTCATGACCTTTAAGTTCATTAAACAAAAAAAAATAGTTTTTACTAATGATATGTTATAAATACAGTATATAGGGAACTTGTAGCAAGCAGCTTAAAGAACCACCAGCACAGTGAGCACTTGAGGTAGCTCCTGGGCAAAGAGAAAACTAAGATGGTGTACTAATTGATCCTACTGAATTTTTTCTGTAAACCACAGCCTATGGCTGCCCAAAATTACATTCTCATGATAATCGGATTCAAAGTAAAAAAGCCCTGGGGGGAAGGATTGGGCCAATCAAAATTTTACATTGAAATATATTGGAAAAATCTTTAAAAATCTTCTTCTCACTAACCACTGGACTAGAAAAGGTGAAACTTATGTAGAAGCTTTCTGAGGTAGTGAAGATTTTAATCTTTTAAATCATGACCATTGGGATGGGGCCACAGTAAGTATTACGGGGGGGGGGGGGGGGGGGTGATGTGGTGAGTTGCTCAGGTGAGCATTGTGGCCCATGGGCCTCTTGTCTAACAAAGCACAGAAATAAGTTCCCAGATGGCCAGTTTGAAGCTTTCATTATATACACTAAATGTTGCTATTGCAGGTGACACATTTATCTTAATTGGAACATGCTAGTTTTTTCATATACATTGTGTATGATTTTTTTTTTGACATTGCAATTGGAAACAATACATCAACAAAATTGTATATTACTAAAAGAAATGATTTAAGTCTGATGCAATATTTTTTCCATATATCTTCTCTATAGATGTCTTCTTTTCAATTGCATGTTGTAAACACATTCAGATTTCTCTCTGTGTGTTGTACATCACCATTTACACATGTATTGTGAAGCTTTTTTTTTTTTTACATAGGCAATGGTATTAAACTTTATTTATTTCAAAAAGAAATCTAGCTTAGTATAAACAATAAGTTGGAACATTTTGCACTGTAAATCTTTCCTTCAAAATTAGTCTTTTACTTCCAATAGAGAAATCTCTCCTATCAGAGTGGATTCTCAGACTTGTACAATTAAATGAACACCTTGATCATACACATGTACATATACTCAAGAGAATTTTTTTTTCTAAAATGGAAGTGGGATATTAAGCACACTAACATTGACAAGTTATTGAACTTGATATAATTAAATAATTACACTGTACTCATAAATGAGATGTATTTAAAAAAAATTATTCTTAATATAGTATTTTTAAAGAAACAAATAAATTTGATGTAAACAGTGTATTTATCAAGGCTTCCTGTTTTTTAAACAATAGGAATTGGTATTAACTGAAACATTTGCAAAGGAGATATTTTAAAGAATTTTCTGTAGAATTCCTTTTTCCTTTTTGCAGTCAAAATGTGGACTAAGAAGTCTAAAGGTGTCCCGACCTGGGCCTACAGTTCCTGTCCCCCTGAGAATGAGTGTATTAACACTCATCATGATTGTGATAATGAGAGTGAGAATTGTCATGACACAGAGACCAGCTATAACTGTACCTGTAAAAAAGACTACCTAAAGGACCCAGTCAGGTATGTACTACCTGTAACAAAGACTATGAGGTAGTGTAGATTCTAAATTCTTCAAATCATAGCCCCAGGGGTGTAGGGTGGGACCACAATAGGGAATCAAAGTTTTACATTGAAATATGTAGGAAAAATATTTTTAAAAAATCTTCTTCCCAATAACAACTGGGCCAGAAAAGCTGAAATGTATATGGAAGCTTCCTGAGGTAGTGTTTATGCTAAATTATTCAAATTATGACCCCCCAGGATAGAGTGGGGCCACAATACAATAGGTATTACAAGGGGGAAAATCTGGTGAAGAACAGCAGGGCCAAAGTTACTCAGGTGAGCATTGTGGCCCATGGGCCTCTTGTTATTTTTAATCACAGTCTTTATAACTTGCCACCAAAATGACTAAAAAGAAATAGTTTACTATGATAAGTATTATAAAATCTGATTGCCTTCCATATTCCAGTCACTCAATTTAGATCATTACAAAAAAAAATATATTATATATATTTTGCCCCATGTTATTTTAACCCTATTACCCTTACAAAATAATTTAGCCTATTTTATATTCACTCACTAAAGTTGTGTGAAAGAGATAACTCTTGTCTTCATTGCATTAGCCCCTTTTAAAAATCACCCACATGCAAGGAAGATGAAAGGGGTGAAAATAAAATGGGTTAAAAAATTCCCTGTGTACGTATTCATATACAATCCTAGAGTAGTGTAGATTCAAGTTTGCTCAAAATGGCATGAATTGGGCCACAAAGGGGATCCAAAATATTAAACAGAAATGTAAAGGAAATAAGGAGTCTCAAGAGTTACATAGCTACAAAATATGCAACCATGCTCGTGTGATGTAGATCTCAGTTTTTTCAAACCATGGCTACTAGCTTCTAGCAGCAATTTATAATTAGCCACAGAGAGAATCCAAAATTTTATAAAGTTGTAATGAAAATTGTTTAAAAACCTTTTTTTAAAACTACAGGGCTACAATTTGGCAAATTCTTATATAATGTATTACTGTATGTTTAGGTTCATTGAAACCATTATACTTGGGAGAGACATTTGGCCATAAAGGGGATCCAAAACTTTTAAATGAAAATTGAGATTTTGAGCTTCAGTGGGTACTTGTTGTGTATCTTTGATCAAAGCAGGGGAGGAGAATGAACAGATATTCCACCTGATTTATCACTATTCTCGCATTAAAATTAACACTGCAATAAAGAGTACAAAATGAGGAAATTATGATGCCTATCTTAAAAATGCCATAGCCACCCGAAGGACATTTTAATTGTTTAACTTAAAAGGTGCATTACATTAAGGCCCTTTACATGTAAACTGAAAAATGGGGGTATGGTATTTTACACCATCTCTAATAATATTTTGATGAAATTCTGGCTTGTTTTGGTTGACATCGAGTGTAATGCTTACACAGTCAGTACAGAGTTATGGTTCTTTAGTTTGCTAGCAACTACTTTAGTCTTATTTTACTGGAATGGAATTAGCTTCACCTCGCTAGGTATCATCCCGTACCTGGTTACTACATGACTATGTATTGCAAGACCTTAAAGGTTTAATACTGTAAAGCTGGTTTATTATGAAGACATAGTACAGTTGAACTTCAGTATCTCGAACACTGATATCTCGAATGCCATGGATATTTTGAAGTGATTCGGAAGTCCCAACCACTTATTCTTTAAGTATTTTACACTTGATATCTCAAATCCATGGATATCACGAAGTATTTTCTTGGTCCCATTGAGTTTGAGATAACAAGGTTTAACTGTATGTTTACATTGTATTCATGTTTTCCTTTTATTTCCACAGTGGTAAATGTAAGCCCCATTGTCATGAGAAATGTATGAATGGGACATGTGTCCGGCCAGAAGTCTGTCAGTGTAACTTTGGTTATGTTGGGAAAACATGCCAGACAGAATGTCAATGTTTTGGGAACAGTGATTGTCTAAATGAGCTCTCCCTGAAGATTTGCCACAACTGTTTGAATCATACCAAGGTAGTTTTTGAAATCAGTATAATTGTAATGTTAGATGCATTATGGGTACCGCACACACTCACACAAACGTAATGTATGACGGTTGTCGAATCAATTGAAATCGAGTCAAAAATGGTTTCTCAATTACTTCAATTTAAAACTGTGTACCCGGTACATATTTCTAGAATTTCAGATCCAACAATATGTACTTTGTGGTCAACCCTTTACTAGCAGACAACCCTATTGTATATAAAATAAGATTTTCATTCCAAAGCAATATAAATGGGCGACTTTCACATTTACAAAAGTTATTTCCCTTTGTGAGGTCAACGTGCATAATCCACTGTTTTCGCTTTATAATATTATGAACTTTAGGGGGCAGTGTCTTGCAAATTGAATCTGTGTGTATATACTTGTTATGTTTTCTTTGATGCTCCATACCATGGCATACAGGAATGGTACAAAATTGTCTGAAAGCATTTGAAGGTTTAAAATATTTAGAGGTAAGTTACGAAGGATGACCATTATGCCAACAAAGAGAGATAACTCTTAGGAATGTGAAAGTTGTCAATAAATGCCACTACACTGATGTTTATTTTGTGTAAATGTTGCAAAACTTTAGATCTTTAAGGAAACAAATTTTGAAGGATTACATTTCATTAGGTAAATGTTTTTTTGTTGTTGAAACATCCTGCTTTATTATGTAGGGTAAGCAGTGTCAGTACTGCGTGAGTCGTTATGTGGGAGATCCGACCAAGAGGAAGCCATGTGTGTCCTGTTTTGTCCACTGTCATAACCACACCTCTTCTTGTGTCTCCATGGCAAATTACAGTAACCACTCATTCATGGCTAAATTCTGGAATAACAACTCCATATTAGATGATGTAAGTCAAAATTTTGTTTTTTAAGCTTGTTTCGTGTTAAATATTAATTAATTATGGTGTGCAGTCAACTTGGTATTTACTAATAAATAATGAAACATGATTCTGATATATTAGAGATTTCCATTTGTGTGTCTAGACACCTATCCGATGAACTATCATGCACAGGCACTGATGTAATATCATCTTAACAAGCATTCTGAGAGTATTGCATTAGCAATACTAGTCCCCTACCGGCAAGTGTAATCTGGTTCCCGTTAAAAATTGAAAATGCCATATTTCAGTCAAAAATCAATGAAGCAGAACGAAGTGCAAACTTGATCTGTAACTCATCAAAGTAAAGTCACATACCAAAAATCAGCTCAATATCTGCAAGCGTTTAGAAAAAAAATTGTGGAAAACCCTGAAGAATTGAAAAGGTCTTAATTCCATCAAAAATCATTGAAGCAGAAAGAAATGCAAAGTTGATATGTAACTCATCAAGATTTACTCACATACCAAAAATCAGCTCAATATCTGCAAGTGTTTACCGGTAGAAAAAAAGCAAAAAACCAAGTGGGACAGACTGACAGAGGGACAGACAGATGGGCGGACAGACTCAGAGGAAACCTATAGTCCCCTCCAGTTTTACCATCACCTTTTTTTCACAGCATACATTTCCAGTAATAACCTAATTCACAAAAAGCCCTAATAACCTTTTGGAGGAACGTTGAGAATTCATACTTCACTCAAAGATTACTTATGACCAGGGGGTGTGTTATTTTCTTGACCCAAGGTCATTTGGGCATGTTCGTGGTCACATTTAGGAAATTGTGCATGTCTCTAAAGATTTAATTTAAACAATATTTATCTTCAAAAGGAAAGGGATTGGCCAGCAGGCAAAAATTCCTGTTTAATTCCTTTCCCTATAGAATATGTACATGACTTGATTGTTGGGAAATTTTACACTAATTACATGGTAAGTTTAAAGTCACATAAAATCCCCCTTTGTATGGAAGAAAAAAAAAGATATATATATTGGCAAGTTCTAGAGACATCATTACCATAAAATTACCATAAAATTGATGACAATGAATTTTACACCATTATGTAATGTTGGTCAAAAATGTGTACTTAACCTCCAATGCTAATAACAACTTTTACAGTTGTAAAATGTATCCAGCAATAACTGAAGATATCTTCACTGGAATGATTTGAGATTTTAGTATGATGTTGGCCATGATCTAAAGGTATATCAAGATCTTGACTCAAGGTCATATCTCAAAGGTCAAAGTCACTGGGCAGAGATAGTGAAATGTCAGGGCAATAACTCTCAGAACCCTCAAACAGAGTAAATTCAAATTTGAATACTGTAAATGTATTATATTTGTGTACATGTATATGATATTGGGGGGAAATTGATTTTTGAACAAGTTAGTGTAGATTTAATTTAGGGCATTTCTTATTGTTCTTATTTATGTGTATATGTGTAAGACATTTAGCCATGTAATTGAATTAGCAGAAGATTATCTATTTAATCTAATTAAGTTTGGCTTTCTGCCAGAGGCGCTAAAAAGAATACATGGCCAAATATAATACATTTACAGTATGTTAGTGTCCATGACCTAAAGATATATAAAGGTATCTGGGCAAAAAAAAATGTAAAACTGTGCCAGGGCAAAACCCTTGATTTTAGTGAATTTAAACTTTAGTTTGTTGCTATTCATGAGTTGTATCTAGGCTCTGTAGATAATTTGAAATTTTTCACTGGAATATTCAAGTTTTATAATATAATTTATTGTCAATGACATGAAGGTGTGTCATTTGAGATTCAATTTCATAAGGTCAAGGTCATGATCAAGGTTACTGTTGAGGAAAGGGAAAGACATCTGATTTTGTTAAAAAATGTCTAAAATTGGGTCACATACTTGCTACAAAAAGGAGATCTTTAGTAAATGTGAATGGATAATAGGCATTTTATTAGATTGATGAATATTTTGTCAGTGATTTGGAAAACCAACACAATTTAGATCAGCTTATTATACATGCAACTAACGTTTATTTTATTTCTAACATTTCTATTTGGTTCATCAAAAGACTGTTCAATCTATGCAGTATTCAAAATATCTAGTTTTCCTTTAGACTATGGACTAGTATATTAACTTAGTAGCAAAGTTTAAGTCACTCAAGGGACACAGAGTAAACTAACAGCTGACTTTTATGATACAGGGAAGCCTTAGCATTTACTGCCAATAAGGCAGCTGTTGTAAGGGTCAGTAATGGCATCTTTATGGGTCATATTACAATAAGTCTGGATATATGTGTAATAAGTACAGATAATTTACTGTAATAAATACTTTTTGCAGCCACACTTGTCAGGACCAAAACCATCAGATGCCATTTGTTTAGGCTGTCAGAACAACACAATGGGGGAGAGGTGTGATCGATGCCAGGAGGGGTACTTCAGGGTGAAAAAAGAACACAAGACCCTAACAGACATCTGTATCAAGTAAGAACTCGGATAAATGCTCACTTTTTCATCTCTGAACTGCAGTTTGTGACCATTTCTCAGACACTTCCATTTCTGCTGTGGAAGTAATTTGTGGAATACTGTAAAATCACATATTTTCATGGGGTCAAATTTTCGTGGTTTGAGGAAAAAGTACTGGTTTGTGGGAATTAGATTTTGTGGTGGTGATGTATTTGAAAATTTACATTTAGTGGAATACTTGAATTTGTGGATCTCTTTAAACCATGAAAACAACAACAATTAAATCCCAGCAAGAATTAGTAATTTCGCAGTTCACTTCAAACTGAGATTTGAAGGAAAAGAGAGGGGGATTGGTTGGGATCATATAAAATCCTTTTCTCATGGATTCTCGAAAAAATTGTCAAATTTATTTGTTTGCACTCTCATATATACCCAAGAGTTTATTCAAATAGTACCCATTGAACAGGGATGGGGCCACAAAAGGATGTTCAAATGTTCACATAGAATTATAAAGAAATATTCTTCATATTATCATGTGGTAAATTTTGAGTTTACTGGGTGGAGGTAAATGCAAAATTAACAACATTATAACTTACGTAAATTTTGTATTTACCTCCACCCAGTAAATTCAAAGTTTAAAACATGACATTTAAAAACTGCAAAGCTCCCTAACCCTCACCCCTAACCCTTACCCTAACCACCCTTATCCTAACCAGTATATGCATGCAGTCAGTGTTTGAAACTCACACTAAAATTAGCTAGACATGCAGGGCTAATGTCACCCTTATTAGTCTATACAAATTTTTATCACTTTATTATATAGGACTTTATTGTGAAACTTTAAATGAAAAATTAAAATCAATGTGGCTAAACTTATTCAGTTTACTTATTTAAACATGGCATTAATTATTATTTTCATGTTTTCTGAAGAAAGTTTGTATCATCTGTCAATAAAGACTCATGGGAGTTAGTCATAACAGAAAATTACTTATGCATAAAATACTGCATGTTGATAATGAGCTGTCAACCATCTATAAGTTTGGTTTTACAGGTGTCAGTTGTACATAGACTGTTGTTTGTGTTTACAGGTGTCAGTTGTACATAGACTGTTGTTTGTATTACAGGTGTCAGTTGTACATAGACTGTTGTTTGTGTTTACAGGTGTCAGATGTACATGACTATTGTTTGTGTTTAAAGGTGTTAGTTGTACATAGACTGTTGTTTGTGTTTACAGGTGTCAGTTGTACATAGACTGTTGTTTGTGTTTACAGGTGTCAGTTGTACATAGAATGTTGTTTTTGTTTACAGGTGTCAGCTGTACATAGACTGTTGTTTGTGTTTACAGGTGTCAGTTGTACATAGACTGCTGTTTGTGTTTACAGGTGTCAGTTGTATGTAGACTGTTGTTTGTGTTTAGAGGGGTCAGTTGTACATAGACTGTTGCTTGTGTTTACAGGTGTCAGTTGTACATAGACTGTTGCTTGTGTTTACAGGTGTCAGTTGTACATAGACTGTTGTTTGTGTTTACAGATGTCAGCTGTACATAGACTGTTGTTTGTGTTTACAGGTGTCAATGTAATGGACACAGTGATACATGTAAGAATGAAACTGGAGAAGGGTGTCAGTGTCTGAACAACACAGAGACCCCAGCTTGTAAATCTAACACTGACCCTCAGGCAGAAAAGTGCTGGCAAAAACAGGTAGGTCAAGACAAAGACCTCTGTTTGTAAATCTAACACTGACCCTCAGTCAGAAAAGTGCTTGCAAAATCAGGTAGGTCAAGACAAAGACCCCAGTTTGTAAATCTAACACTTACCCCAGCTGTAAGTCTAACACTGACCCTCAGGCAGAAAAGTGCTTGCAAAAACAGGTAGGTCAAGACAAAGACCCCAGCTTGTAAATCTAACACTGGCCCACAGGTTGACAAGTGCTGGAAAGAACAGGTAAGTCAAGACAGAGACACAAGCCACTGACCCCAGCTTGTAAATCTTGCAATGACCCACAGGCAGAAAAGTCATGGCAAAAACAAGCAGGTCAATACAGACAACCCAGTTTGTAAATTGAACACTGACCCACAGACAAAAAAGTGCTGGCAAGAACAGGTAAGACAACACATAGACCTGTGCCTGAAAAGGAACACTGACTTAATGGCACAAAGCTGATGAAAACAAATAGATCAACACAGAGACCCCTGACTGTTTATCTAACATTGACCCACAGACAGAGAAGTGCTTACAAAATCAGTTAAGACAGAGAGCCCTGTCTGTGTTTACTAACATGACACATAAGCAAAAACAGGTTAAGACAGCACAGGAACACCTGTCTGTATATGGAACACACTGATCCACAGGCAGAGAAGTGCCTCCAAAAACAGGTACATGTAGGTTGGTGCTAACAAACTCTAATAGATCAATACAAAACCCCCACCCTCATTCTCATCCCCCTGTAAAATTGGCAAAACAGAGACATTTTGCATGTAAATTTAAAGCTCATCTGCAGGCATTAAGGTGCAGGACAAACAAGTTATGATCCTTCAAGTGAGAAAGGATTGTGATCAGTGAAATGAAAGATACAGGCTAAACAGGCAAATTTAAACATCAAAGATTTCGACTATTTTTCTGGGAATGAAGATCTATAAGATATCTGGTTTTGTGCAAATGAACATTGTCTATTATTTGTTCTATTTTCTTTGTGTTCACTGTATAAAATATATGGGTAGTTGTAAAAGCAAAGTTTTACCCACAATTCTGGTTTATTGTTTTCATTTCATAGTGTTCCAAATGTAAAGAGTACTTTATTGGTGAACCGACAAAGGGACATCACTGCTACAGGCAAATGACAGTAGACAAAGAATACTGCTTTGACCCCAGCACCCAGACCAACTGTAACCAAAACCCAGGGTCTCTCCTCAAAGGGAGGACCGTGTTTTTTGCTGTACAACCTCGGTACCTCAATGTTGACATCAGGATCACTATAGACGTCACACATGGAGGTAGACAATCTGTATAGAATCATGTACAGTCTGGCTTATATTAATATCCGTGTCTTATAGAATGCTTTGTTTCTAGTAAGTTTTTTGAATTTGAAATTGAAACCTTAATCAGTAATACCATAGTAATAATTAGTAATATCAGAGTTATTATAGTAGTAAGTAATATCAGAGTTTTCCATCATTTGATATATAAGAAGACTTAGTATAATTAAAAAGTCTTTCTTAATTTTTTTCTGAGACATCATGGAAACTAATGAGATCATAAAAAGGATCCTTGATCATTTAAAGAGAAGCTGTTATAAATATGAGGATAGACCTGACAAAGAAACTTATCCAAAGTTTTCTTTTTTAATTTCCAAATTGTCAAAATTTGTACTTGTAGCTGCTGACGTGTATTTTTCATCGAGTGAGAAAACATTCACTGTAAATGTACAACAAGGCACTGGAGTACACATGGTGGAACTAGACTCTGACTTTTCCACTCCTCCGGACTCTCTACATACAGGATTCCGTTCACGAAGGAGCATTTTCAATTCCACCTCTAACACGTCCCACCCTCACATAACCCTGCAGGCTACAAACTTCCACACATATCACACCGTGCAGGAGACAGGAGCCATTATCAAGTTTGAGAATGTCCGATCACGTCTGGTAGTCACATTGCCGCTTGACCAGCATGACCTCAGAACGTCCAAGTTTTACCTGATCATTTATGGCCAGGGTGACGGTAGAGGGCGAGGAACATTTGGAAACCTGTACTTCAGACAAGATCAGCCACACATCGATTTGTTTGTGTTCTTCTCTGTATTCTTTAGCTGTTTCTTCTTATTTCTTGCCACCTGTGTTTTATTGTGGAAATTCAAACAGGCTATAGACACCCAAAGAAGTCACCAACGACTACAGAAAGAGATGCTGCATATGGCCTCTAGGCCTTTTGCTAAAGTACTAGTACTTATTGAACCAGAATCCTACATTTATTCCTCTACTCCTGTTCCCAGAAGGAGAACCAAGTATACCAAAGTCACTTCAAGAAATCCACACCACCTCCCCACCCTAACCCCAGTGGAGAGTACTCTACCCCCGTTGACAATGCACAAACCAATGTTTATGAAAGAACCATTGAGCCCTTTTGATGTTGTTCCCATAGCTACAGAGCCAACAGCAGACAATATGGCCGCCTTGAGAACTGTGGTCATTCAGTTACCGGGGGACCAATCAGTGCCCTCCAAACTCTGTCTAGGGACAGGACTCACATACCAAAATAGCCGCACATATAATTATAGCCACCAAAAGTCAACAGTGAGGCAGAGGACTGCCCATCAAAACTGCTGACAGGTTAAATAAGACATTGATATATTTTATGTATTGTCTATTTCACATTAATTAAGGTTAGTTAATTTTCTGATATGAATCTGCTTCTGTCAGTGGCTGCAAATATTCTTTTTCCAAATATTTATTTTGATCACATTGACTTTCGTTGGTGGTGTATAATACTGATTAAGTGTTGTAAAACAGAAAAGTTGTATATTGAGGGTATAACAGTATCACAACTGTGGTAAATTGCAAATCAACTATGTTCTGCTCTGATCTACAATGCCATATTTGGCAGGCTGCATAATATTCATTGATTATTTTATCTGCTTTAATGAGTATAGATTCATAGTATTCAGTCTTCTGACAAGAAATTTAGTTCTAAACTAACACATACTCCAATTTTTACCATTTGGTCTTTTAGGTTGTTTTATTTTGGAATATCAGTGAATTCATTTTTGAAGTTAAAGCTGGTAGTGTCCAAGGAAAAAAACCTATTCAGTGTCATTTAGATTTGGCTGTTAGGAGATAAAAACATACAAGACGAACAATTAAATGTTGGCACACCACCCCTTTCTTTCCTCCTTCACAAGTCCTGATATAAATGTAATTTTTACCCAGTTTGTTATTAAAAAGAATGTCAGATGAGATGTTCAATGTGACTGTGATTACTATTTGAACAAATGTTTGTGTTCACGTGAGAAATGTGTTCTAAAGGTGCTTTATGAATGTTGTCTGTTCCAGCAAGTGTACAGTAAAACTTGTGATTGCATTGAGAAATATATGTTGGATTTGACTGCTGTGAAGTTAATGACTGTGTTTAATGACATTGATGACTTAATCATGGGTATCAGTTTGTAGATTGATGTTTTATATATGTGACTTCTTTAAGTTTGTCTATGTTACTTTATGTTGATATATATCATTGATGTTTGTAATATTTTAAATATTTTCTTCTGAGAGTGCAAGTGCCATATTTATCTCTCATTTATATAAAGTCAAGGTATCTTCATCAAATCTTCAAGCACTGGCATCATAAAATCCCTTGTGTTTAGCTATATTGGTGGACATTCCGTAGTGGTTTCAGATTTGTGTAGATGTCAAAATAACCATGTATACCTCTTTTTTCCAACATAAATGCTCATCTAGTCGTAGGAATGATGTACATTGTACACCATTATATATGTTTCTTTGGCATTTCTAGCTTGATAATTAGTTTTAATCTTGAAGTCATTGCATTATGAATATTAAGTTTATCACCCAGTGATTTGTTTTGTTCTTAGTGCATAAGCATTATTCACTTTGTTTTCTACCAATTTTTTTTTATTTTCATTGATACAAAATATCTGGGCATTTTTATGCTTGGTGTTAAAGTAGTATAACTATTGAACAGTCATTGAATTCCAACTGCTGCCGAGCTTATAAAATGTTGCTGGCAAGATTTCTATAAAATTATAGCAATGTGGGGTTATTTTGAGATTTTCATTGTCTGCTTTAAAAAGAAAACTGTGATATTAATTACTGTAGAATCATTATTGTTTGTGGGTGACCAATATTTGTGGGTCACCCTTACCCCACTAAAAATAATTGGCATTATATTATTTCATTGATCTTATGTATACAAGTTATTCAAGGAATTATGTCAGTATAAACCAGTAAAACTGATTGCCCGTGTTCTTGACCCCCCATGAATTAAAGTGAATCCGTAGTATGATTTTAATAGGGCTGAATGAATAAAGTTTGGATTTTTTATTATTCATTTACACTGTTAAACAATCATAAATATTAAGAGTATTGACAGCAAACAATCATTTTTTTTTTTTCTGGAAGTTATGACTGAAATGAAACCCATATCAAAACAAAAAAAAACAACATGACATTAAATTTGTTAAAACTCTGTCACTATAAATTTGCTCATAGTGCAAACTGCACTGTCAAGTGGATGCTTAATCCATTTATTTTTGATTTGCTTCTGATCTCTGTTACATGTTACTCTAGTCAATATGCTTTAATCTTAATTATCATCAATTACTTTTGCTAATCCATTTATGTAAACAAAAATTGTTGTTTCTCAAAATAATTGTCAATTTGTAGATTGTAAATTATCGATTGTAAATCGAGTTTTTGTTTAAGACAGGCATTCTTGCATGTGTGTGTTTATGCAAAGTTATGTTATATTTATTTGGCTGAAGATATTTCACTGCTTTTTTCAATCAAAATAATAAATTACTTCTTTTATCACCTTTACTTGATAGCGAGTGTGTTTTTGTACCCCTCTCCTCCTCTCTTCAGTATCATGAACCAATTAATTATTGTTTTGCTTGAATCATATACAGTGTTAGTTGTAAAGTTGTACCAAGTTTTGTATAAAATTTATAGATATGTGATGAGAATTATAGATTTAGAAGGAAATGGAATTAATACACTATGTATTAGAATGATATAAATATATTACAGTTTTGTAACTCCATGACAAAGGAAGATGAAGGAATCCTAACAATACTGTCAAGAGATATTTTTATTTTAGACATGAAGAATTGATTAAAACAAGTAAGAGCTAAATTTGGTAGGATTGTTTTGATTTAGTATTAAGGTATCCAATATATATATATATTTTTTAATGTATGATTATAGTCAATGAAACTCCAAGGGCATGAATGAATTTATGGACAGTTATAATTATGACCGATTTATTTTCAAGGTGTGTACTCTTGCAATAATCATCATTGTATGATATTCTAATTAAGGCAATTAATTGCTCAATAGTGGCTGGGAAACTAACTATGATTGAAATAAAAATTGCTTTTTATTATGTTCTGTTGACCTTTGTTGAAACTGGTCTCTTGTATTCTTTTTAAAAGCCTTTATAGTTTTAACCCTTTGCAATGTCTTACTCCTTGATCAATCAGAAATATATATATATAAAATGCAGTGATCCCTTGGCAAATACTTTTGTATTATATAAAAGTTTACAACATTATTATGAGGAATCCTTTATATAGAAAGCTTTAAATAACTATGATTTATTTTAACAGTTTTCAGTTGTATAGCAATGTGTACTTAAAAGCAACACTTTTAAATTATTCATATAGGTAACATTTTTTTATGTATCAGTCTGATATTCAGAAAAGACATGAGGGATGTCTTTATAAAGGGTTGAGAGTTTGTGCCTTTCCTGAAGGCAAAGAAAATGGAATGAATTCAGATATATTTGTATATATTAACTTTTGTTGCCCGATAGATATTGTATTGTATATGTTTAACTAGATGATTGCTATATCCAGTAATTGTTAGCAGAGTGGCTATGTATTTGTTTTTTGTTATTCGCAAGACTGTGTATTAGAGTTGAGCACTTGACAATGCAATAAAATGTACTACTTATCATGTTTTCTCATTATAACTCAAAGAGTGTCTTTTTGACATCATTTTGGAATCAGTTTACATTAGATCCAGTTATCAAATGTCAGCTGAAGACCATTAAGTTTATCATGACCCCAAAAGAAGAGTTTGCAGTCACTTATTCATGTATCAAAGAAAATATTACACATATGTTCAGACATATCCACATATCTTATTACCAGTATACATGTATGTACTTTCCTTTAGCTTTTTGGAATATATAACACTCTGTATTGTAAATACTTGACAAAATATGCATCTACTTCACACCTATAACCAGAAGTCTCTGCCAAGACTGTAGCTGTACTGGTTTGTACTTATAACAAAGGAAGAGAAAAGTAGCACTTAGACTTGAAACTTTGCAACAGCAATAAATAGAATAATGATCTTTGGTTTAGTCTCTTTATGTGGCAAGATTTATTGCAATCAGACTAAAACTTAGGAGGAGAAGCCGTTTAAAAGAATTTAATAGAAATTTCTGTTTTAGTTACCATGGCAACATTCATCAAAATCAAAAAACAAAGACAATTTTGTATTTCAGTGTAGTATACCTGCATGCAATGTTATATTAAAATCAAACCAAACTGTTATAGGAGTAGCATTTTAAAAATATTTCACAGAAATTTCTATTCTCAGTAACCATGGCAACACTGTTAATCAAAAATCAAAAACTGAATTACGTATCTTAGTGTAGTCTACTTGTGTGCCAAGTTATATTGAAATCTGACCAAAATTGTCGTCGGAGTAGCCTTTTGAAAGTATTTCACAGAAATTTCTATTTTTAGTATCAAAATCTATGCAGAGAATTATGCTACTCCTCCTACAGTTTGGTTTGATTTTAATGTAACTTGGCATGCAAGTATACTACACTGAGATACAAAATTGTCTTTATCGTTTTTAGCTCACCTGAGCTGAAAGCTCAAGTGAGCTTTTCTGGTCATGTTTTGTTTGTAGTCCGTCTGTCTGTAAAATTTTCACAATTTCAACTTCTTCTCCAGAACCACAGGGCCAATTTCAACCAAACTTGCCACAAAGCATCCTTGGTTAAAGGGGGTTCAAGTTTATTAAATGAAGGGCCATTGCCCTCTTCCAAGGGGAGATAATTAAGAATTGACAAAAATTTGGTGTCATCTTTTCTTCTCAAGAACCATTGGGCCAGAAAAGTTGAAACTTATGTGAAACCTTCATTACATAGTGTAGATTCAAGTTTGTTCAAATCATGACCCCCGGGGGTAGGGTGGGGCCACAATGGGGGATCAAGTTTTACATAGGAATATATAGGAAAAATCTTCTTCTCAAAATCAACAAAGCCACAATTAGTCATATTGATACGGAATCATCCTCAGGTAGTGTAGATTCAAATTTGTTCAAGTCATGACCCCCGGGGGTAGGATGGGGCCACAATGGGGGATCAAAGTTTTACATAGGAATATATAGGAAAAATCTTCAAAAATCTTCTCAAAAACAACAAAGCCACAATTTATAAGTCATACATGTATTGATATGGAATCGTCCTCAGGTAGTTAAAATTCAAGTTTGTCCAAATTATGACCCCGGGGGTAGGATGGGGCATAATGGGGGATCAAAGTTTTACATAGGAATATATAGAAAAAAATCTTCTCAAGAACAACAAAGCCACAATTAGTCATATTGAATATGGAGTCATCCTTAGGTAGTGTAGATTCATTTTTTTTTTTTCAAATCATGACCTCTGGGGGTAGGGTGGGTCCACAATGGGTGATCAAAGTTTTACATAGGAATATATAGGAAAAATCTTTAAAAATCTTTTCAAGAACAGGAAAGCCATAATTAGTCATATTGATATGGAAGCATCCTCAGGTATTGTAGATTCAAGTTTGTTCAAGGCATCCTCCAGTAGTAGGGTGGGTCCATAATGGGGGATCAAAGTTTTACAAAAGAATATATATAGGAAATACATATGTATCTTTAAAAATCTTCTTCTCAAGAACAACAAAGCCATGATGAGTCATATTGATATGGAAGCATCCTCAGGTAGTGTAGATTCAAGTTTGTTCAAATCATGACAGGCAATCAAAGCTTTACATATGAATATATAGGAGAAGAAATCTGCTGACGAAGAACAACAGGGCCATATTGACTCAGGTGAGCATTGTGGCCCATGAACCTCTTGTTTGATGAATGATGTTGCCATGTTTATTAAAATAGAAATTTCTGTAAAATTCTTTTAAAGGGCTACTCTTCCTACAGTTTAGCTGTTCTGAGCCAAAGACTCAAAGAGCTAATGCTATGCCCAATTGTGCAGTGTGCATCAACTTTTTGGAATATGGGTCATAACTCAAGAACCCTTAGACCAATTACTGTCAAATTGGTCACAGAGTATCCTTGGCCCAAGGGCTCTCATTTATAGTAAAAACAGGGATGGGACCCTTAGGGGAGATAATTAGGAAAATAAAACTAAAAGTACTGGTTGCTAAAAACTCTTCTTCTCAAGAACCACTGGGCAGATTATCGCCAAACTTACTTACAAGGATGAGGATATGTTGTAGATTAAAAAATTGTTAAAGGCATTACCCTGGGGCAAAGGGTGTGGTCTCAAGGCCTTTTCAAATTTGACCAAAACTGATGTTTTGTTAAAACGTTGATATTTTGCTTACTATAAGGACTAGGATAATCAAATCTTGTCAGGTGATGCATCTTAGGACCTTTTATCATGTAGACTTTAAAGTAGGTCACAGTGACCTACTTTTTGAATTTTGCAGGCATTCGTTTTCAAATTGATTAAGAGGCACATTTTTGACACTTTAAGGCCTATGATCATCAAATTTTGTCAATTGATGCATCTTGGGTCCTCAGAGTGTGTCAACTGAAAAGTAGGTCACTGTGACCTACTTTTTGAATTTTATGGCTAATCTTTTTGAAAACATTAAAGGTCATTATTTCAGATACTGAGAGGTTTAGAATCATCAAACCTTGGAAGTTGATGAATCTTGGGGTTTTAAAACAGATTCATCAAAAATAGGTCTCAGTGACCTACTTTTTGAATTTTGCAGGCATTCATTTTCAAATTGTTCTAAAGGCATAATTTGAACACTTTAAGGCTTATGATAATCAAACTTTGTCAATTGATGCATCTTTGGTCCTCAGAAAAAATCAACTGAAAAGTAGGTCACCATGACCTACTTTTGAAATTTTCTGGCTATATTTAAATATTTCTGGTACTAATTGGCTTAGAATCATCAAACTTTGTCAATTGATGCATCTTGGGTCCTCGGAAAAAATCAACTGAAAAGTAGGTCACCATGACCTACTTTTGAAATTTTCTGGCTATATTTAAATATTTCTGGTACTAATTGGCTTAGAATCATCAAACTTTGTCAATTGATTCATCTTGGGTCCTCGGAGAAAATCAACTGAAAATTAGGTTACCATGACCTACTTTTGAAATTTTATGGCTTTTTAAAAATATTTCAGATACTAATTGGCTTAAAATCCTCAAACTTTGTCCTCGGAGAACTTCAACTGAAAAGTAGGTCACCATGACCTACTTTTGAAATTTAATGGCTATATTAAAATATTTCTGGTACTTATTGTCTTAAAATCATCAACTTTGTCAGTTGGTGCATCTTCAGTCCTTGGAGAACATCATCTGAAAAATAGGTCACCATGACCTACTTTTGAATTTTTGGGGGGGCTATATTTGAATATTTCTGGTACTAATTGGCTTTGAATCATCAAACTTTGTCAGTTGATGCATCTTTGGTCCTTTGAAAAAATCAACTGAAAAGTAGGTCATCATGACTTACCTTTGAAATTTTATGGCTTTATTTAAATATTGCAGGTACTAATTGGCTCAGAGTCATCAAACTTTGTCAGTTAATTAATCTTGAGAACGTTGACTTAAAAGTAGGTCACTGTGACCTACTTTTGAAATTTTATGGTTTTTAAAAAAAATATTTCAGTACTAATTGTTTCAGAATCATCAAACTTGGTCAGTCGATGCATCTTGGGTCCTCAGAAAATGTCATCTGAAAAGTAGATCACCGTGACCTACTTTTGATATTTTATGTCTATATTTAAATATTTCTGGTACCAATTGGCTTAGAATCGTCAAACTTTGTCAGTTGATGCATCTTTGGTCCTCGGAGAAAATCAACAGAAAAGTAGGTCATCATGACTTTCCTTTGAAATTTTATGGCTTTATTTAAATATTGCAGGTACTAATTGGCTTAGAATCATCAAACTTGACTGTGTTTTAGCTATTATGGAATTTATGATTTTTTCTCTCTGTAGTATCTTTAGTGTTTTTTACATCAAGAATGAACATGCATAAAAGATAGATAGTTGCAGGGAAATACACCAAAGCTTATAAATAAAATTAAAATAGTCTTTGATAAGGCGAGAATTTAAAACTATAGAAGTGTGGCACCAGGTGGACTCAATCCAAGACTCTAAAAAATACCCTCGGTGTTAATAATACTCAGCGAATATACCAATTGAGCTATTCTGACTATAAATGTAGCTGTCATAAATGTGAACCAGATTGTCGAAAACAGGTTTCCTTTTTTTTTTTTTGGTGATTTCAATCCTAGGGCAGTGGTGCTCCTAAAAAAATCCTCTCTTTAATTATTCCTCACATCATACCCTATCAAAATATCATAATTTTATTTAGGGGCAGGTCTGTCCCAAAGGACTTCAAGACCAAAATTCATGCAAAAACCTGTGTTTTAACGGACAAACTGCTCTTTTGACCAACTTTGGAGGTTAATTTTGAAGTTGCAAAAAATAAATTTTAGGTTCAAAGAGCAAATTTGAAAAATGTAGACAAATAAATGGTAGAAAACATCTAATGAACATTGATTTTTAAATGTTAAATTTTCTGGGAAATTTTTCTCTCCTATAGGTCAAATCTTTTGAAATTCTGAATACATCCCTTACTTGTCTCCATAAACCTCAATGCACTCTTCAGTGATTTATTACTGCTTAGATAATTACATGTTTGAAAATTTTTGGGGGTTAATTCTTTTCTACTCTAAAATTCTTAAAATTAATATCAGAGTTTTATGTTCATGATGGATATATTAAGGATAGAAAAATTAGGTCTGAAATTCATACACTGATGTAAGTGTAAGAGCCATTAAACTGTTGCAAGCACTAATGATCTTGACCTTTGACTTCAATTTTTCCTATTTTGTGTTGAGTACCATTTCAAAGTACATGTAGAACGTTTACTATTCAAGGTATTTTTATGCCCTGCCATGAATATGGCTGGGGCATATAGTTTTGTAATGTTTGTATTTTAACATGTTCTATTTTTCTGTCCTTCCATTTGTCCATCCATCACACTTCATGTTTAGCTCAGTTTCAAAGAAACTATTCAAGATATCATTTATCAAACTTCTTGTGCTGGTACAATCATATTGCTGAGAGCTTTTTATGTTGCATAAAAATTGATCTCTATGACCTTGACCTTGCTATTCTTAAATTTGTGTTAGGTCAGTTACAAATAAACTATTCAAGATATTTATCCAAGATATAATCAAAGATTCGGGGGCATATAGTCCATCTGTCCGTCCATCTGTTCATCTGCAAAATCTTTAACAATGACCATAACTGTTGATTGGTTGGACTATGGCTTTTATATTTCACATGTGTATTCCCTGTGACAAGACCTTTCTTTGAGTACCAACACATTTGACCTCTTTACCTTGACCTTGGAGTTTGACCCACTTTTGTAAAATTTTACCAAACTTTTTAAGCTTCTGACCATAGCTTTTGAACAGTTGGAATTAGGGCTTTCATACAACACATATGTATTTCTTTTGAAAAGTCCTTTCTTTGGGTATAAATATTTTTGACCTTGACCCTGGAGCTTGACCCACTTTTGAAAAACATTAACCTTGACTGTAACTTTTGAATGGTTAGTACTACAAGGGCTTTCATATTTCAAAGGTGTATTCCTTGTGACAAGACTTTTCTTTGACACGAATATTTTGACCCCATGGCTTGACCATGTAGTTAATTCTACTTTTAATAAACTTTAACCTTGGTCATAACTTATGAATAGTTGGAGCTTGGGCTTTCATATTTCAGACATGCATTTCTTGTGATAGATAAGTCCTTTTATTGGGAACCATTGATTTTTATGCCCCCATAATCAAAGATTTGGAGGCATATAGTTTTAGCCCTGTCGGTACATCCATCCTTACGTCTGTTTGTCCTAAGAAAACTTTAACCTTGCCCATAACTTTTGATTGGTTTTAACTATGGCTTTCATATTTCAATGTGTATTCCTTGTGACAAAACCTTTTGTGTGGGTTCCATCTTCACCTTGACCTTGGAGTTTGACCCACTTTTGAAAAGTTTTACCAAACTTTAACCTTGGCCATAACTTTTGAACAATTGGTACTGAGCTTTCATACTTCACATACATATCCCTTGAGGCAAGGCCTTTTTTTGGATACCAACAACTTTGACCTTGGCCTTTGTGTTTGACCTATTTCGAAAAACTTTAACCTTAGCCATAACTCTTGAACAATTAGTGCTAAGGCTTTCATATTTCACATGTATATTTCATGTGACAAGACCTTCCCTCAGATATCAACGACTTTGACCCTTTGACCTTGAACTTTGTGTTTGACCTACTTTTGAAAAACTTTAACCTTGGCCACAACTTCTGAACAGTTGGTGCTAGGGTGTTCATATTTCACAGGTAATTATCTTGTGACAAATCCTTTCCTTGGGTACCAATAATTTTTACCCTTTGACCTTGGAGTTTGACCTATTTTTGAATAAAACTTTAAGCTTGGTCATAACTTTTGAACAGTTGGTGTGTAGGCTTTCATATTTTACTTGTGTATTTCTTGCCACAAGACATTCCCTTGAGCACCATCAATTTTAACCTTGACCTTGACATTTGACTTACTTCTGAAATACTTTAACCTTCTTCATAAATTTTCAATGATTGGTGCTAGGGCTTTAATGTTTCACAGTTAAATTCCTTGAGACAAAACCTTTCTATGGGTACCAACATTTTTTATCTCTTGACCTGGAGTTGAATTGCATTTAAGAAATCTTAACCTTTGCCATAAGCTGTCATACGGAGGCATCAGTGTTTCACAAACAAATCTTGTTACCATTTGACTTAAGCTTCCAGAGGTAGTGTTGATTCTGAGTTTTTTTCAATCATGACCCCAAGGGTAAGGTAGGACTAGGAAATCAAAGTTTAACATTGAAATATGTAGGGAAAAATCTTTAAAATAAAATCTTCTAAAGAACCGTAAAATAAAATCATCTAAAGAACCGCAGGACTAGGTATGATAAAATTTATTCGAGAGCATCCAAACAAGAGGCCCATGGGCCACAACACTCACCTGAGTAACTTTAGCCCTGCTGTTCTCCACCAGATTTCCCCCTTGTAATACCACCCTACCTCCAGGGGTTATAATATGAAAAATTTTGAATCTACACTACGTCAGGAAGCTTTCACATAATTTGCAGCTTTTCTGGCTCAGTGGTTATTGGGAAGAAGATTTTTCCTATATAATTCAATGTAAAACTTTGATTCCCTATTATAGCCCCACCCTACCCCTGGGGGCTATGATTTGAAAAATTTAGAATCTACACTACCTCAGGAAGCTTCACATAAGTTTCACCTTTTCTGGCCCAGTAGTTCTTGGGAATATTTTCAAAGATTTTTCCTATATATTTCAATGTAAAATTTTGATTCCCTAGTGTGGCCCACTCTACCCCAGGGGGTCATGATTTGAACAATTTAGAATCAACACTACCCCAGGAGGCTTTCACATAAGTTTCAGCTTTTCTGGCCCAGTGGTTCTTGAGAAAAAGATTTTTTTACTGACTCCACCCTATTTTTGTCTTTTATGATTACTGTATTTTCCCTTGGAAGGGGTCTTGGCCCTTTAACAATTTAAACTCCCCTTCACCCAAGGATGCTTTGTACTCACTTTGGTTAAAATTTGCCCAGTGGTTCTTGAGAAGAAGTTGAAAATATTAAAAGTTTACAGGTGGACGGACGACGGATAACAGATGATCAAAAAAGCTCACTTGAGCTTTCAGCTCAGGTGAGCTGAAAAGGGTAGTGTCCTACTTTTCTGGTTTTCGTACAAGTCTTTTTCCTACTTCTTCTATTTTGAATAGGCTATTCATAAATTTTTACTACTTTTTCAAAGTAGAGTAGAAAGCCTGATTATAAAGTCCCTGCAAAATTTACTGCTGCACTTTCAAGAACAATGCAATGACATTTTTCTTTCAACATAAATGTTCGTTTTCTTTGCTTTAAGAAATTAATGTAAGAATTGCAATTCACCTAGTGCATCATCAGCTGTACTTACAATAAAAAGATGTCACAAATTTGTGTCAGATTTTAACTAAATAATCACAGAATGCAAACTTCTATTTTTTATTCAACATTTTATTTTCTATTGATAAAACATAACATGACAAGGAAAATTCTATTATAGCCATTACAAATGTTATTAATGACGAATGAATAATTACATGGCACGAAAAACAATCTATGAAACGTACATTGAACAAATCATGGAAGACAATGGACTTTAATGTTTTGATCCTTTCTCAAATTGGACACTACAAACAAAATCATTTACTCGGCAATGGCTGATTATATATTATCTACTTCTCTCAAAAAAAAAAAAAAAAGAAAAAAAAACTATTAAGGGTTGCAAACTTGGCTTCCTCTTTGAAATTTTAAAGTACATATATATTAAATCCTTTTGAGCTAGAATGATGAAATTTGATCGGCTGGCCACTTAACCAGTCATAAACTCCAGAACGGAGTATCAAAAATTGTCAATGCAGTATCATTTTTACTAACTTTTATTTAATTGTACAGTCATGCTCTTTGTTTTGTGTCTTCTTGACAATACCAAATCAAGATACTTGAATATGTAAAATACCAACAAAAGAGGTATACATGTATTTTACTTAGGAAATACGGATTCAGTTTTTAAGTCCTGTCAAGCTCAAAAATATTAACCACATCCCTCAACATGCTCTTCTGCTTTATGTTAGGTGTTAAATGGTAAAAGGGGTGGTACATTCCTATACGTGCCGCATTGAATTTAATGAACAACATAGTGACATAGCAAATTTTTACTCTTGAGTAGTGTGTTTTCTTTATACCGTAATTCAATTTAAAAATAAACATATGAATAGTCTTTAAATCTGTGTGAAATTTACAGTATATAATAATCACAAAAGACTGGTGGGAAGTACATGTATATATAGAATAGAAAAACAAACAAATATGCTTACGTACACATGAATGGAATGAAAAATAACAAAATTTTAATGACAACCTCACAACCAATTAACACACATACAACACTGTAGTACTGACGAGTACCACTAAATGCTATGTACATGTCTGTTCAAGTGAATAGTAACTGAAATAATTAAAAAATAAATAATGCTGATGATTTTCCTGCATTCAATTCAACAAATGAAAACAGCCTTGTATTCAAGACTTATAGTTACAATTTATTTCTGAAAAAAATCATTATGTGCCTATGCTGATGTACATTGAATTGGAATGCTTTTATTCTATTCTGTATGTCAAAGGAAATCTACTCTGGATATCTCAGGTGAAGGCTATACAGTGAACAAAGGGATGTAACTCTATTTAAAGATACAGTGAAACTTGTGTTGTTTATTCCAAAATCTTGCCTAATACAATCTAAATTAGATACCCTTTCAGTAAATTTCATTATTTAAAATGTTATCTAATCCAGAATTTTGTCTAATCTGGCCAATTACTCTGAAACCAGCATTGTCCAGATTAGACAAGTTTTATTTTTTCTTGTATCAGGTGTTATCATCTTCGTCGGAGTAAAAGGAAATATAAAATAGCAGGTCATTCTGGCAGTACAGTAAACTAGGCTTTGTATCATCTTGTTTTAGATCATTGGTTTCTACATCTGCTAACAATAAAAGGTTTAATTTTGAACCTATGACATAAATTTTCATGTCAAAACACCAGAACCTATCACTTATCAAAATAACTTGCCACATTAATTTTAACAAAATGATTGCAACACATGATCATTTGAAAGATAAAAAGTATTAGTTAAATTAGTAAATCTAGAAAAAAAAATTGATATGTATTTGATTCAGAAATCAATATATAAACTTCACAACTCTGTTTCTACTGCTATATTATAAACAATATTCAATTCAAGCATTTTTTTTAAATAAAGCTCTTCTGCCAGATCCATACACACCCCATGACTCATTCATAGCATGATCAGCTGATATGTCTCAACAGTGTGCCAGTAAAGCTTAATGATAATGCTACTCTTAATTAACAGGTGCATAATTATAATGAATGAAGATTGAAAAAAAAAATCATTACATATATGGACAATCTCAATTTAAATCTTATAATGCTGAAAACTCATGTAAAAGAAAGCAAGTTCCTCTTATGCAATTTCAAAAAGTGAAGTTAAAATTTTTGAGGACATAGTTACAGACGAAAAAGTAAAGGAGTATCTTTTCTTTCTGACAGCTAGAAACAATGATTATACAGAGAGAGCAGCCTGGTTATTATCAGCAAATCAGAATAAAAAAAAAATACAGCAAAAAACAACATTATATGTCTCCTCCCCACTGGGGAAAACAATGCAGCACCATGATCTGGAAATAAAATGACTTCTAAGTCGGCCCTATCTTGGTCGAATCTTTTCATAATGGAATCGGTTGCTCTTTTCCACGTAATGTCCATTCACCAGTTCAAAAGTCTGAGATTTGATGAAATGGAATTGCTTGCGAACAAACTGATAGAATTCATTTTCCATTTTCCATATTTTGGAATCTTTTATCTTGGCTAAAGTTTCTGGCTTAGGGGGCACCTTGTTGGAGGTCCTCCTCAAGTGAGACTTTGTACCTGAAAGAATGGAAAAATACAAATTTAGACCTATACTCTACACTTACTGCCATCGAGTAGTGAATGATCTTTTTCATACCAACACCTTCTACAACACAGGACCTTGGTATATATATTGTCTTAACCCAAGGATTGGTCTACATGTCCTGCAGTTGGAGATAAACCATAAGAATCAGCTCTATACTGCATGTCTCCAGAACAATGTGACAGCTTTGTTCTAAACATTTTGTCATACGAGCCACATAGAGCAATAAATTATTATTGTATTGGTATATGTGTGTTGTATTGGTACATGCATGTTGTATTTGTACATGTATGTTGCATTGGTACATGTATGTTGATCTGGTACATGTAAGTTGTTTTGGTACATATATGTTGTTTACATACATGTATACTGTTGATTCCCAAACTACTTCAGATACATAATTTGTTGATCAATACTACTTACCTTCCTCAAACAGTTTGACTGCCCCTCTAAAAAACCTTGGAAGGACTGCCTCCAGGAGAGCCACAAAATCCCGGAGTTCCTCAGTGACCCCCACCACCAAATAGTGGCGCAATATATTCTCCTTTGCCATTTCTAAGGCCCACCTATTACCTGGCTCCCTAAAAAAGCAGCATTCAGTGATTCACAAGACATCTTTTTCCTTCTTTTTTTACTTTTCTCAAAATTTGGAATTTAATCTGTGTTATTCCATCATTACTTCATTATAAGATGAAACATATGACAGATATTTTGTAAATATTTATTCGACACTCAACACTTAAACTTCCAAGTCACACTTAAAACAACATATTTTGGTACTGAGAATACATACAAAAAAGAAATCTCTTCACCATTTAACAATTACAGAAACTTAGGTAATCAAAAATTACAGAGCTCGCCTCAACAAAAGTTATCTTTAAGTAAGGCCAAGTCCAACACTAAACAAATAATCTGGTAGTGTGCATCCCTAAATGCAACATTTATGCAAATTTGGTCCATGTAAGGCTTGCAGTTAGTTGGGAATGGACTTGCTCTAAAATACAACATGGTCACTCATCTAGATAGTGCAGGTCAGATCCCACAACCAAAGCCAGTCTGGTAGTTTGCATCAGCCATGCACGTTTGGTCCAGGTAAGCCTTAACATCTGAAACACGTCTGGTAATGTGCATCCCTTGTTGCATCATCCATGCAAATTTGGTCCAAGAGGGCCTTACAATTTCTTAGTAATGAACTTTAACCTGGTCACATATGTCAAATTCAGCATCTGAAACAAGTCCGATAGTTAGCATCCTAAATGTCTTTTTCATACAAGTCCAGATAGGGCTTAAAGTTACACTGGAATGAGCCTACTCCAAAAACTTGAACCTGGTCACTTAACAGAAAATATTGGTCAATCCAGCATCCAAAGCAAATTTAGCAGTGTGCATCCCTTGATGCAATTTTGGTCCAGGTAGGTCTTACAGTTATTGGTAATGGACCTGCTCCAAAAACTTTAACTGGTCACTCTTCCTGAAAATGTAGGTCAGATCCAGCATCCAAAGCAAGTTAGATGTATCACATTTGCAAGTTTGGTCAGTAAAGGTTACTTTAGAATGAACCTGCTCTAAAAACTTGAACCTGGTCACTTAAACAGAAAAATGTGGATCAGATCCAGCATCTGATGCCTGGTAGTGTGCATCCTTAGATACATCATCCATGCAAGTCTGGTCAACATAGGGCTTATAGTTAATTGGAAATGAGACCTGTTCCAAAAACTTTAACCTGCTCCAAAAACATTAACCTGGTCATTCTTAGGCTGAAAATGCAGCATCTGAAAACTGACTGATACAATAAATTCTACTAGAACCATCATCCATGCATTATGATTAATATAGGGCAGAGAAATCTGCTCCAAAAAGTTTAACTTGGGACACTGATGCCAACACTGATTCCAACACCCAACTACCGTATTACATGATCTTCCCTCAACTTTGTTGAGGTGAGCTAAAAATGAGACGCATCAAAGTACATAGGAAATAAAATTAAACATGACTGATTTTATTCCTCAAATCATAAAGAAGCACTTTTCTGATTGTGATTTACCAACACATGGAGTCCTGTCCACAAAAGAAGGGAATCTGCAGCCAGAGATGGACCGGGTCACAGTCACTGCCCCCCTTCTCCACACATTCATCCAGGGTCTGGAAAAAAATATTAAGGTTAAGGTTATGAAATGCCAGAACTCATGAAATTAACACTACATTGAAAACATGATAAACCTAGACAGTGTAATGAATAAAAAGTTGTGAATAATCTTGACATTGACATCTGACTTTTGTAAATAGCAAATTCTGTCTGTTAATTCGAATGGTGTGAAACATGCCAGACTGGCATTAATTAAAAGTTCAATATGGAAAAGCCCCAAGTACACCAAAATACCATGTACATTTTATACATATATACATGTGTTAATTATTAGAGTCTGGGATTTTTATTAATGATAATACATCCATTACATTTATTGGGTACATATACCGGTATATGTTTTTTTTTCCTCAATCTTAGTACCTTTTCTCAATAGAAGACTATGTACATGTTTCATGTTTGAGAAAGCAGACAATGTTAAAATCATTTTTTTGTTGCATTTATATGTAATACAAACATTTCATATTGATTTATCAATAGGCCTCACAGATTAGATTTCATGGGTCTCCTTTTTTTAAATTGATACTGGTTCATTAGTTCAGAGGGAATCTTTAATCTTTATTAGAATATAGGAAATCTGCAATATCTCTTTGTACACAACCCAATACATATCTCCTTAATATTCTGCTTATACATTCCTGATACAAATTAAATTACTAAATCTCTCTGTAAAATTAATTTGCTGCCTCCCTCCTTATAACAACCCCCTTGAGATAGGAAATTACATCACATGCATTTGATTAAACCCCAGTCATGCCTCCACAATCAAAGATGAATAGTGATTTATCCCAAGTCAGAATCTATCATAGAAATCCATCATTTGCATTGGACCTCAAAAACACTGCTTAGACATTTTGTCTCTGCAATAGAACATGTAGAGCACTGGCGGTTTAGTTCTTCTCCACCACCTTAGACAGCTTGATCATTTCGTACTTTTATGCAGAACTCATTCTTCAAACACAGACTTTGTTAATACTAGAAATTGTGTGTTGTGATTTGCTTGACTGCCATAGGAATTTATGACATCTTCATTATTGGAGGAAGAAAAACTCTCTGGAGTACAACAAATTCACAATCTCCCTACAGACCCAGAAATAATTGCTAATAAGACAGTACAAGTTCTGTAATTGGTTGTTTACTCTGAAAATCTTATGCAAATTATCCCTTTGGTACAATTTTGTTCTTAGATATGAGATGTTTTATGCTCTTATTTATAAACTGCTAATGTAAATTTTTACAGCTAGTATATGCGAGTTTCATTCTTTCAAGATGCACAACAATGAGTCTAAAAGCCCTGAATTGGTAATAAAATGGCTTATACTTCAAAACAAAGACTTCGTTAAATGCTTTTTTTTGTCAGGAAAAGAACTGCAAAGTTCCTCTGTTCTCCTTTGTTTTGTTTGTCTATTTATTTTTAGTGGTCAGTGTTGTTTTGAAAATAGTAATTCCAATAAATTATATACATCTTACTTTATAAATACAAACAAAGATATTTTGCTTTCATTTCTCTGTTTCACAATACAAATCACATGAAATATTTCAAAAGCCAGAAAACTGTTTTAATTTCACAAGCCTCATCTTCTTACCCAAGAACATCTGGTGAAGTACACCCTTAACATAGTAAGTGGTAGAGTCATGTCTCCTCAAGAGACCACTTATATGTAAAATTTACATAAACAATTGTCTTCCTGCCTTGATTTTTGTTCTTTATAAGTAACCCAAAACAACTAAACCCTTGCACACCTAGACCACCAAACAACATTTTTCAATTTTGTACTCAAGTTAATCATAAATTCAGTCATATATGTCAACTCAGTCATACTGAAAAAGAATTTAAAAAAATCAGAGTCTGCGAGATTGAGATATCATGAGAGATTTAATGACAGGACAGAATAAAACTTGTATATCTGAACTGAATCCATAAAAATTAATTTCCCCTCTCAAAAGATCAAAATACATAGATATCGTGTAATATAATATATGTAAGGTCAACAAGAATGATTTGATTGGGCATTATTTTTTTCATTCTATTGCAACAGTGACATCATTCTCAGAATTCTTTGTTCTTTTTGTTGTTTACTGAAAGATCACCTGTTTTAAATGCATAATGCTGTATGCAGGTGTTTTTTTGAAACACCGTTCACATTAAAAAAAGGACCTAAATACATTGAAATACAACACATGAGTTAATTTTAAAAGCAAATACAGCTCCTGTACAAAACTGCATAGAATTACAAGACACCTACCCTTAAAAAAAAAAACCAAATATATAACAAACAGATATTTATGTGACACAAATTTGCTGGCTATAAAGGATAATACTATTGATGTATAGAATTTCTCTGCTGATAACATCTAAAAATTTGAATTAAAGGCCCTAAAAATGTGTATTATTTATTGAATAAGCCTTTATATGAGTGTGCATTACTGTAAAAAACATGAATTAAATCTTGTAATACGGTTGGATCTGTTTTTCTGCTTGAGTGATTGAATGCCATTTTCAATAATGACATGCTGTCAAACGTTTTCCCAAATTTTTTTGGTTAATAATTGACACAGAGATAAAAGTACTCTGAAACGCTGATAAAGGACTATTTTTAGATGATTTTTATCTACCCACAAGTCTACTGATATCAGCTACTGTAAAACATACCTCTGTGATGTAGTAAGAAACAAACTTAAACTAAAGTGACATGTATTAATGCAACAACAGAAATAAAATATTCAACAATTACAAGTGAGAAATTCTTTACCCAACCCATATTTCCTTGTACGTTACCTCTGTATTGCCTGCTTTTCTTCTTCTCAGAAATGGCCGGAAATCATCCCCATAGCGAACAAAGTAATAGTAGGACACTAGACGCTCCAAAGGATCCCTGATTAGGTTTATATAGATTGGCAACTTGGTTACCCCAAACCTGTTGAAAATTACCAAATTTGTAATTTAAGCTTTTATGACATCCTGTTATTTAAAAATTAAAAATAAATGTAATAATGTACAACAATGCAGAAAAATTTCAATAGATTTCATATAATTCATTAACAACCATGAGTAAATTATAACCTTAGCTATCAGTAAACTAAACCTTGAGGCCAAAGGGAAATCTGTGTCCTCTATTCACATGTTTTGAGAGAAATCATCTAAGTAAACTTTCTTACATGAAGGTCTTGAACATTGCATAAAGTACCTAATGCATTGCAACATGAATTTTAATAGCTCATAAAACTGGTGCTGCTAAAACTTTTAAAGTGATTTTTTGAATTTACAACTATTTACTTCTGATAAAATGGCAATGCCAAATTAGCATCTACTCTGTTTAATCAGATAACAACCCAAATCCCCAGTCTTTCCATAGCCTTACAGAATAACTTTGATAACACCAGAAAGATCAAAGGAATAAAATCACACAACAATCCTGCAATATTGATGATTTTTTGCAATAAGATAAAAATCTCATCAACTTTCTGGAGCATCACCCATAGAGGATCAGAGAGATAGCTCCAATATTGTGTTACACATGAACTTCAACATTAACTGAAACTGTAGACGTCTTTCAAGGGACAACGATCTATGAACCTTTCACTTAAGATTCTTATTTCGATCATTTACACCAATTTAATGGTGAGCTAAACATTGCAGCCAACAAAAAATAATCAATTATCCGTAAACTTCTGTGTTCTAATGATTCTATGTACAAAATTAGGATTCTATTCAGTGTTTTATTATTTCTTGTAATTTGTTGTAATACTACACATAATCAAAAGCACATAAAATTATTTCCAAAAATCCTTCAGGTAATGTGTAGAAACCAAGATACAATAATTAACTAAAGGACCATAATTTGAAATTGAAATTTTCATGAAGAATTGTTCAGCCAGTTTCTGCAAACGTTTATCCTTTTTTATCTTGTTTATTCTGACCTGTACATAAATCAATGGCAGAAGAGCTCTACTATATCAGTTATCCCTAGATTTTACCAATGGTCACTGCACTAAGCCTCAATTACACCCAGACTACTCTTGTGACCTTTAGGCAACTGACAAATTAATGAATCACAGGCAGACTAAGGACCCATTACACATTCCCCAACAACAAAAAAAAACAAGAGGCCCATGGGCCACATCGCTCACCTGAGTAACTTTGGCCATGCTGTTCTTTACCAGATTTCCCCCCTTTTAATATACCTATTGTGGCCCCGCCCAACCCCCGGGGGTCAAAATTAGAACAATTTAGAATCTACACTACCTCAGGATGCTTCTAAATATGTCTCAGCTTTATTGGTCGAGTGGTTCTTGAAAAGAAGATTTTTAAATATTTTTCTTATATATTTCAATGTAAAACTTGGATTCCCTATTGTGTCCCGCCCTACCCCCAGGGGTCAAGATTTGAACAATTTATAATCTACAGGATGCTTCAATATAAGTTTCAGCTTTTCTGGCCCAGTGGTTCTTGAGAAGAAGATTTTTAAAGATTTTTCTTATGTATTTCAATGTAAAACTTGGATTCCCTATTGTGGCCCCGCCCTACCCCCGGGGGTCATGATTTAAACAATTTAGAATCTACACTACCCCAGGATGCTTCCACATAAGTTTCAGCTTTTCTGGCCCAGTGGTTCTTGAGAAGAAGATTTGTAAAGATTTTTCTTATGTATTTCAATGTAAAACTTGGATTCCCTACTGTGGCCCCGCCCTACCCCGGGCGGTCATGATTTGAATAGTTTATAATCTACACTACCCCAGGATGCTTCCACATAAGTTTCAGCTTTTCTGGCCCAGTGGTTCTTGAGAAGAAGATTTTTTAAGATTTTTCCTATATATTTCAATGTAAAACTTGGATTCCCTATTGTGGCCCCGCCCTACCCCCAGGGGTCATGATTTGAATAGTTTATAATCTACACTACCCCAGGATGCTTCCAAATAAGTTTCAGTATTTCTGGCCCAGTGGTTCTTGAGAAGAAGATTTTTTAAGATTTTTCCTATATATTTCAATGTAAAACTTGGATTCCCTATTGTGGCCCCGCCCTACCCCCAGGGGTCATGATTTTAACAATTTAGAAACTACACTACCCCAGGATGCTTCCATATAAGTTTCAGTATTTCTGGCCCAGTGGTTCTTGAGAAGAAGATTTTTTAAGATTTTTCCTATATATTTCAATGCAAAACTTGGATTCCCTATTGTGGCCCCGCCCTACCCCCGGGGGTCATGATTTGAACAATTTAGATTCTACACTACCCCAGCATGCTTCCATATAAGTTTCAGTATTTCTGGCCCAGTGGTTCTTGAGAAGAAGATTTTTTAAGATTTTTCCTATATATTTCAATGTAAAACTTGGATTCCCTATTGTGGCCCCGCCCTACCCCCGGGGGTCATGATTTGAACAATTTAGAATCTACACTACCCCAGGATGCTTCCATATAAGTTTAAGCTTTTCTGCCCTTGTGGTTCTTGAGAAGAAGATTTTTAAAGATTTTTCTTATGTATTTCAATGTAAAACTTGGATTCCCTATTGTGGCCCCGCCCTACCCCCGGGGGTCATGATTTTAACAATTTAGAATCTACACTATCCCAGGATGCTTCCACATAAGTTTCAGCTTTTCTGGCCCAGTGGTTCTTGAGAAGAAGATTTTTTAATGAACCCACCCTATTTTTGTCTTTTCTTGATTATCTCCCCTTGTAAGGGGGCTTGGCCCTTTATTTTAACAATTTACACTCCCCTTCTCCCAAGGATACTTTGTACCAAGTTTGGTTAAAATTGGCCCAGTGGTTCTTGAGAAGAAGTTGAAAATGTGAAAAGTTTACAGACGGACGGACAGACAGACGGACGGACGGACAGAAGGACAGACGGACGGACGACGGACAACGGGTGATCAGAAAAGCTCACTTAAGCTTTCAGCTCAGGTGAGCTAAAAACCTTACAAACAAGCAAAATATGACGCCATATTTTAATTTCAATATATTTATTAGAGTACTCAAGGCCACCCGCCCAAAGTACAACACATTTTAAGTCACATGTATTTATATGATGCCATATGGTGAATCTAAACAAACTTTTTCTCCACCTTTAGTGCATGTACATATAGATATAGATTGTCAATTGTCATCTGAGGTATATAATTATCAAGTATGATGGATCATATTGTAAGAGAGAGGGGGTGGTCATGTTTGTTCAGAAAAATTCTCCAACTCTTATGTATACGTGCTTTACTAAATGAGAAATACCAGGCCATTGATAATAGTTAGGAGTTGTGGTCATGGTGGAATTTCCGGAACCTCAAAAAAAAAAAAAAAAAAAAAAAAAAAAATTAAAATCAAGTGCAACACTAATACAGAAGATTGATTGTTACTATAAAGAATGGTGCTAAAACCTTAAGATGATTTTCTGAGCTTTCTCAATGTGAATTGAAGATTCAAATCACGTTTGTACAGTCTGGTTATTTGCAGATCATCTGAATAATGCAGATGTGTGTGTTATTCAGATAATGTCAGTCAATGACAACTTTTGGCAGCCATTCTGAAAGGTTCAAGTTTACTGCATTTAATTTCACTTTTCCTTTGAACACTTAGTAAATTTGATGACACTTAAGACTTTTTCTGAAGAAAATATTAAAAATTATCCTCATTTCCAATTAAAACTTAATGAACACTCAAGTTAATCAGGTGATTAGTAGTGTATGCAGGGAAATTTTTGCTCCTGTTTAAACTGGACAAATTAAAAAAAAAAAAGTTAGAATTGGACAAATTTAAAATGGGGTGAATTCATAGAAAACAGAGTTATTTCCTTCAAACAACTGTGTCTGGGAGAATTTAAAATGGGGTAAAATATTGTTTGCAAGTGTGAAAGGGTTAAAATAATCCTTTATTCAGAATCTAATTTGTAAAACTCAATCAAGGATACTTTACTGAATGGAACAACATTCTGAAAGACCATTTTCTTTGCTTGCAAAATATAGCATTCTTGCTACAGAGGAATATGATTAGGTGCATGTGTATATTCCAATTGGAAAATAAAGGTGTCAGTTTTTTATTACTCAAGTGTTCTTAGTAATTATGTGTTGGGCTTCATCTCCTAAAAACACAATTCATTGATTATTATTTATATTCTCCCTATGTAATAATTGCCCCCATAAAAAGAGACTTGGTTCCCCCTGCCATCACATCTTTAGTTCTCCCTCTTGTCAGTGCCCGCCAGATAAAGAAACAAAGAAATTTCTATCGGTGAAGTTTATGGAAGTAGAGACATGTAACTGACTGTTCTTCAGTGCTGCCATTTATCATCTTGTCTAAAACTTCTCTAAATAAATCATAATTTACAGCAACTTGTGCAAACATACAACAGGTTTTTAAAGATGGATAACTAATGTAGTTCTGAAAACAGGCACCCTATTTGTAAGTCATAAACTACTCTCGCTAAGATTATTTTTGACCATACTTGATGGCAATAAATAATCTGATCCTTGTTTGTGTACATGTTTACAAATTGTATTCATACTGGGTACTTGGCAATCCCAGAATGAATTGGGGATACAGTAGGGGATGAATTTTGGAAAGTTAGCACAGAACTGCTATCCTAGTATTTTGTCTCTAACCACAAACTGAAATTACTGCTAATCTGCTAATTACTGAAATACATGTAGAAGACAAATATAATAATCTACTTGTCTCAACACTTTCTTCATTGCACAGAAAAATGTCTTTCATTGAGGTACTAGGTACACGTGTCAAACATAACTGCTTTATGAAACTATATGCAGTTTTTCGGTATTAATGAGTTTGGTTGACTTGAATGTAATATAATCACGCAGAAAAGTAAATTAGAATTTATTTAAGCTCAACAGGAAGTTTAACAGATCTTTCAAGCTCCATCTATTATGTGCTTTACTTCTTTGCATAGATTCTACAGTCTGCAAATATTTAAAATAAAAATTGGCATTTTTTTGCAGTTTGTCTATTTGCTGAGGATCAAATCAACTGTAATTGTAAACATAAAATGAACGCTATAAATTTATGTAATATTTACTTTGGATTAGAATCTGCTAACACAAGATTGTCATTTCTTAGTGCAAGTACATGTACAAATATAATTCATACATTTGTACTGATATATGCCTATTCACCTATTCCGACATAATTCATACATTTGTACTGATATATGCCTATTCACATGTCACTATCAATAAATATCTCCTTCTTGAATGCTTCAAATTCTTCTTCAATTCTTTCAAAACTCTGCACTTCACATGGAGGTTCGTTACATTACTACAGAAAATTAAAATCAATGAAAAATAGCGATAAAGCTTCTAAAGTCAATCACAATACAGTGTACCTCTTTTCATAGCCAATACTTTCTGCCCTTGAACAGTCTGTTTGAAGTCACCAGTTAAAACAGTTAATTCGATGTTAAAACAACCAGACTAGCAGTCTAATGACAGGAGTTTTCATGTAGCGCAGGAAATTCCTCAAAAGGCTGAGATTTGATGGAATAATCATGTACCAGGAGCATTTTGTTTGCTTCATTACAAATGGAGAATTCCTTTCCAATTATGATGAATGTCTAAACTAATGAACTGAATTAGGACTATTATTCCAAAAGGGTAATTTTTCGATCCACTGCTTTTAAGAGAGGAAAAATACCAAGCAACCATTTTTCAAGGTGACTTTCATCTTTGGATGATTCCAGAGTGAAGGAATGAAGGGGTTTATAAATTACAGCACCCAGGCCCTGCAGCTAACAGAGTCTGTAAAGTATCAAATCCTAGCAATCTATTGATTTTAAACAATCACTTTGTACAATTGATTTTGGTAGAACCTGACGTAATGTGATGCCTGCATGCCAAGAACCAAGTTTTTGTTCTGCCTCTATGAATCTATCTTACTTAAACTTCTACCATAAAATAACATTACAGGGGATTCTCGGCTCCTGACGGGAGCCAAATTCATTTCAGTATAACAATGCATTATCCATCACGTACCACAATGCAATTTAGTCCAATTCTTCCATTATAACAGCATGTTCGATATAATGCAGTGATTTGCAGGGCCATTAAGCAATTTTATTGACAGTATTTTTTGCTAGGAGTTAAATTGTAATGCTTCATAGCGAAAGGAAAAGTATATCATTATTTAGCTTAATGAAAGAAAATTAAAAACATATCAGATGTTGTTAAATAATGCTATTTGTCTTGTATTATTATGATTAATATACAAATCATTTTTATTAAATAAAAATAAAACAGGCTCACAAATTGACCATCATCAACTCTATTTCGTATGTAACTGAGATCCCCCTGTCTAGCCAATGAAACATCCTTTGACATACCTGGCTTTGTAATAAGCTTTGATCAAATGCCAGAATGGACAACAAAATTAGTGGGATAGAAAATGATGGACATTTCTTACATCCATTAAAACTGTTTTTTCCTGTAGTTTGTGGTTATAGCCATGTTCCAGTAGGACAAACAATTTCTCTAGGGGGATAATGTTCTTGTTCTGTGGTAAACATGGTGATTTGCAACATACCACAGACAAAGCTCACAGTAAGAGGAATGATTTCTAATCTTAAAGAGCTGTTGGTTTTGGTACATGTATAATTACAAGTAATCTAAAAGTCTGGAGAAAGTGAAACCAAAGAAAAATTCATTTAAAATTTTTTTTTAATTGATTCATGGACTAATTTATGCTTCAAAACAATATTTCACATAGAGAACTACTGAATTAAAGTATAACTTCAAGTAGACTAATAGATCCAGGAAACACTCAGATCATGTGTTTCAATCCTGTGGTTACTAAACAAAGGGCCACAGCCATAATGGGTCAGAGGAAAAACCAGTTACAAATCTAATTGTTCATTCAAGTATAGTTCTTATATTTTATAATGTTACTTGCATGGCTAGAGTTTCAGCAAATGTCCACACATTTTTTCATATGTTACAAATATGCAGGTTGATATTAGTATAATTAATGCTTGGACACTTTTCATCACAAATACCTAAACTTCAACAGCATTAAAGCAACTGATATATGTCATCAAAATGGAGGCAGTTCCAACATGGCTCATAGCACCAGCAGATGTGAAGAAATCATCTTCCAAATTTACTTGTGTGCTGGATCACAAAATTTGATTTGGACATTCCAGTCCACTTCTTTATGATTCATAAAAACACCCCATAGCAATCTAAACAATGCTGTGCATGATTCTGCATTCAGTATTAAGGATACAATATCGGTCAGCTGATAATCTTTCCAACACCAGATTTTTTATTCATACCTACCTGGAAAAGTCTAGAAATGCTGTGTGTCCATGATAGATGGCTGGTTTCTTCTCACTCCATTCTGTAACATTTCTGACAAACTTCATCTGAAAGAAACACAAAGAAAACCAATAAAGAAAGAACAAAAACATATTGAAAGCAAATACCCCCCCCCCCCCCCCCCCCCCCCGCAAACTTTAAGCAGGCTTGCTTTTTCCATTTCAAGGAATTAATTTTTATTTAAGTGAAGATCAAGGAGCCTTACATTTGCAAATATACCTTCTACAATTATTTGAGAGGTATTATAAATGACAATACAGAAAATATGTATACACAGTATCAATAATGCAGAGCACCCTGAATAACCAGAATGCATATTTACCAACCACATATATGAAAGAGATTTTGATGAAATATATGACAATCAAAAGACATTTAGAATGTTTGACTGGATATAAGGAATCCCATACACAAAAGTAAAATATGTAATACCACTTACTGATCTAAATCAGCAGTTGTTTTTTTTTTAACCAAAAGCTGAAAAAGCCTGGAAATATGGCATCAAAGCATGAAATAAAATAAAATCAAGAGAAAGTCTCACACAAATCAACAGATAACACATAGGGCAGTTACAGGTTTTAAAACACAGTACCAGAAGCAAATCTGATTCATAACTTAGCATTTTATAAATTGTTATAAGGAAAATGTCTGAAAGGAAATTAGGACAAAACATATCTTGGCTTCCCATTTCCCAATGTCTGTAAATATTTGTGTTTGGAAACCATATTATGTTTATAATTCTGGCAAGAGAGATTTTCAATAAGTCAATGCCGTGGCTTACTGAAACTCTGCATGGCGTGGCTTACTGAACCTCTGCATGTTCAATGTCTCCAGCTGAGTGATCAGACCCTTTAAAAGTCAGCAGGGAGTAGGCCATGATGCTGCAATAATTCAACAAAGCATCACAACAACTTTCACAAATAAAGCTAATCTAGATATCCCCCCACTGGGAGAATGGTTTAATTATGATGGTATTTAAATAGACATGGGAAGATAATATGCTGCTGGTTTAAGGATCTTAATACATGGAATTTCTCACCAGTCATGGGAAGAGACAGGAAATACAGGAAAATATTTCCAAAGATTACAAATCGGTGCACATTTTCCATCACAGATAAATATGTTATACAGTTTTCAGTTTCTAATGCAGCTTAACTAAATATATCTTATAAAACTCTTGGGAGAAAAACCATAAGCAAACAGTTGTTCAAATCATCAAATATTCATTGCTTCACCTGATAAATTACCATGTATATGGTTAATGTTAAATTAGTAAAACTTAAATTTAACCAAATTGATTTTCACTAAAAGCTTATGAATATTTCTCTCTCTCTTTTTTTTTTTTTTTTGTTATACCTCAAATAAATGAATAAAATTACATAAAATAAGTTAAAATAAGTGTTATCTTTGATAAAATATTGTTAGATCTAAAATAAGTAAAATCTTTAATGAAATTTTATCAAACCTAACACATAAATGTATTCTATATGAGAATTTTAGACCTAATTACATAAATGTAATCTTTCAAGAAATTTTGTTAGTCCTAACATAAATGTAATATATAATGAAATTGTGTTAGACCTAAATATGAAATTGTATTTCTGTATATCTTTGTGTAAAAACTGACAAGCATGACAGAGAAAATGTAAGTGACACAAAGGGGTAATAGAGGGGCAGCTGTTTGTCTTCAGTTTTATCTCGGAACCAGAAACATTAAGTATCAGAAGGAACCTACTATCACTAGGCATCCATAAACATTCAGAAAAGCACTTCAGCAAACAATAACATTTCTGCCACAGTCCATAACTCTTCTTAATGAAAATGCACTCAGGGGTCAAAGGATTTTTGCCTTGAGGTCAAAAGGGGTTAATCCAGGGTTACTTTGTGAGAGCCTTGAAACACTTGGGCTTGACAAGATAAGAGTCATGTCTAATCAAATTATACACAAGAAAGCTTTCTGGTAAAATTTAAGAAACACAGCAAACATTAAGACACTTCATTTTCATCAATAAAAACTAAATCTTTCAAGAACCTGCAAGAGAGTTAATCCCAAGAGGGTAAGTGCCTTTGAAACAAAATTTCAAATTTCATCTTACATATGAAAACCAATTTCTTTCCCAGTTGTAGTCAGAAAGCAGTCTCCATCTTACTATTTCAGGCATGTTCTTCATATTCCATTCATTTTGCCATCTGATGTTTGTATTATTTCTGGCGATCTAATTAGACCAGTCAATTTAGTTAGGTAAACACTCTGACAGAAGATTTCTTCATCTGCTGCTGTTTACACTTGGCTGACTTTACCTGCCTAATCCCTAGAGCGTTTGACTCCTATACAAAACCAATGCTGATTTTATGCTTTGCTAAATGCTTGTCAATTAAACAAGACAAATTCATCTGTCTACACACAGGCACCAAAAGATAAATATTAAATTAATCCTATGGGAGTTATGATAAAAGGTTGCAATTATCTGACAGTCTTTTCATATTTCATGATTCTGAATTTAAAATATCAGTAATTTTTTTCCATAATTCTTCTATTACAATAAAACCCAAACAAATGCATTCAACATGAGCATGTCCATTGGTGAATTCTTTATATAAAATACAATGGATGATAAATTCTACAATAAAAAAAATTCTCAGATTTCATTGAGAGAATTTTGCACTTTGTTGTTCATCAGATAATAAATAAATTTTCTGACACTGATATTTATTGTTGTCTGGGTGCTTATCTCCAGTAGTTATCAGCATACAATTTCTCACCAGCAGATTGGGATATAAGACCATTTTTATACTTTAACAGAGCTATCTTTCTTAATAATAAATACAGTGTCATTTATACTTCTTTTTAGAGCGACTTTAAAAATTAAATTGCTTGAATACCAAATAATCTCATTTTTTGTCATTCATTGTGGACAAAAATATATCTGTTCAAATCTCTAAATCCTAAATATATAATCTCCGAAAATTTTCCTTGTTACACCTCTGAAGTAAGAATAAATAGACATCATTGTGTGTAATATGTGATAAGGGAAATTTATTTTGGGCTCACACTAAATTCCGCACATTTCACTTTACAGGTATATATCCTGTGTCTCTAATCCTTCACACTTAAAGCAAAATACTTTTGAAGATTTCTGATGATAAATTTTATATAAAGTTGAGGTATCCTAGCTCACTATAAACTTGGAGCACTCCAGAGAAAAAAAAAACAGTTACCAGTAACAATGAATTACCATCTAAACCTTAATTGTATTTAATTTTATACATGCACAAGGACTTCTATATAAATTCTTTAATCACAATTTAATTCTGTATTACTAATGTGAAAGATGATCATTTCCTTTGTGGTGGGAAGAATTTGACCTCCATGTCAGGTGAACCGGAGCAGACATAAACTGCTCAGGTCAGAATAACACGATTAGTTGTCTCTGCTCTAAAAGTAGCTCCTACCAATGACAACAAAAGTCATTCAAATGTGGCAGTATAAGAAACTGACATGTGGTGAGACACAATGTGGTGACATACCTTGCCATAAAGTATTACCATAGGACAAAAACTAATAGAGTACACAACTAAAATGACAAGGATAAATGTATTAATTAAATCTGAAGTAATCAGAGAACATTCTGACTACTGTGTTTATACATTCTGTTCTAAAATTTAACAATACTTATTCTCTCATTCACCAGAGTAAAGAAAGCTTAGAATAGTATAGGAGGAGACTTCTTCACCAGTCGACCCTCATGAAGGGATACAAATCACATACTTGGCTAGCGAAGATGAGGCACAGACAGCATGGTATATTTTGAGGTGATAACATATCCAATACCTGACCAATATGTGACACAACATAAGCATTTTTTGAAATACTGATAAAACTGATCAAACAGTGACATGTAATGAGCATATTTTGGGTGTTGTCAAGGAGAACATTTGACATACCTGATCTGACATTGACATGACATGAGCATTTTTCGAGGTGTTGACATGTAGAACATTGAAGTGGTTTTTCTTGCAGAGGTCATATGCAATTCCTGCAAAGGAAGTGCTGCCAGTCTTAGGAACTCGATTGTAAATGACAACCATATCCTCATCTGCATGGCCGGTGGTCTCAACCTACAAAACAGAAACTAAGTACTGCATCAAGGTCTCTCAGATAGTTTACAAGAGAAACTGATTAATGCTTTTTTATCAAAGCGTTTTTTTTTATATGGTTAAATGGTAAATTGGAATTTTTCTCTCTTCTAAATGCAAGCATTTCAAAATAAGAACTGTTTTCTTTTTTCCTCATAATTTTTACACAAGTACATTGTAACTATGTCAACTATGAAAAACAATATACATTGTTGCAGTGCAATTTCAACAGGCAAGCATAGTTGGAGAGGGATGACAAATTATAATGTATAAAAATTGCGCCTGAAAATCAGACATAATTAACAACTTTCTCAGCAATAATCCAAATAAAACAATCAGTAAATCTGCTTTTTGTGTGAGCCACTACCTAATGCTAAAGGTGTGCACTGCAGATTACACTTTCAGCTCAGTATCCCTGCTGTGACTTATAAATGAAGAGGTTTGGTATTTTGCAGATGCAGGAAAAAAATTGAAAATGATGCAGAACTGTCTTATCATCAATGATAAAGAATCCCATTTGTTTCTATTTCAGCCTTAACACAGGTATGCAGGCAAATACTTTCCCTGAAAATCATCATCCAAAATTTGTTCAAGATTTACTAAACAAGTACTGATCAGAAAACTAAATTCTTATTTGTCTTTGCAAAAAGCAAACTTTACAAATACTATAATTGGATATTTAAAAGGATGCATCAAATAACTATAAATTACCAAATTTTCGTGACACCATACTTTTGTGAGATAGTTGATATTTATAAAGCAAGACAAAATTTTCACCAATTTTGATTATTAATTGGTGTATATAATTTTATAAAACAAATATGAGTGAGAATTAAATTTTCACAAGGAGGCAGTCTCACGTAAATATGCAAAAATAAAATCCAAGTATAAAAAGTGATTTATACTACTAAAATTTGTCCAACTACGTATAAAGTTGATCAAAATCATTATGAAGCTCATAAATAAAAAGAAAATAAGAAGAAAGAAATCATTCCAATATGAACACACTAACATTTGAAGGGAGTCAACAATATGTTAATCAAAATTTTGAATACAGTAATTGTACTGGTATCAAAAGGGAAAAAAACACTTCAATCTAAATCATTTTTTTTTTAAATCTAAAAATAAAACTGATTTCATTCCAAAACTTGAATATAAAGTGTCTTCTAACTCCTAACAAGGATTAAAACATAAGTCTTATACCATGACTGAAATAGCCAATGATGGTCTATATTCATTGGAAAAAAAAATAGGGTTTGATCAACAAAACTTCCTGTGTCAGTGGGAAAAAGTGCATTCTGTATTCTATTATTAGTCTCACAATTTTTTCAAGGCATTTTGTGTTCATTATATATACATACATCAGTGAATAGACATTAAATAAGACAATAATGAGAATCTGATTAATTAATGCTGTATTATCACCCATCAATCTCCATAGTCAGCCATGCAATATAAACCACCAATGATCTTGCACAGACAACCCTTCATGTGTCATTTTAAATTTATTCACATTTAAACATAAACAACTTGGTAAACATATTTTGAAGTCTGAAGATCATGTATCTTTCAAACTATTACTCTGCAAATTTATATCTTAATATTCAGGGTTTGAAAAAGTGAACATGATGTTAATTATCATGAGTAGGAAATATAAAGACATGACATGTTTTTCTCTTGTGTACAAAATGTAAACAGTAAAATAATTGTGCAAGATTTGGCCATGAGACATATATGGGTATCTGGGTAAATGCTTAATATTAACATTATGATTTATGCAGTTTTCTGAGTATAATAAGAGTCCAAATTACACAGAGAGTCAAAATGCATAGCTCTATTGTGAGTACATCAAACTGCTAAACTGTGCTCCATACTAGACCATAGAAATAGCATGAATGCATATGACAACTAAATTCTTGCAACCACAACTTTACAAGCCAGCAACACAATTCTACGATTATTTATGATCAATGTCACCAAACATATCTATGAAGACCCAATGCAGAAAAACAGATGAAGTGATGAAGAGAGAATTCTTGATTTTCTGTGGAAATAAAGCATGGTACAGAATATAAAAAACAGCATGCGCCTGTGTGAATCAGGAATCCACTTACTTGAACTATTTCCTTAGCTTTGTTTGGCTAAAAAGTGATAGAAAGAATTCACAGTTGTTACCAAGAAATTAATGCTGAATTAAATTCTCTTTGTCACATTTGAAAATAAAAATGTTCATGAATGTATTTAGCTCTCACTGATAATTTTTTTCCCCCAAACCCTATAACTATGTAATTAGGTACAGAGTTATGCAAATAATTATCAAGAACTTAGAGGGTTAAGGACATACGCAACGTAGTTTGAACTTTATTGTATTTTTCTCTGGAGTTGAAGAGTTCCAATACTTAAAGGAACTGTGTCCTACATTTTATTGTCAATATATGCTATTGTACACTTCTTCTAAAACAAGTTTGGATAAACAAAACATTTAAAATATATGTTTAGTAATTTTTGTATATTTTTCTGTGAATTATACAAGAATTTTCATCAATTGATATCTTTTCAAAACCCCTGGTAACACATGTTAATTTTTTGTCTACGAACATCTGATGGTACTGTTATCTAAAATTAAGAATATCTCGAAAAATTATCAGTAGGTAAGGTACGTTGCGTATGTCCTTAAATCTCTCCAGGGTATAACACAGCAGTGTTTACATTTGCTTTAACTATGCAAATTGTCAGGATAAACGAAATTAATGTTCCCTGCAGATAAAATAAAATGATTAAGATTATGAAAAAAAAAGATTTTTCAAACTCTAAATTTCACAGAGCTAGTTTACAGAGGATAAAAAACTACTCTTTGTGAAAAGAAGTCTTCGACAAAATAGGTAGAGGAAATGCAATCATCTTCTCAGCAAGTGATAAGCAACACACTTCCAGAAAATATACCTTAACATCAAACTTCATAATTAAATTATTTTGTAGAGGGAAAGGCAATTTACAAAAATAATTTCATGGCAAGCTTACCAATAATAAATGCAGACAAATGTACAGACATTTCTTCCATTATGTTCAGTATCTACTACACAGATTACTTAAGGAAAATCACTTTTTAACAAAATATACATTTATTTACAAACTATATTATTAGTAATATTTACTTACATGTACCTGGTCACTAGCAGCTGACAAGCGTCTAGGGTGAAGCCCCGTTTTTAATGGAAAGGACCTTGACTTCAATCTGTTCTCATCCTGTAACCGGGCTACAGCAGATCCTTAGAAACACATTACATATCGTATGTTAGACATGTATTATAAAAGGTTAGTTTGTTCAGTTTGACAAAACTAATTAGGTCTAAGAAAAAAATATACTTTTTTAGGGTTACCCGACTAACCCTTATTTTATGTGCCATCCCTTTTTTCTTTCTTTCTTTTTTTTTTTTTAATAAATAAAATCAGATTTTGCTTGACGTCTGTATGTTTTCCTTCAAATGTTACAGCAATGGTTTATAAGTCACAGTAACTTTTAGCAGCTGTTTTTAGAGCTTTAAGGTAGATTGTTAAAAAAAAAAAAAAGATCAAATGGCTAGAAGAAGAGCTTAAACTTCTCTTAAAAATGTATTTTATGAAAAAAAAAGAAGAAAAAACTCTGAACATCCATCTAGCTGACTCATTTGCTGCCCTGTCATAACCCTGCCCTCATGTGCAGATTTAAATATTAAGTGAATTATTCAAAGCCTTATTATTGCACTATCTATATTCTAATTGTATTGCTGGCATTCATGATTGTTTCTTTTTAAAATTTATGTTACTTAGAAATGTTTAAAAGTATTTACTATACAACTTATTATTAACAATTTATTCCAGTTTTTATCCTTTCTGGAAATGCCTCAAAATAAGGACAGGAATTAAATATTTTTGAAACAAATATCTTGCATGGAAAACTTGAATTTCTTATTCTAATTATGTTTTAGTGACAGTAGCCTGAGGCCTGAAGGCATGCCATGGTGTTTATAATCAAAATGTCTACCTTACACTAAAAACAAAGATACAAAAATGTTTAAATTTAGAAGTTTAATTTTGAAAATATTTTACCGGGAATAACCTTGATATTTTTTGTCTAGTTTGACAGTCTATCAGATAAAGCTCAACAAACAGGGCACCATTATGCTCAGTGAAAACAGCAGAATTATGTGCTTTGTTATCCAGGTGACATGGCATTTGTCTCAAACTAGAATGACACTATTATGACAGTCCTATTTTTACCTTTATCATTGGAAGATGAACCAATTTTAGTGTGAAATATTATAATTCAATTCTGGTTTTAATGTGCTATTTTGTTGAATTAAAAAAAATAGTTTAAATCTTTCTCTTGTATACAACACTGTACAATATAGGCCTAACATTATAATGTTTTTACCATAACATATATATTCTGAGGCATTAAACTTTCAACCAAAATTTCTCAGGTACAATTCTTTTCATTTTAAATATCTTTAGCCAGTCTTAAATACGTTTCTTTTAGTATCATAACAAAGTTTAAACAAAAAAGTGAATAAATCACAAACCCAGTTTCCTAAGTTCTCCAAGTAAATGCACACACATAAGAAGTGCACCACAAGTTACAATCGCCGCTATTACACCACATTGGCGATTTTGCATTCTCCATGAAAATAACTTCATTTGAATCATAAAAAAGTCACCATACTTCTTAAGAGATATCAACCTCCCACGACATTAGACTGTCGATATTTGAAACTTTCCAGTGCACATGCTTCCTATCCAGTGTTATTCTCCTTGTCAATCTAAATTTAGCCAATCTCGGTAAGTCGATCCGTATTTTCGTATGGGAAATGGTACTGTAAAGATTAGTTTCGTTCTCAAATTCAAGTCTTTTCCCCCATTATTTTTATGTCGTTTCCTATGCATGTAAAACTTCTTTTGCACATATCATTGATATTTATTCGAAACTGTATGCAGTCTTTAAAAAATAATTTGCATACACCCAGAAGGCTCCCAAGGGTGCATAACAGCGACCCCCCCCCCCCCTCAAAAAGAGCTCAGCATTTCAATTTATGTACTATATACTTAACTAAAAGAAGAATAAAGCAAACTTTCCTAAAACTTTAGATTAATGCCTGAAAAGTATTTCATAAAGCATACAATCTAATTAAAATTAGATGTTAGATCCGCTCGCATACTCGCTACACGAACAGCATAACGATCCTTTGTCTCTTTTATGATCGAAACTTGTACTGTTTTTAAGTAATCACTGTCCTATAAATGCTTTTCCAACAAGCACCCAGTCCATTTTCGATATAGATGAACTCTGATGAAATTTTACTTTAGGCTTATCACCGACATACCTTAAGGGTGGTTCAAGACAATTGATTAAAGCATAGAAACTTAATTAGAAAAGTAAAGCCGTACTGAGATCTATATGTGATATGGAACTCTTTCAGAAAGACCTTAAAGTTGGGTCAAGGTCATGAAAACATTGAAATTGCTGATGAGACTATTTTGATGTTACCTTGACCATCGACCTTCGTGTTACAATAAGAACCTCATCACATATATATCTATCCTATACTTGCCTGATTTACTATCAACCTACCCCGATCTTCCCTTTCTCAGCGCAACTAGAATTATTGTCAGTAATCAGTTTCTCTAACATCAGAAGAAAATTTAAGGATCGGCATCTTGGTCGTACTTTTTTAATTTTTGCTACCACTTTTTAGCTATCTTGTTATGTTTTTTTTTTTAATTTGAGCACATATATTGTTGCATTCCGATATATTCCTAAGGAAATACTGACACTCCAAACCACCCTAACCCCTTATATACCCTCAAGCAAAAAAAGTAGAAAAGCCTCAAATTATTCTCCAAGAATAATCATCCTATAGTTTTAAAGAGAAGATAATTTAAAGCATACAAAATCTGGGATCCGTCCCTCAAAGATGCTGACATTAATCTGCGGTTAATTGTCTTTATTCCACTCTTAGGGAAATATCAGTGATTAGTCAGTGTTATTATTAGGTTCATGCAAAATCTAGACCGGAAGATACTGCTAAAAAATTCTTGGAATGCATGTAAATATGAACACTCAGCATCTTAATTATTTAATTATTGGATCCATGATATACATGTAACGTACCCAAATGAATTTTCATATTTTAGTCGGATCATAAAACTTAAAAGAAAGACTGGAAGAAATTAAAGACAAAACAAAAATAATTAATTAAGATGCGTTTGTGAAACACTGATGCCCCCGTATAGCAACTTACATGCATATCGAAGCGGTTAAACTTTCTCAAATGCAAATCATTATGTTAGTTGGTACCCAAAGTAAGGTCTTGTTTCGAGGAATGTACAGGTCTGTGAAATATGAAAGCCCTAGCAGCAAACATTGAACTTGAAAGATATGGAAAAGGTTAAAGTTTTTCAAAAGTAGGTCAAACTCCACCGTCAAGATCCAAGTGTCAAAGTTGTTGGGATACAAAGGAGGAACTTGACATAAGGATTACACTTGTGAAATATGAATGTCGTAGCACAAACGTTATGGCCAGAGTTAAAGTTGGGTAAAATTTTGCAAAACTGGATCAAACTCAAAGTTCAAGGTCAAATATGATGGTACCCAAAGAAAGGTCTTGTCACAGGGAATACACGTGTGAAATAAGAAAGCCATAGCTCCAACCAATCAAAAGTTATGGACAATGTTAAGACCAAGTTTTGCGGACAAACCGGACAGGGCAAAACCTATATGCCCCAGAATATTCGATTACGGGGGCATAAAAAATTAGACCACTTCTTATTTCTTTTGAACGTTCTTGAGAAGATCTTTAAACTTTTAAAAAGAAAAAATGTTTTAATTAATACTATTCTTACATGCCTGATAAATCCTATACACCCTATGCTAAACAGCTGTTTTGATAACTTTGATTGATATTAATTTGATAGACCTTTTTTTTAAAAAAAAGTGAGATTGTAGATTAAATCATATTTTATATATATATATATATATATATATATATATATATATATATATATATATATATATATATATATATATATATATATATATATATATATATATATGACCTTATATCATTTTCAATTATATACATTTTGAGCGTACCCTTTGGTGTGCCTCAAAATTGACGCACGTGGCCTAAATATAAACCAATCAAGATAAAGAATTCTTGTTAGCGCATGCGAAAGAATCCGCCGCCATCTTTGCGTTTCAATGGGCAATGGATGCGGGAGGACAGGGTAATTTGGACCACCAAGCAGCTTTTGCAGACGCCGTTGCCCGAGCAAAACAGGTAACAGAGACAGAAAATATTGTAGTGTAGACAAATGAAGTATATTTCTCTTAGAAATAAGTAATATAAGCCTTAGTGAAGGGATTTTCACAGTGGGAAGAATGACCGCGTGGTCTCTGTCGATATGGCGCATAGAGGAAAATGTTTCATACTTCCTGCATGACCCTTCGGTTGTGTGGAACCAAAACACATACACGATTTTCTTGGAAGGGGTGGTGGTGGTTGAAAGTTCCTTATTTTACTTGTGAAGTTGCTTAAACTCGGGTTGTCTTGCACCGACCATGCTTTAATCCTCGAAGCGTGACGAAACGCGCGTGGTTTGTCCGCTTTCTCAATGGTTACATTCGGTCCTATTTCTCCATTTATTTTACTAAAGAGTAACATTTCAGATTGAAAAAAATATGTTGAAATGTAATAAACTCTTTCATTTGATGGAAAAAATATTTGCTTATATCATGTTTAGAATTAATAATTGTTTTGTCTATGTGAAGTTCATAAACATTGAAGGAATTTATTCCTGCAGAATATTTAAATCATTTTATACTTAAAATATGATATTCGATATGTAACTGAAAGGTAGAGGGGAGGTTTTAAATTGATGACAGTTGCATATGTCAGGAGTAAACTTGATGTTCACAAAAGATGTCTGTGTCATTCCAGATTGCAGCTAAGATTAATCAACCAGGGGCTGGCGGTGGTGACGGTGCCCAGCATTTGAAAAGACCATTTGAAAGTGACGGAAATTCATACGGTATGCTGTACAGTTCTTGTCATGTTTTCAAGATATTTGTGGCTCATCTTCTATACGACATGAAAATGGGGGAGTGGGAAGGAAATTTGGTCACAGATATCTTGAATGTTCATTTCAAAGCACGGAAGTACGTACTCAATTAGTGTGCTTGTGTGTGCATCTTATTGCCTAAATATGTATACATGAAATTATGTTTACAGCAAAATGCCACTAAAAGGTACATTGTCTTTCTATTGACGAAAAATAAAAGCACAGGGGATTCATACTAGAGGTATACTGATCTTGAATAATGACTCGATTAGAGATGAAAATTTTCTTTAATATAGCAAAGGCAGTGTACCTCTATGTGACAAACCCTGAAATGGAGACAAAAGAAAATTTAAGATAAAATCAGAGAAAAAAATCTTTCTCTGATGGGAAAAACATTTTTGCACAATTGTTGCTTTGTTTCTTTTCACAGGTGAACCAGACCAAAAGAAGACAGTGTCTGCAATTAATGACCGTATGTTTTGATTAGTTTGTACAAAACACATTATATTACTGTATCTTACTCCAATTGTCCAGCACATCTCGGCTTCAAATGCTAGCCAGTCAAACTTCTTCCATTAACAACAGTTTTGTTTTTTTTTTATTACTCTTTGCATAGGACATCAAATATTTCACAGTTTTTTTAATCAAGTAATATTAATTGTATGAAGTTTGTCAGATTTGTGTTGAGATCTTTTGTATTATTGCAACTAATTTCCTACTCCAGGTATAATTGTAAAGAATTTTTTTTTTTAAAGAATTTGTCATTGAATTTTGATATCTTGTGACTGATAAGCTGTGATAATTAGACATTTAGGATTTTTTTTTAAAAAACTAATATTTACTTTAGCTTCAAAGATGTACTAATATTTTGTATACCATGCCTAAGATTTTCTAATGTAAATTGAAGTGGTATATTGAAGCATAAATACATGTACATGCTTAAAAGTTGGAAAGGAAACCCAAATTTGATTTTTCTATATGCATTTAGTTTATAATGAATTTTATGTGATAAAATAACCACATTAAATTATTTTCATGGCGTAGGTAGTGCAAATGATACATGTTCTGTTTGATTTCTTTTTTATGCCCTTTTTCTTAAAACAATTCTCAACTCAAAATAGAAGATCTTGACACAAATTGGTAATGGGCTAATGTCCTTAATTTAATACTTTTTACATACAAACACCTGTAGTCATAAGAAATCTCATTGCTATTTCATTTAACAATAGTTTCAAACAATCTGGATTTTTATTGTACCATATACATTCCATCTTTTTTATTATTTGCATGTTACTGCATTCCATTTCAGGATTCAATTGATCATTGTCACTTTGATTATTAGACCTTTTAGCAATATCCTTCAAAAACCAATGATTATATTAAGCTTTCTGGAATTATACTTTCACTTGGAACAGCTTTTATAGAAAACAAGAACTTTGTGTGTTAGAAATCTGCATTGAAAAGTTGCTATTTGGTATATCTCGTGATTTTATTTATGAATTTATGCATATACAGTGAAATACAATATTTTTGATATCCTTGAATGCAAATGGATTTTCATTGCAGCTCACAATGATTTTAATTGCTTTTGTTTTTTTTTTTTAAACTGTGAATCTTGAGAGTTTTATAAACAATTCATTATGCAAGGCTTCAGATTCAGTTTTGTAGAGGTTTATGAGATACGTTTGGTGAATAGTAAAAGAATCTCATGACTTGCTGAAAATCATATGGCACATGTCAATATGTACATAAATTCTGCATTATAAAGATGAAGTCACTGTTAAGATTTGTGTGATTATGACTGGCACAGAACAGAAGTAGTGTACAATTGATGTTCTTTGTTTTCTGCGTGTCAGTAATCTAGTACTCTCACCCCTGCCCTCCAGTGATTGGGATATTGTAAGGACATGATTGCACTTTGTTATAAATTACCTGGGACAACAATAGTGGATCACATGCAATGTATTCTTTGTATATAGCAGCCCCAAGTCCAAAATTTTACACTTGTACAGATTAAGAACTCACAGGTTCATAAGTTCAGATTTCAGGGTTCGACACTAACTTTTTAAGGCTTTAGTCCGGCCGGACTAGTGCTTCTTTACTTTTACTAGTCCGCACACGATTTTATGAGTCCGTCAAAAAAGAAACATCAATGTTTTTTAACATTAATTTAACTTGACAATTAATATACGTTTTATACTTTTTTGAAATAAACAAAGTATTTACATGAAATATATTATTCCACAGATTCGTTGATATCTCGATATCAGCAAGTATGATTGTATTCCCGATCTCCTTTTTTTTCTTTACATTACATCCAAAACGTCCAACATCTTTCTTTAAAGTGTCATGATCTAAAAACCTTTTACTTCATATCCATCAGTCGACAAATTTAACTGAATTGACTCGGAATTGCTGCCAAAAGCTAGAAATCTAAGAATACACGCGGGGTTTTCTAGTAAAAGTTGTCGAGAATCGGACATTGGTAATTTATTCATATTGTTTTCCAGAAATTTTTGTTGGTCCGTTCGGACTAATTAGCCACAGATTTTATTAGTCCGAATGAAAATGTGTTAGTCTGAGACTAACGTTAGTGTCAAACCCTGGATTTTATCCTTTTTTTCATGTCAAATGATTGTACATAAAAATTTGATTGTAAATCATTTCAAATAGAGAGGAATACTCTGCTATGCTTAAATGAAATTATTGAGATGTGAACTACTTTGAGACTTTTAAGAAAAAAATATTGTTGCCATGCAGTGGGAATCATCATATTGACACAGACATTTGTGATATAGTGTAGCATAGATTGCATTTATAGTGATTAGTGATAAAAGTAATGGTGTGATTTTGTTTTGAACTATTCTTGAAAAACTTGTAAAGCATTTTTTAATGTTAAGGTGCTGGGCACAAGCTTATCCCAATCACTGTCTGTGTGAATGTGGATTCTAACCATGTAGTTGTAGAAGCTGCTTCGTTGAGTTTATTGTTGTGATCTAATACACATAGAGAGAATTCTAGTGATTTACTTTAGCATTTTTTATGATAAACATTGTAATTCCTATTTTCTAAATACATTGTTCACAGGAAGTCTGTTTTTTTTCTCTCTCTTTTTGGCATGGGTTGTCTTCTAAGTTTTATAAATGTTGTGTTTTCTTTTTTTGACAGCTATTGGGGCACAGCTGAAAGCTCTCCAAGAACAACAAAGGTTAGTATAGTAAGAATCTTGAAGAACTTAGCAGACTAATGTATTTAGATAATAAAGAAAACAAGTCCGAGGAACAAATAGTGAATATAAAGTTAAGGAAGTGCAAGTATTTGAAATGACATCTAATTGTGATATTTATTTTCACAGCAGAAGCGAGGCAGCTCAAGCAGCCCAGGCAGCAGCAGCTAGAATTAATCAACAGTTGGGTGTCGGTCCCCCTTCGTCAGCCCCACCCCCAGCAGCTCCTAAACCCAGCTCACACGCAGGACTAGGCATGGTGGTCACAGAAGAATATGCCATCCCTGACAAGATGGTTGGACTGAGTAAGCAATGTTATTTAATATTCCTAACACTAATTTCTTAAAGCCATTCTGTGTGCATAAGTGTAAAGTGCTTATTTTCAAGAGTGCTCTGATTTGTGCTTTATAAGTACAGGAAGAAGTATTTACATTAACTATGAATTATATTTTTTATTGATGCATATATTTCTCTTTTAAACAGTTATTGGTAAAGGGGGTGAACAAATAACCCGGCTACAGGCAGAGACTGGTTGTAAAATTCAGATTGCTCCAGGTATTTATTATGAAATTACCAGAACATGAGTACCTACATTGTAATACTTCTTGGGCAAGAAAAGTGAACAAAATTAACTAAACCCATTTGTTACAGATGGAAGTGGAATGACTGATAGGCAGTGCACTTTGACTGGATCCTCTGGATCTATTGCGTAAGAATGAAATACACCTATACTTCATTAAAAATCAACAGATAATAGCAAGTGCAAGTGTACAAAATGGAAAGTGAAGTTGTTTGCAGAAGCTTGTAAGGGCAAATTATATATTGCAGTGCTTGTAAGCAACAAATCCAAGATATCATCATGAGAGCCGGTCAGACTGCTGGACCAATGATGGGCGGTATGGACATGATGGGCAGTAATGGAGGAGGAATGGGTGGTGGTATGGGTGGACAGACAGTTGTAGAAATGATGGTACCAGGCAACAAAGTTGGACTTGTCATTGGAAAGGGTGGTGAAACCATCAAGCAGTTACAGGTAAAATCAACCAACTATAAATTCCATGTATATCATGTTATACTTGTTCATTTTTAAAATTTAACAACTTTTTTTTTTTTTTTTTTCATAGAATATTATACATGTATATGATTTTCCTAGGAAAGAGCTGGAGTAAAGATGGTAATGATTCAAGATAGCAACATCCCATCAGCTGCTGAAAAACCTCTGAGGATCTCGGGTGATCCCCAAAAATGTCAGAGGGCCAAAGAAATGGTATTAGACCTACTGGCTGAGAAGGAAATGGAAGTAAGTACAGTCACTCGATATCAAATTTAGCCTTAACTTTATTATGTGTCATTAAGTGGCAGCAAGATTATTTTATCATTTTGAGTAGTAAGCAGAAGAGTTATGTGTATAACTGAATATGAAACAGAAGTACAGGTTCTTAACCAAAACAAAGTAACATGGTTTTAGAATAGTGCATGTAATAAATTTTGGATAAAAAAATGTTTTTGCTGTTGTTATTCTTAGAGTTTTTACACTAGAATAATTTAGAGAAGATAGATGTTAATTCACATGTAGTTAACAAGAAAAACACCTTTGTATTCTATGGTTATAGAAGTCTCCTTGTACTTTCAGAACATGAGCAAAGGATTCAATGACTATGGTTCATTCAGTGGTGGAGGTGGTCCCCCGATGGAGGTTAGAATCACATTGTTGTGAAGATATTGTTTCATAGTACTGGGACAATGTTTCCATTAGGTTTCAATAAATTCACAAGTCAATAAACTACTTGTATGTTCTTCATACAGATTCCAGTGCCAAGAACTGCAGTGGGAATTGTTATTGGTAAAAACGGAGACATGATTAAAAAGATCCAACAAGAGAGTGGTGCCAAGGTTCAGTTTAAAGCTGGTGAGTTGTTAGTATTAAAAACTGAAGCACTCAATTAGAACCCTTGTAGATGTCTAAGCTATGAGTGTGTCGGAAGAGTGCAACATCAAAGCAAGGATTCGCTAACACCATTTGGATGCAAGTCCCATAGATGGAGTTTGATAGTAGGCCTTGCTACACTGCCTTGCAAGATTAAAAGTCAAAATTGCCTTGAAAAATAATAAAATAAAAATGAAAATAAAATGGAAAAAGGAATTTACTTGTAAGTTGGATTTTTTTGTTTGTAGACGATGGAAGCAGTCCAGAAAGAGTGTGTGCCATTACAGGAGCACCAGACAAGGTCCAAACTGCTGCCTCCATGATTCAGGATCTTCTGAATGATTACAATGTATGTTTAAAGTCCAATGTAGATAACACTTTATCTCTTCAGAAAAAAAGAAAGAAAGAAGTTATTTGGTGAAGGGAGAATTGTTAAACTCATTGAATAATCAAAGTCTGAAATAATGTTTAAAATATATTTAAGGGAGCAAATGGTCATTTTTTTTTTACAGCAGAGAGAAGGAGGAATGGGTCGTGGATTTGGTGGAGGTAGGGGACGAGGTGGTCCTGGTAGAGGAAGGGGTGGATTTGGAGGGGGTCCTGGCAGGGGCATGGGTCGAGGAGATGGATTTGGGGGAGGATATCAGGATGAAACCCAGTTTGCTGTACCCGCAGACAAGTGTGGCTTGGTTATTGGAAAAGGTGTGTAACTTTTGTTTCTTATTTTATAGATGAGTATAATGTAACCGATTCAAATGATTAGAATGGAGGTGTGCTTTATTTTTATTGCAAAAGATGTAATTGCTCTCTTTTCATATAGGTGGTGAAACCATCCGTCAGATAAACCAACAGTCTGGGGCACATGTAGAGTTGCAGAAACATCCTGGGCCCAACCCAAATGAGAAATTGTTTAACATCAGAGGAACCCCTGATCAGATTCAGCATGCTATTCAGATGATCAGTGAGAAGGCTGGAATACCTTATGTAAGTTGACAAAGATAGTAAAAAAAAATTTTGCACATTGGCACGGGTATACAGATACTGTGTCTTCATACCTGACTAAACTTTGTGCTAAAGTAAACCATTCTGCAACGCTATCTGTCTTTGACAGCTGGTTACTAATATTTATGGGACATTCCTTACATTTTATAATTAAAAATATGTGTATCACCATTCTTCATGTAAGCATTAGAATGCTGTCAATTTTTTTGGTACTAAACTGTTATGCTCATTCACTGAAGTATTTTAGAGTACTTGTGCATTTAATAAGAAGTGAACATTTACCAGTTAATAAATAAACATGCTAGAATTATGGAAAGAAGTTTATGATAAGAAGATGTATTGTTTGTTTCTGTGTTGTAGGGTGGTCCTGGTGGGCCTGGAATGGGAGGTCCTGGTGGGCCTGGTCCTCATGGAGGACCGGTTCCTGGTGGTCCTGGATATGGAGACCAGTATGGAGGACAGTTTGGAGCACCTGGGTAAGAAAATTTTATCCTTCTCTCTTCATTAATTGTAAGTTTTTCATGGTATTATCTATTTGATCGTGAAATATCACAAGTCCTAACTACAGAGTTCATCTTTCATCCAAAGGTAGCAGTATTCTCTATACTGCATATTCATCTCTGAAAACAACACAAATAATTTATTTGGGTATACTAGATTAAATTCTTTAGAGATTAGGAATATTGTTTAAGGGAGCAAAGCAAGATGTCAATCTTTTTTTTAAAAAAGCATTTATTTGTGGACATCAAGCAGACAGACTGGATGTTGATATATGATACAACTATAAAAACTGATAAACAACCAAAATTATAATTCATTTATGCAGAATTTATGAAGTGCATTATTCATAAAAAATTATTCAGTTGTTATTTTGAAAAGTCAGATCTTGGAGATGATTTTAGGTGTGATTTTAATTGCAGTCAACAGCAAGGTGGGGGACAGTATGGAAATGGTCCCCAGGGGGGCTGGGGAGGTTACAGTCAACAGCAAGGATACCCCACTCAACAATCTGGGGACCCTAGTCAAGGTGGTAAGTAGCTTAAATAACTTACAAAATGAAACAACACTAGCTAACTTCAGACCAGAAAGGTATGGTTTGACAATAGGATAAGAATGTGTTCTTGAAGACAGTGGAAAGCAACTTTACCTGAAAAAAACTTCATCAAGGAAAACAGAAATAAAGCACTTTGAAATTCCAAGTAGGATGCATTTATTCCCTTTGGTGAAGCCATCTTGAACTTAAATGTTCATGGCTGGTATTTTTTATGCAGGGATACATAAAAGATCTGTCTAAAAACACCTGCATAATGATGTTAAGTATGTATGGTTTCCTGGGACAGATGACAGCAATCACCTAAGAAACAATTTATTAGGTTTTCTGATTCAATGGCTTGAGTGAATTTTTATGATCAAAGTTGGTATTCAGTCTGTTAACTATTTACATTTGCAACTTCTCCACAATCACTATGCTAACTTAACCAACTTGGCACACACTCTCCCTAAGTGAAGTGGACTAGAATTTCTTTGCACGAGTAGAAATTAGATGGGCTCATTGAAGAATCTTCCACTGTAGCAGAAACAACTAGGCTATGAGAGAATTAATGAATGAGGAACCTTTCATACATCATACCAGGGTTCCTACTAAGCCAAAATAATTCTTACTTCATCCCCCCCCCCCCCCCCCCCCAAATAAAAAAACTCCCACCTTATGTTTTGTTGTAACTATCACATGTCTAAACATCAAATTGAGAGTCTTTTATATGTAATTTGTCTTTATAACTTAAATTGTATGTACATGTCTAACTAAAGACACAAGAGGTCATTTTTTAGACAGGAAGTTGAGGAAAATAAATAAGTTGTGCAATATCCATGACATTTCCAGTAGAAGGTTTAGGAGCGAGTCTTTGCTAAGTAAAGTCTATAGGCCCTACTAGAACCAAACTTACATCTAGGGAAGCACATTACCAGACTTACTTTGCTTGCTTTTCATGCTGGTTTTGATATATATTTTCCAGAAAGGTGATCAGGGGAAAAAAATCTTAAATTATCATCTCTTGACGAGCAAGAGTGCCATATTTTGTCAGATAAATATGAAAGCATCTCAATATAATGCAGAGTCAAATTTGGTTTATGATCAAGGTAATGAGGGGTTTCATTAAGCCACATATTCATTTCTCAAGAAGAGAAATCCTATTCACATGAGCTTCTAAATATATGTTGGTAACAAGTATTACACATTTTCAGGCTCAGACAATAAGCAAGCCCAGGACAATGCAGCAGCATGGGCAGCATACTATGCCCAGTATTATGCTCAGTATGGAGGATATGGAGGGCAGTATGGCCAGCAGCAGGGACAGCAGCAACCCCAGCAACCTGCTCAGCAGTCTCAGGCTCCTCAGCAGCAGCCACCAACATCAGGGCAGAATTATGCTGAGCCAGGTAAATACACCAATTTGAATTATTTTTTACTGTACAATAGATAATTTCTGCAGTTGAGTATTCAAAGGTGGCATTTAAGTTTCTGTGATTGCAGCTTGTATGATTTCCATCTTTGATACGAATTATATATGTCATAAGAATTGATTTGTGGTTTTGAGTGAATTGTGGAATTCAGCAGATATGTTGGACATCTGCTGAAGTACCTGTTAAAGGATGGTTTTGTCATACTTGTCTAACATGGCGAATTAAAGCTGAATTGAGGCAATTTTGATGTGTTTAAATTTATATCATGTTGGTGGAAATGCATGTAGATTTATGTTGATTTGTAATTCCAGCTATTAACCCTTCAACTGGTCAGGCAGATTACAGCGCGGCATGGGCCGAGTACTACAGACAACAAGGAATGCACTACCAGGCCAACATGATCCTTCAGCAGGCTGCAGCCGGACAGTCAGGGGGGGCCCCACAGGGACAGCAGCCCCAGTAAAATAATGGCCAGGTATGTACTGTGTATCATTTACCTTACTTTACAGGTAAGAAGAGGAGGCCTTGGACTGGAGGGATGCAGCAAATCTAGTAGCTTGAGGAATACTAAATCAGTAGTGGAGGCCCCCCATACATGAACACTCGGCTCGTGAATTTTTGTGTATTTAAAACAAAACTCTCATTTCCCACCACGTGATTTTTACCCGGTGAACTTTACTGTAGAGAGGGAGGAACATTTTCAAAGAGTTTATCTGCATCTTTGGAGGAGGAACTTTTTCCTTTAAAAAAAAAATGTCTTGTTAATGATTTTGTCTTAAAATTGTCTTTCATTTGATTCATGTGCAGTTTAAATATTGGGAGGGGTCACCAGGACCTGATTCAGATGATGACCATATCTTTTGCCTTCTTATGTCATATTTTATGATGATCATGAATCTGATGCCTTAACATATTTTTGAAAACTGATGCCTTGCCATATCATTTGATATTGACTTTGCTGTTTACTGAAATTGATTGATAACTTGTTTTGCTCGTAACCTCTTGAAATATGCATGATTATAAATAATGTTATTATGATCAATCATAAAATCTATTGAATTATGAACATGACATATTTTACTAGGTTGTAGCTTTTAAAGGATTTTTTTCTTTCCATTTCATAATGCCATATTCTTGTTTCTTTACATGTACTACAAGTGATATTTTGACATGTAGTGTTGAATTGTCTTAGAATTGATATATATGTTTAGGATTTCCAGATTCTTCCAACATCTTGATGATGTTGAAAAGGATTACATAAAGAAATATTTGAAAGTATTAATTAAATAGTAGGGATGAAAGTTAAAGGCAGAAAATTGAAAGTTCAAATAAAGATAGAAAAATGAAAGATAGAATAAAGTGGAATAGGATATAAAAGGTGGAAGCAAATTTGACTTTCATATTATGCTTTTTAAAGATTGAAGCTCAGAATTGTCTCTTTTGAGAAATATTTGGAACAGTTTTTGCAAAAGAGAAAAAAAACATTTTCATGGTCTATCCTATAAATTTATGAATTGACAATTTTGTTACCATAAGGCCACTCTCTGAAAAAAAAAAATTAGCTACTTGATTTGTTGTTTTCTTGACGAGTCTGTACCTGTGACATCTGAATGAAACTTGTGGTAAGTATTAATACATCTTGGTAAGTATATTTACATATATTGATTTAAGTACATGCACTCCCTAAGGTAAATACTCTTAGCCTTTAGTAAAGTTTATATGTGTTAAACAGTCTCTCTTTTAACAGGGTGCTGTGCATGTGAGTAAATAATGACATTATAAATACAACACTGTATACATGTAATTCTGGAAGCAAGATCCTAATTACAAAGTGAAAATATCATTCAGATTTTAATCTTTCTTCCAGAAATGCTAATCTGTAAATTACCTTTCAGATGGGAGACCTTAATAACTTGTATGCTATTTCTTTTATTCATTTATTTCATCTAGGACTCGGGAGACTTTTGTGATTTGGATTCAAGAATATATGTCGTACTTCATAATTCAGTGAGGATATCATTTTGTATATACCATGTTGCACAAATCGGCACTTCTACTACCCATCCCTATTTCTCTCTTTATTTCATTGTATTATTAATTTAGGTAACTCCAGTATTTTAACTGTATTCTCAATTTGACTTGCCAAGGCATTGGGCCAAAATTTGAATTCTTCAACAGCGAGTTATATAATGTTCATAATACATGTGTCTTGATGTCTAAATCAATGAGAAAGTTGCAATGTTAGGTTTTTAATACTTGTAGTTCTTGTAATACATTCCATTATTTTTATTTTTTTTTCTTATAATTGTAAAATATTTTGTTTGAAATTGAAGCATTATGATAAAATATTTGCATGATTATGCCATTGGATTGATATGATGAAAACAATGTTATTTGAATACTATGATGTTTATTAATGTCAGTATGTGCTGCAATCAAAAATATTTTTTAACTGATATGCTGAGCGGAAGACAACATTCACTTGTTGGGATATCTGCGGGAGATGCGAGCAAGATGTTCTATAGGCAGCAAGAGCCGCTCAGAGGCCCTAGGATTTTGCTTTTATATCATGATGTTGACTGTCTTATTGAAATGTTTTAACATGTGTATTAAACAAAGAAAAGAAATTTTGATTATTGAATATGTCTTAGTAAATATTTTAGTGCCACATATATGATGAGGACATTGTAAAGTTGTTCATTTCATTTGTATAATGAGTCTTCAAGTCTTAACCCAGTGATGAAACTTATTATTTTATATGAAAATGTCATTGTTTTTTTGCTCGCAATTTTGTATGTATCCCCATGTCTTTGCAATTCAGGACTTTTAATAATGTATAGTAAAAAGTATATTTAAATGTTATCAAAATTTTGATGTAATATGATACCATAGTTATAACATGCATTGACCTCATGTATTATTGAATATGTTCTATGTGATACTCTTGTGCTATAAGGACTTTTGATAAATATTGCCCATGTTGATTGATAACAATAATAATGTAATGCTATGAAAATATGTTTTTGAACTTATTGCCCAGTATGTCATGCCTTAAATTCCTTCATAGAGTAGTAGAATTGGTGCATTTGTTATACATGCTGTTTTTTATATTGTCCATACAATCACTTGTGTCACCACAGCGTTCTCTTGTTGTATTACCATGCTATACTAGCTTTGTTGTCAATGGAAACTTACATCCTAATATTTGTGTCATATGCCGAACACATTTATTAAATGTGTGTATTTTGTATAAATCACCTAAAGGTAGTAATTTGTAAATATTAGCTTGATTTTGTTTATTATAGCACATGTATAAAGGGTTCATAATTGAAGATATGTTATCATCTTATTACAGCCATTGTCCAGATCTTGATTTTAATGCTACATAAATGTTTGTCCTTTAATTATACCTCTAACCATGTGTTTATTATTCATAGATAATGATTGCTATAATATAAGGAGTTTGAAATTCATTGTTATGAAACATTTTTAACATGATTTATTGTTGTATTACAATGCATAAAAAGTTTTTTTTCACAAATATGTTCACATAATAATAAATTGTTGGTTTATTTTTTAATTGCAATGATATGACTATTTTAGAATTGTAATTTTGACTCTCTATTCACCCTGTGGTACTTTTTTTTAGGATTTTGTTGAACTTTGGTGTCTTGTTTAATATACTGTTTTTTGTGTCAGATTATATCTTGTACTTGTGCTGTGACTTAGAACCCTGTAAGGGAATTATCCATGTGTCCCCTGGCCATAGAAGGATCTCTACGGCAAGGTAAGGTCCAATAAAAGGTGTTTTAAAATCAAATCTCTTGTTATTTTTGATTTATTAAAAGAGTTGAGTAACTAATGATGCATTGAAAGGATAATTGGGAAAAAAAACAAAACAAATGGATGGTATTACTTGGGGATTGCTCTTTCTACTTGTTTTAAAATGCCATACATGAGTTTGCTGTGGAGGAAGTATTGTGGAATGACAAGTTTTTGAAATGAATCTATTTTCATCCCTCTTGGAAGTTGTATGTATGATTGAATAATGGCAACTTTCTTGGAGTTCACCTTAAAACATGACTGTAGCTGGACAATTCTTGATTCTCCCCTCCAATATCAGTTGTTTCTGCAGTTATCTGAGTTGCTTGGGTGACCTGTTGTTGTTTTCATCCATCATCATTAAGGGCTTCGTCTCTTGAACTGCTGAACCAACTTTGGCATATAACATCTATGGATGAAGTTAAACAAAATTGTGATTTTCATGATCTCCGCCCTCCTTCTGCCTGAGGGTTTGTGGCTAAAACTATCAAAGTTGGTGCAATCATTGAAAATTAGTACTACTACTGGACATCAAGCAGTCAAACTTGGCTTGATAGTAATTCTGAAATTCATCGTCCAACTATCTGGTGAAAGTGCATAAATTCTTCAAGAAATCCCCCCCCCCCCCTTGAATGTTAAGAAGACAAATTATGCCAAAATTGGTTCAGTGATTCAAAAGCAGCTGAAAAAGTTTAATGGATGATTGACAAAAAACGGATAGCAATAGGTTACCCGACTGACACAGGTGACTCAAAGAATTCATGCATTTTCACTACATGTGTATATGTTCATAAAGCCCTCCCCATAAGAGCCCCTGAATTTCACCATTTTGAAAGAAGCACTCTTGCTCATCATAACCATGCACCTGTAGCATCTGTGAGTGAAGGGGAACAAAATTTTTGAATTTCATGGACCATGCTACCCAGAAGCCTGAGGGGTGGGACTAAAATCATTAGAATTAATGCAATCTTTTAAAATCTTCCTCAGCTACTGGGACATCAAGCAGTTAAACTGTTGTCATGATTGCATTGAACCCTCAACCAAAATTGTGCAATTCTTTGCCCCAGGGTGAGGGTTCTGGAGTTGGGTGGGGCTTTCTAATGATCATATAGCGAAAATGCATACATTCTTAAAAATCTTCACTCCCTCTGTATATTTAGAAATTAAACTAGGTGAATGGTAATGATACACAAGGATGTCTTATAAAATGGTGAAACTTGTGGACCCAGGGGGGGGGGGGCGGTCTGTTGATTATATAGTGGAATATTATTTGTTTGAAAATCTTTTTAGCTAGTTATGATGAGCAAGAGTGCCTCTTCCAAAATTGTGAATTTTATGGCCCCTGGGGAGTTCTGGCTTTGGGGTCATAGAATTTAGACGAGCTAACTTTTTATCTCGGTCTCACCTTTACAAAAAGAATTTATAATGGAACAGTAAGACTGAGGTCAAAAAATGAGATCAGATCGTCAAGTAAGTTTTATGACCCCAGAGCCTGGTGTTAGGGCGGGGCCTATAGATCAGATTGTGAAATACATAATTTTCTTCATAAATATTTTATTCTCTGCCCCTTGATATTTACATGTAGCAGACATACTAATTGCGTGGTTTTCATGAGCAAGGATGCCTCTTCCAAATTATGAAATTCATAGCCTCGGTCGGGGAATTTGGTGTTGGGGCGGAGTTCTGTTAAATATATAGTGAAAATGCACTGTTTCTTGGAAGGGGACAGAAAAACTACACGTGGAAAACAAACAGCTTTTGAGGAATTTATCCAACACATCAGTTTTCCTTTTCATTTGATTTAGTAATGTGTAGATTTGATTGAAAAAGTTTGACATTTTACATTCATAAGGAAATATTAACCCAAAATTCATACATGTAATAGGAAAAAATTAGCCTTTATTATTTGTGCGTGCTTTTGGTATATTGAATTAGACTTATTTTTAGATCGTTCTGTATATATAGGGATTTTAAGATAGCTCCGCCTACTGTAGTCCCTTTCTGTACAGCAAACTTCAATGAAAAACACCTCCACCGTGTCACAAAAGTCCTTTACCTTTTACAATTAAAAATTTTTAATACTCCCAATGACTTAAAAAAGACCCATACTAATTTTGAGGTAAAAGATCAATTGACAAGGTCTGAAATTCATCTATTGCAAAAAAGGTTTCCTGATCATAACTTTAGTTCTCTTTTGGGTTTTTACAATGAAACTTTAAAAGATGATAACTTTCTCTAACTAGAAAATACATCGACAACAAAGATAATGCACTTCATGTAATGCTATTGATGATGAATTTCAATTCTTTTTACAATGTAATCGTAATATACAAGCAAGGAATATACTTATAAAAACCATTCTAGATAATTGTTCCTCATTTGATCTCAAATCACCCACACAGAAACTTGAATATATTCTTAGTCCAACACTTGAAGTTATCCCGGCTGTTTGCACTTTTATAAAACAATCATTAGAATTAAGAAATAAAAGGTCCACATCGGTACGTGTAACATATATTGAGTCAATTACTTAAATTGTGTTTGTTGTTTATAAACATTCACTGCATGTTCTCTGTTTTTTTTGTTTGTTTTTTGTTTGTTTGTTGTTTTTTGGTTTTGTTTGTTTGTTTTTTTTAATTTTGTATTGTATTGCTTGACCCACATGGGTGTATTATGCGATAAAGAAATTCTAATATGTAACTCAAGAAAGATCCCTATTGATTTTGACGTTAAAGGAAAGAAAGGCAAGGCCACAGATTCGTGTATGGTATGAAATTGAACAGTTTAGTTTTCGGCTTATTTTTGTTCTTTTAAAAGTTTTTGAAAAACAAATTACGCTTAACGTTCATGATCATGGATCTAGTTGGGGAGGAAGGGGGGGGGGTCAAAACCCCTCCAAACCCAGGATTTTTGGAAAATTTTAAACTGACACGGATCCCTTGTTGGAAGTCATATGGATAAAGATAAGCGAATTTAAAACTTCCCATGAAATAGGTTTTTCGGTTTAGTTACCCCCACATCTTGGAAAAAAATTCGTAGATCCGCGCGTGAAGTTAGATTATTGAGTTGTGAAGTAGTGTGTCGTCATAATAGAATATTTTTTGCGTCACAATCACTGCATCTTATTGTGACGTCATACATTATTGCAATAGCTGTCAGCTGTGATGGCGAATGTTTTTACCATAAGAAGCCTTCAGCCAAGATCGACCACACTATCTGATTACAGGGGTCACGATGCCACGAAATATCGGGTGTGTCCTAGAATACTGTCACCTACCAGGCGAGCAAATCCGCATCCAATAGGTCTGAAATATCAGCTTATTGGACAAAAGAAACCGGTAAGTTAATACTACATAGTAGAAGATAAAACAACGAGGAATGGGCGAGGAGCAAATTATTTTTAGACATATTGTAAATATAGCATTTAAAATTTCACTGAACTTAAGGATATCCGCTCCTCAGCCAGGAAGGATAACTCTTAAAAAATCATTATTTAACGACGACGGACCTAATTCATTTCTGCAATAGATTTTTATTCAAATTTTAATATGAGGTAAAGTGACTTTTGGTGAGTTAATATCAATAAAAAAAAATAATATGGTCATCGATGTAGATTTTTAATGGGGAGCGTTTCAAAAGTTGGCGATGGAAATCGATAATTACTGTAGGAAGTAATGGGAAATTGCCAGTGTAGGGTATAAGAGTGATCATTGAAAAAAAAATCGGCAATAGAATTTTTATTCATATTAAAGGAAAATGTTAACAAGAAAATTTACCAGCAAATTATGCCAAAAAATAAATGGGTCATCGGCTTAGAATTTTCAGGGGGGCATGTCAAACTCAGGTGTAGGGCACATTTTGGGTGAAATTTTGAATGAAAATACCTTGGCCAAATAAATCATTTATTTATAAAATCAACAAATGAATATAAATCAAAATATTTGCAATATTTTTGAGTTTGAATATCTTTAAAAAGAATTAAAAATGTATATTTTTTATCTTTTGCAATACATAATTAAGTCAATTTGATTCAAGGCATATGCGCTGTTTTCTGCGCAGTGGCGCGACATTTTGAATTAGGTCCGTCATCCTTATAATTAAAAAAGTCTCAAAAGGAAGCTTGAAATCTTTTCGTGCAGCAATTTTAATTTCACGTATCTCGATATTTTTATTCGCGTTTCCTGAAATTTTTTTTGAGATTTGATAATTTTCTCGTTGTAATATGTTTAATGATGAGCTGTGAAGAAATACCATGGGTAAATACACAATACTTTGAGAATTCAGAGACATTTTTGTGAGTATTTTCAATTACTTAACTGCTGATATTCAGAACCTGAGGATCGGACTACCTTAATTTCTTTTCTTATTTCTTTAAAAGACTTATGGCATATGGCATCCTGATTTCCATCGTATAGAACTGAGAATGCCAGATATGATAAAGCATTTAGGTAAGCAAAAAGAACACAATACCATTCAATTTCTTTAATAAGTATTCAGCTTTGTATGTCTCCTAATTTCCTCTCTGTTACAGGGCAAGTCAACTTTACATGTTCTCTTCCTGTCATCCACCCACGGGAATACGGTAATGTCATAAATGTTAACAAGTACGATCGAGGGACATTCAAAAAGTTTAGTCATATCTCCATTCATCCATAAATATTTTCAAAGTAGATCACTTGTAACAGTAATCTCTGTAGAGAAAGCAAGAACTAGTTTTGGGGTTAACTCAATAATTTAAATGCAATTAAACCTAATCACTGATTTTTCCATAAGAGTAATTGGAAGCAATTCAGTGATGGCAACAGCTTTGGAAGTGGGTTTTAAGTTCTTCGGATTGTTTTTAGTCTAAAACTTCTAAAGAAAAGAAACATGAAAGCAATTGCGATGGAACTTGAGACTTTATATTAAATCTTGAAAGTTTGTCACGGTTAATGTTTGTCACGGTTAATGTAAACTTTAATGAAATGCTGTTGGCAAGGATATTAGCATGCGACTTGGACTTTTTTGTCCATCAAGTCACAAATCGATCATTACAGCTTTGATATTTTTCATATTGTTAATTGTTTTATATATTTACCTTACTTTCAAACTAACCCCAACCCTTTTCTCAATGCAATGGTGACGTCGAATATTTCAGTAAACTTCTAGATCTAAAAAAGGACTACAACGGACTTTAAAAAAATAGTGTTAAAGGAATTTAGTGTTAAGGAAGATGCACTATCTGATACACTTATCAGACTTGCATGTATAAAATATCTGAATTAATATTGAAGAAATATTTTGCGATTGTAATTTTTGCGGATTTGTTCTATCTGCAAAATTCCGCAAAAATTGGACAACCGCAGAAAATAGCCGTTATACGGTACTGAGTTTGTCTACATAATTTAGTTGAATTATTTTAATTACATTTAATAGCCTCGGAATTAAATACAAAACAGATCGAAGAACATCGACTTTTCAAATCAGTAAAATTAATGCAGTACTCTTTCAAATCATTGATTAATATTTACCTTTTTTGACAAAGTAATTAACAGAATAATAACACATATCTGTTCCAATTGCCAGGAAAATTTCCTAACATCCAATATACGGAGACCACCACATCTCGTAAGAATTTCTGTCAACCGTGGAGATTTCCTAAACTGATGGAACTGAACCCACCCTCCAGCCATACTAGATACAGTCACACTCCTGTCGCGTTCCGTATACCCGTCAAAGGAATAGGTACGGTGCTTGAAATCTCCACTTTTGATGAGATACTAGTAATTGATACTGACCGTATATTTCAAAATACGTATATTTTTTGACGCTGGTTATGGACGAGACTTGAGGTTTTACTTGTGCTTGATAAAATAAAACGCTTTTTTTAGTTTCACCACGCAAGAAAAACATATATACATGTAAATACATTTATACAAGTAATTCAGACACGTAGCATCGTTTTTCAAGGAGTGTGTTGGGGGCGGGAGACAAAAAAATTGATAAGCCAAAAAAGATGAGACAAAAAAAAATTGTTTTATATATATATATATATATATATATATATATATATATATATATATATATATATATATATATATATATATATATATATATATATATATATATATATATAATTAGGGGGAAAAATTCCCTGTAACTACCATTAAGACTGTATACCCCCCCCCCCCACCTTTAAGCCTCCTCCTCACGTTTTCTGTCAGTTTTTAAAGACACGATAATGAAAAAGATGAAGATAACGAACAGTGATTTATCTCAAAAAACCTACAAACAATACAAATTTGTGAACAAATTAGGAGGAGTAAACATATCCTATCGACATGTGTTCACCCGCCGTGAGCCCTATGCATTAATGAGGTAGAAGGAATATTCCGTAGCCCAAATAGTTAAAAAGCAAAGGCCTAACAATTGGTATGAAATATGTCATGCAGTCAAAATATGTCCTAATGATAGGTATTTGCTACCAAAGTCATTATTACGACCATAGCATTTACGAAATGTTGACTTTAAATGAGATTGAAATCCCTGTAACAGCAACTTATCTTTCAGTAGCCTACCCTGGTTTAAAAATTGATCGTACTAAGTAGCATGCTCTTGAGTATTGAAAAAGTTGGAAGACATTAACACAGTATCCAGGTGATAGTGGGACATTACTACATAGGAAAAATTGAAGTCATCTCGTTTGTCAGTTTAGTTGTTAGCTGACCCTTGTCGCCTAGTCAGTAAAATATCCAGATAAGAAAAGATGTGGCAGACTCTGTTTGCTTTTATTTCGGGTTCACTGGGGTATATGGAGTCGACATATGAATGGAAGTAACTATTGTTAACTGATACAATGTCGTCACTATACAGGCCCGTAGGAAGCAATTTCAGTTGGGTGGGTGGGGGGGGGGGGGCACAGCCATACATTTTCAGTTGGGGGCACTATCAACTACCAAAAATTCCTTGACAAGCAACAAAAAAAAGGTCATCAGACGTTTTTATTGAGGGGCACAAGCTAGAAGTAGCTAAATTTCTATAGTCATCTATAGGCCATGCTATATCTGAATGTTGAACTGGAGGTCACAGTAAGTGTCTTCTTCACCTAATGAAGATTTTGAATGAATTCTGCTTCATAGGAATATAAAAACAGGTCGGCTAATAAAGGAGCACAATTAGTGCCCTTCGAATTCTAATAGTTTGTTGGAAGACCTGGTCTCCAAAGACTACATAGATGAACTTCAGCATCTTTTTGATATCAACTTCAGAATACTTGTGTGTAGAATTAGAGTGAATTTTAACAAAGTAATTTTGTTTATAATCAATCACAAGGTATGAAAATAACTTAAAATACATTAACATGAATTCATATAACATACTAGTATTATGCTTAAATTCTAATATTATTTCCCATTTTTGTTTAGTTCTGTACTAAGATTGCCTCTCTACCGGTATCTTTAAATACTCTAAACTTCCCTTGTTCACGGCGTCATAATTCCGCGGAATCACAATTTCTGTTCAATCCACAGATAACAACCGGATTTCTTGAATTGCTATTGTGTGTCTTAGATGCACTTTAAGTAAACTGTAAAATTTCCGTGGAAAATTTGTGACCGTGTACATAGCGTAAATTAATCTCAAACGAAAAAATGTACATGTACGTCTAAAGTACTCTTCTAGAAGAGGGACAATCTCTTAAAACTTTTAAACAACAAGAGGCCCAAGGGCCTTAATGGTCACCTGAGTATAATACAACAATTTAGAAGTTAAATACACTGATAGATGAAGCTTTGTTGCCCTAAAACAAGAGAAGTAGGAAGATCAGGATCAACAAAATAATTCATCTAGTATTCAGTATCAACTCATAAATTAAGTTCTAATCTGTCCCCCACTTATTGCAGACTATTAACAAACTATTAGTGTTTCTGTACTAATTTTAAACCCATATTAAGACCTCTAGCATTGACCTCTCTTATGGTCTTTGAAGAACTTTTAATAAGATAAGTTATTTTTGTCTCATTTTTATTTATCTATTACTTACAGGTCTACCTGATTATTAAAACTAAGAAAGTACTTTTTGAATTATACGATAAACATTCTTGCATAATTATCTTATTCTATTAACCTTTCAAATACATTATTTACAGTGATTAATTATCAAAGGTGAATGGAAAAGGGGAATAACTTCTCTCAGTAGAATACAAATTAATAGAGCCCTGCCCAGGACCAGAATGCTTAGACAAATGGTCCAGATGTTCAAAAATTTGGTAGAAATATGCTTACTTATATCATTTAAACTTTTACTCAGTTTGCTTCCGATATGCCCAGAAGCAGAGAAGAATTTCACAGGTACAATGCATTTCCACTACAGATTCAACAAAGCCTTACCCTAACACCAGAACCCAAAACCAAGGGTCAAAAAATTTACAAATTTGGAAGAGTTAACCTCATCATCATAACTATGGACTTCAAAGAATTAACACTTTTCCAGTATATTATCAAAAGCCTCCCCCCCCCCCCCCCTTCGTTATGCCAGAACCCCTGACCCTAGGACCACAAGATTGAAAAATTCTGTTCGAAGCGCCCATTTTCATCATAGCTAAGCAATTTATTTATCAGCTCAACATTAAGGAGCATACTGGATTAGTTAGTGATTAATCAATAGAATTAATGCTTTTTCACTAAATAATCAAAAGAGCCCCCCCCCCCCCCTCTCCTCAAGAACCCCAAAAACTGAGGCCATATATTTAAAAATTTTGGAAGAGGCATTCTTGCCTATCATAATCATGCACTTAGTTTATTTAAATAATCTCCAGTAGTAGAGAAGAAGATTTTCAAAGAATCAATGCATTTTCACTATATAATCAATAGAGCCTCGCCCTAACACCATCCTCTGACCCTGGGGCCATGAAATTCACAATTTTTGAAAAGGCATCCTTATGCATCATAACCATGCACTTAGTTTGTTTAAATAATCTCCAGTAGCAGAGAAGAAGATTTTCAAAGAATCAATGCATTTTCACTATATAATCAATAGTGCTCCGCCCTAACACCAGAACCCCTGACCCTGGGGCCATGAAATTCACAATTTTTGAAAAGGCATCCTTATGCATCATAACCATGCACTTAGTTTGTTTAAATAATCTCCAGTAGCAGAGAAGAAGATTTTCAAAGAATTAATGCATTTTCACTATATAATCAAAAGAGCCCTGCCCTAACACCAGAACCCCTGACCCTGGGGCCATGGCTTTCACAATTCTGGGAGAGGCCCACCTCCTTATCATAACTATGTACTTAGTTTATCACCTTAATGCACAGGAGTAGATGAGAAGATTTTCAAAGAATTAATGCATTTTCACTATATAGTCGATAGAGCCCTGCCCTAACACCAGAACCCCTGACCCTGGGGCCATGAAATTCACAATTTTGGAAGAGGCACTTTTGCTCATCATAACTATGTACTTAGTTACTTTATTTAATACCCAGGAGCAGAGAAGAAGATTTTCAAAGAATTAGTGCTTTTTCACTATATAATCAATAGAGCTCCGCCCTAACGCTAGAACCCCTGACCCTGGGGCCATGAAATTCACAATTTTTAAAATGGCACTCTTGCTCATCATAACTATAAACTAATTAACTTTATTTAATACCCAGGAGCAGAGAAGAAGATTTTCAAACAAGAGGCCCATGGGCCACATCGCTCACCTGAGCACATTGGCTAGGCAAAAGCACAAATCAGTTCAGTATTGAAAAGATTACCTGGGGGTGGGGGGGGGGGGCTTGAATTTTAAATTACCTGATGATGCTTCCATGTCAATATAACAAATGGCTTTATTGTACTTGAGAATTCGAAGATTTAAAAAAAAAATTTTCCCATATATTCCTTTGTAAAAATTTGATCCTCCATTGTGGCTCCTCCCTATCCAAGGGGTCATCATTTGAACTTGAATCTACACTACCTGAGGATGCTTCCATATCAATATGACTAAACATAGCTTTCCTGTTCTTGAGAAGAAATATTTTTTCTCTATGTTCTTATGTAAAACTTTCAATCCCCCAATGGGCCCCATCCAACCCCTGGGGGTCATCATTTGAAAAAAATTGAATCTACACTACCTGAGGATGCTTCCATATCAAAATGACTAATCATGGTTTGCAGTTCTTCAGAAGAAGATATTTTCCTATATATTTCTATTTAAGACTTTGATCCTCCATTGTGGCCCCATCCTACCCACAGGGGTCATGATTTGAACAAAATAGAATCTACACTACCTGAGGATGCTTCCATATAAATATGATCAATCAGGGCTTTGCTGTTCCTGAGAAGAAGATTTTTAAAATTTTTCCTATACATTTCTATGTAAAACTTTGATCCTCCATTGTGGCCCTGCCCTACCCCAGGGGGTCATGATTTGAATAAATTTGAATCTACACTACCTGAGGATGCTTCCATATAAATATGAACAATCTGGACTTTGCTGTTCCTGAGAAGAAGATTTTTCCTATATGTTTCTATGTACAACTTTGATAGTCCATTGTGGCCACACCCTACCCCCGGGGGTCGTGATTTGAAAAAAACTTGAATCTACACTACCTGAGGATGCTTCCATATAAATATGACTCATCATGACTTTGTTGTTCATGAGAAGAAAATTTTTAAAGATTTTTTCCTATATATTTCTATGTAAAACTTTGATCCTCCATTGTGGCCATGCCCTACCCCCAGGGGTCATGGTTTGAACAAACTTGAATGTACATTATCTGAGGATCTGAGGATGCTTCCATATAAATATGACTCATCATGGCTTTGCTGTTCTTGAGAAGAAGATTTTTAAAGATTTTTCCTATATATTTCTATGTAAAACTTTGATCCTCCATTGTGGCCCCCGCCCTACCCCCTGGGGTCATGATTTTAACAAACTTGAATCTACACTACCTGAAGATGCTTCCATATATATATGACTCATCATGACTTTGCTGTTCTTGAGAAGAAGATTTTTAAAGATTTTTCCTATATATTTCTATGTAAAACTTTGATCCTCCATTGTGGCCCCCGCCCTACCCCCTGGGGTCATGATTTTAACAAACTTGAATCTACACTACCTGAAGATGCTTCCATATAAATATGACTCATCATGGCTTTGCTGTTCTTGAGAAGAAGATTTTTTAAGATTTTTCCTATATACATGTATTTCTATGTAAAACTTTGATCCTCCATTGTGGCCCCCGCCCTACCCCCTGGGGTCATGATTTTAACAAACTTGAATCTACACTACCTGAAGATGCTTCCATATAAATATGACTCATCATGGCTTTGCTGTTCTTGAGAAGAAGATTTTTAAAGATTTTTCCTATATATTTCTATGTAAAACTTTGATCCTCCATTGTGGCTCCGCCCTACCCCCGGGGGTCATGGTTTGTACAAACTTGAATCTTCACTACCTGAGGATGCTTCCATATAAATATGACTCATCATGGCTTTGCTGTTCCTGAGAAGAAGATTTTTAAAGATTTTTTCTATATATTTCTATGTAAAACTTTGATCCTCCATTGTGGCCCCGCCCTACCCCCGGGGGTCATGATTTGAACAAAATTGAATGTACACTACCTGAGGATGCTTCCACATGACTTTCATCTTTCCTGGCCCTATGGTTCTTGAGAAGAAGATTTTTGAATGTTGACATTATTTTTTCACTAATCCCTAATTATCTCCCCTTGAAAGAGGGTGTGGCCCTTCATTTGAACAAACTTGAATCCCCTTTACCCAAGGATACTTTGTGGCAAGTTTGGTTGAAATTGGCCCAATGGTTCTTGAGAAGAAGTCGAAAATGTGAAAAGTTTACAGACAGACGGACAGACAGACGGACGCCGGACAAAATGTGATCAGAAAAGCTCACTTGAGCTTTCAGCTCAGGTGAGCTAAAAATTAATGCATTTTCACTATGTAATCAATAGAGCCCCACCCTAACACCAGAACCCCTGACCCTGGGGCCATGAAATTCACAATTTTGGAAGATTCGCTCTTGCTCATCAAACTATGTACTTAGTTACTTTATTTAATACCCAGGAGCAGAGAAGAAGATTTTCAAAGAATTCATGCATTTTCACTATGAAATCAATAGAGCCCCGCCCTAACACCAGAACCCCTGACCCTGAGGCCATGAAATTCACAATTTTGGTAGAAGCACTCTTGCTCATCATAACTATGTACTTAGTTACTTTATTTAATACCCAGGAGCAGAGAAGAAGATTTTCAAAGAACTAATGCATTTTCACTATATAATCAATAGAGCCCCGCCCTTACACCAGAACCCCTGATCCTGGGGCCTTGAATTTCACAATTTTGGAAGAGGCACTCTTGCTCTTCATAACTATGTACTTAGTTACTTTATTTAATACCCAAGAGCAGAGAATAAAAAAAGATTTTCAAAGAAATAATGCACTTTCACTATATGATCTATATAGCCCCACCCTGGGGCCAGAACCCCTGACCCTTGGGCCATGAATTTCACAATTTTGGTAGAGGGCTCAATGCTTATTACAATGATGCCAACAGTTTGACTGCTTAATGTCCAGGAGAAAAGAAGAAGATTTTTAAAGATTGCATTATTTTTGGTGGTTTTAGCCCCACCCCTCAGGCCCCAGGGGGGCAGGGACCATGAAATTCACAAATTTTGTTTCCCTTTACACATAGATGCCACATGCTAAAATTGGCTGAAATTGGTTCAGCGGTTTCAGAGAAGAAGCTGAAAATGTTCAAATGTTAATACACGACGGACGTCGCACGACGATGGATGAAAACAGATAGCAATAGGTCACCTGAGTGACTCAGGTGACCTAAAAATGGGGTTTAATTTCAGTTATCAGAAAAATTACTTCAGATTTTAGTTTGTTTTGTATTAAATAGAATAGACAATAAACGTGCACAAAAACATGCAAATTTTTCAATGCATGATACTTATCATTATTGGTCAATTTTCAACAATTTTACATTGATTTTTGCGATCGAGGAATATAATATTCACCTTGCCTAAAGGGCATTGATAGATGCAAAATGATGAATGAGAAATAAATTTTTAGTATTATTGCCATAAAAGCCGATTAAAGAAAACAAAAACTTTAGGGCATATTACTATGGTAACCGTGCCACATAGCAACCAATTTTTGCCTTATATGACTTTGAGATAACTCACAGAGTTTGACCAATATGCTCTGACCAATATGTAACTTTGTATTAAGTTTAATAAAAATATCTTGAAAAGTGAAATTAAGGTCAAGGTCAGAAAATTTTGACACAGTTGAATTCCTCTCATCAATCTGCATCTTGGTAAAAAGTTTGATGAAAATACCTTGAACACTTTCTTTGAAACTATGTAAAATAGTGGTGTCAAGGTCATGGGGAATGTCAAGGTCAGAAAATTATGCAACAGTTGAATATCTCTCATCAATATGTATCAGCGTATGAATTTTAATTAAAATATCTTGAACAGTTTCTTTGAAACTGATCAAAATGCAAATTGTGACAGATGGACGAATAGGACAGAAGACAGACATGACAAATACTATATGCCCCGTTAATATTCATGGAGGGCATAAAAATCTTGTTCTCAAGAAGAGAATGGTCACAAATGTAAGCATGTCCATGTAGTATAGAATCTGTTGGTTCAAATAATTATCCCTAGTGACCACGAGAGGTTTTATTTATCTACATATGAGAGAATGGTGATTCAGGTGAGCACTGTGGCCTGTGTACCACTTGTCACCACATCATAATATGCTTGATAAATTTATACAGATGAGCTTTATATCTTGCCACTGCTATCAAAGTGATTGAGTCTCGTGCGTTTGGTCTAGAAAGCCAAGTACAGCACCGACAAACAATTACCCATTTTTTTTTCTTTTTTATATTTTCAGTCCCAAATCTTGAATTAGAAGATTACAAACCTGTCCCAGAGCTGTGAAATTGAAAGCAGGAGAAAATCAAATACTTATCATTCCTTATAGTATAACTTGTGTAATTTTAGCTGCTATTAAAAATAAAGAATACACAGTTATGTATTTATGGTATTTTAATGGTTGATTGCAATTGCATTACACTTGAATTCATATTTTAATGCAGAAATTTTGTTTAATAATAGGTATACATAGAACTATAAAATATTCTCACAAATCCAAGAGAAGCACCTCAGTGCAGATTTACTGTTGGATTAGAAATCAGTGAAAAATGCTGACTTTGTATGTCCATTCCAAGGAAAAATGATCCAGAAGCCTGCTTAATGATGTTAAAATGTGAAATATAATTGAATGTTAATATCATATGGGACATATTGAAAAGTATTATATATGTCTGATTACATGATCAGTCCTTTTAAGTATTTGCTTGAATTTAAAATACTGAAGTGAAATGAAATACTTTTATCTGCAAGTAATCAAACAAGTACATGTATCATATAAAGTATTCAACATTTGTTCCATGGCATTTATTGAACATGTAAACACCACTGATTAAATATAGATACTTGTTTGAAATGTATTAATATAAAATTCTCTATCCAAGAAAAAAAAATAAAATGCATCCCTTACACATTAAAAATACAATTCAACAATATCAGTGAAAAATTTAAAACTCAATTCATATTAATTTCAATAAATTTATCCATGGAAAAAACAAAATATGTAAAATATGGTTCTTAGAGGTGCTATTAAAGGTGTTTATTCAGGATTTCATACATAACACATACTTCAGACATATACATACTGGTGTATTACCAATTAAGAAATATTAACCAGGATTAATACAAATATCAATTACACTGTATGTTCAAATTAATCTTATAAATAAGTTTATTTAAAAAAAAATAAAAAGACAAAGAGAAAACCATGAAAAAAGATACAAGGATGAATCTTTTATAATTTTAAATTGTCTGCTTCAATGTAGTGATAATAAAATAATGCTACATATCTGATGGCTTCATGGAAAAGAATTATTCTATGCAAAGGTGTTTACAAATAGTACTTTGTCATTTTTCATAAATGAATACCACTTTGTTGATGAAAAAGGTTCACCAAATTTTTTTGAGAGAAATTTGAATTCAGAATAAATGACATTTCACAATACACACTTTTCCTATGGGTAAAATAATAGAAAATGGAAGATTACAGAATTGCACCAATTGTCTTTTAATCACAATCTTGACGCTTCACACAACAATAACATACACGTAGGACTTTCTACTAATTCTGTTTTGTCTTTCTTTTTTTTCTTTTTTTGGGAAAAATTACCAGAAATGTACACTTTGAATAACTGATGGAATGGTGTATTTATTAAACAGTGTTAGTACAAAATACAAGAGTTGATCAATTATCAATATTTTACTGATTTTTTTTTGTTAACTATACCTAAGTAGAAACATTGCTGGCACTTATTAATACTGGCAAGTTTCTGCTAATATCAATTCTTTTACAGTGTTTTTGCCATATTCTCAACCTCGGTTTCTAAATCAACCCTTTTAATTTGTGCCTAAAATGCGCTTCTTATGACCACAACTGATGTCTAATTTAAGCTGTAAAATAGCTGACAAAAATGTTGTTATAGGCTGAGTGTAAACATTATTACAATGGATTCTAGTATTGCAATGTTACACATGTATAATACTATGAATAAAAAAGTATGTTCTGTAGCTACAGACCACTGCATTGCTTAAGCTTCTAACACACACATCCACTCCACAACAGACAGCAACATCACTTAACACAATAACAAAGAAATGCTTATGATCACAAAGACAAGTGCAGAGAGAGAGAGAGAGAAAAAATCACAGAGATGTAGATGTCAAATAATGAACACAGCAGATAATGTGAAACCTGAATTCTCAAAATTAAAAAGAAAAGTATTTTACTCTCACACAATAACAGTCACTCTGTCTAAAATAAATCTGGCCTTGTCTACAAATCAATGTCTACTGGATAAAATAACAAGCTAGCTCACTAGAAAATTAAATTTACACATTTACAAAAGCTGAGCATTTGAACTTTTCAACAGGTACATACATGTATATTTACATCATAATATAACTTATGATTTCATAAATATTCATTGCAATATATGTATATTCATATTTCTTGTTTTACATGTTCACCCCAATAAAAAATTCTCTCTCTTGACATTCATTTAAAATATCCAGACCATTGTATCTAATTACACAGAAAAATACCATATCAGCAAAAACCTGAAATCACTGAGATTTCATTAAGGCTGCAGAACTCCATAGAGCAGCTAAAAGACAGAAAATCCAAATAATCCTCTAGCTTATTAGGGTAAATATGTGTATTTGATTTTTCCATCAGTACATACATCAATTTCTTTCTTGTACTTTCCTCCCTCTATTGACCATAAATGTTTACATAAGTACCAGTTTAAAAGTGTTTCCATTAAGAGAATAGAGAGCATGTGGAGATATATCTTATCCATTCTGTAGTCCTATTCAAAGATCCACCACGCTCTCTGCACCAGATGAAGGCAGCAGATAGCAGAAAAAGATGAGCAGGAAGAGTTTCCTACCCTACATTGCACAGATCAGGACACTTATCAGTCCCTCTCTCCCACTCACATTAAACCTCGTCTTGATCATAGAAATGACACTGGATATACGAAGTGGGAACAAATCCCTCGGAATTGTCATGTTTGCGGACTCGTGTCCACCCATCTCCCTGGTCCTGTTCCAATACAAACATTTCTTCTCCTTCAGTCATAGCTACTGAACCCTCGTTGCCAGCTGTAGATAACAAATATGGATCAAGTTTAGTACCCCTTCAGAAACATTTTCAAAAAGAAGTTTCCATATGAAAGGAAATCTTGTTACTGTATGCTGAATAGTGAATAATAGTGAAGAAAATTCTTCTAATATGATAAATTCTTTCTATATATTACAACTTCAAAAACACTTTTACATTTTTTTGAACTTTTATATGAAATTTCTAATAAATAAAAAAAAAATCTGTAACTGCACCTTCATAAGGATACAATGCTCTACATGTTCCAATGACAGGGAACCCTTCCTCCTCATCAAAATCTGGATGATCAAATTCTGCCGTGTGATCTATGTCCTCATCTATAGCCCTACAATGACCAATCAAAATTTAATTTTTATTGTACCAACCAACCAATGAAAATTCAGCATTTACATTTCACAACCAATCAAAATTGAGATGCTAAATTAATACATCATCATGATGTTTTGCTGATCATGTAAGTATCTGAAGTGAGTTAGCACCCAAATATCATCATAAATAAATTACCTGTATATCACAATGATGGAAAACAATTATTTCTGAACATTTATGAGGGGAAAAAAGGTTTAAAGATGACAATGAAAAAACATTATTCTCGAGCATTAAACTGCTGAATAGATCTTGAATCTGTGATTCTGATGGAAGAGGGCACAGCATGAATGGATGCAGTGACAAAAGCATAAAGAACAATGGTATGGCTGATGGGGAAAATGAGGAAAATCTCAGTAGCATGATGCTGTAATGGTTAGTTGAGAAGGTGGCAATTTACTGAGATGGAGAAACAGGACAGGTTGGTGATGCAAAAAAAAAAAAAAAATAAATAAATAAAATAAAAAAATAAAAATAAAAATGAACAACACATTCATCCACTACCTTATGCATATTTCATTCAAATTAATGTTTTTTTTTTCTTTTTGAAAAATCAAAAACTTTTGACATGAAAGATAATTATAATAATATTATCGTAATACTTGAAAATCTCACAATTTTACATATTTGCTAATCAAAAGTAGTTTATGGCTAATGTACACTTAAAATACCAAGGCATGAATTTAAATGAAAAATGATGTTAGAGCTGCGAAAATTGTCAGAAAGTAAAGAGAAAGTTATTAACTTCTCTGGCTTCTTCCGTATTACTGCTCTGTAACACAATTTCATTATCATCTATAAAGAATCTGACTACAGCAGCATTGTATACACCTTAAAGAGTTATCTACTAATAGCACATAATGTAAATTAAGAGAGCACCGTGGGAATTATGAAAAAAAAAAATTAACCAAATATTATTACTGGTTTAATATGGGGGAAAACTTGAGAAAAATGCAGTTAAAAAACTCATCCTTAATTAATATACAAGTTAAATCACTTTAAATTTTCAATAACAAATTTCCAATTACATCATGACAATTTCAATTAAAAGATCATTATTAAAAGAGGGTTTAAATGCAGTCTAGCCTTGAATGGTTTTAATTTTATCATGCAGTTATATCAATATCTCCCACTCACCCTTCCTCCTCAAATTCCTCATCGCTAACAAAACAAGAAACCCACATTATAACCGTACAACATTACTGTGTTAGTGTCAATCAAGGGACCACTGTTTACACACTTATACTTTGTGTACACTAAGGAAACACTTGTTCATACTAATTTTGTTTCTTTCCCCCCTTCACCGCCATTCAAAAATCTGCTTTACTAAATGTCAATTTTAAATCTGCCATCTTCAGAATTTTCAATAAAATTTAGAAATAAAAAAAAAATTAGTAACTATTCTTAATGAATAAAAATCCAACAACAACAAAATATTACTTAATGAAAATTGATTAGATCAAACACTACATTCCATTAATTCTTCCTGTAGTATATTAGTTTATGTATTGAGAGATGAGTCCCATGACCTTTGTGTATTCCAGATATGCTATTAAAAAATCTACTATGTGCAAATAGCTCAGATGTTGCTAGCACTTCTAATATAAAGTTAACAGAATGTGGCAGATACCTATGTCTTAGCACTGATCACATTCCCATCTCTAAAAACAATTTTTCATTTTTTTTTTTTTTTTTTTTTTTTTTTTTACATTTCCCCCCATTAAAAATCATTCTAACTGCACAAAAAACAACCTGTGTACTTTTCATATGAAGTATCTTTTCAAAATTTCTTCAAACTTTCCTCAACGATGATCATGGAATGTTGCTGATATAAAAGCAGATATATTTTCTGAGTAGTTTATATGGATTTCATGTCAATGCTTAGCGGTAAGGATCTGCACACAATTAGATAAAACCCTGAGTATCTTGTGACAAACCTGGGCGGTTCTGGCCACTCCTCACTGAAATAATCACACGCACTGAAACATTGCTTTGTACAGGCATGCTCCAAGACTTCAATAACTTTTTAGATCAAACAAATTAAAATAAGCTCACTGAGCTTTATTTAAACTACAATTAAAAGATATTGTACACAGGATCCCTCAGCATTTCTAAAATGCAAATACCCCCTCCACCTCCTCCTCTTCATGTCGGGAGTGCCCCTGTGTAGCCAAAAATTTTAATCCCTAAATTTTTTTCATTGGTATTATCAAATTTAAATTCACCAAATTTCCTTCACCATTTAGATCTCCTAGACAAGCACCCCCAACCCTGCTGTTCCTCTGATTTCAAGAGTTCTGCTGTTAGTTCAGTCAATTTATCATGAAACATCAAACTTATTTCATCATGAATTCTTTTGTTATAAATAAAATTTAGAATGCACCAAAAAAATGTAATAAAAAAATCTATCAAAATAGATGAGGGAAAAGCATTACTTGTGGTACATAAACTTTCTACGAAAATTACAATAGGAAAGGGGCATAACTCTTGTCATTTTAATATTTTGGTTAAAATTATGGTGCATTTTTCTACCTTGAAGAAAGAGGAAGCAAATTAAACTGTGTATTTTGACATTAATTGATGCAGTATAATATTTTACACCCAGCTAAAAAATATAACGGATGTTAAGGCTTAGGAATGTATAAATATTGCATTTCCTTGCCTCATAATAATAAAATTTAGGTTAGAGGTTATCAAAAAATGGTCAAATTTTGTCCCTAAATCTTTATGGATATTTTTTTAATTATATGTAGTATTTATGTATTAAATGAAATGATCAATGCATAGTAAATCATAAGGTAAGGGAAATTTATGTATTAAACTCCAACTGTATTCACTATCCACTATAGCTAGAAATACTAATACTTCCAAATTAACAAAAAGAACGTAATTAGATTTGAAAATCCACCTCAAATTTATATCATCTATAGAAATAATGATCTGTTAAACTTAATGAAAAAAAGGTCAAATCAGACTATACTTTCATGAAAAACAGGGATATTCTTTTACATTTCAGGGCTAGGGTTAGGATTAGCACTTCAAAACATTGGATAGATTAACAGAGTTATGCCCCTTTTCTATGGTAATTCCATTAGTCACTAGGGGCTAAATCCGAATTAAATCTAGCCAATATTATGTTTTCTGCTCCTTAGATTTTTTGAAAGATTTTTTTATTGCATATATTTTGTATCTGTTCGAATTTATTTACCACAAGATAATTTCTGTTGCAATTATTTTGATGTTGGGTTTTTATTTTCACTAAAATTGACTGCACTATGTAGTATTTCAGTAGTAAACATGGTTAATATGGGCTGATATCTTACGTGTAGACTTCTGGTTCATTTTGCACAATCTGTGGAGCTCCGGACAGTGAAGTCTGGCTCATATCCATTGTTGCACTGCTCTGGGATATTGAGTCATCTGATAAACTATTCCTTCTCTGTCCCGCTGGAGAAGGCTTGGCATCCATATTGGCAAGATATCCCTAGAGAAAAAAACCACTCACATAATAACAATGAATTATTAAATGTAGCACATAAGTAATGACTATTAACAATTAAAACAACTAAATTATACTCCCATGTTAATATTCTCATCAGTAAATTCATACATGTATATGAAGAGAAATATTTGATTTTTAGAACTAACTTGGTATTTCCTCATTTCAGCTTGTAAACTGTCAATCTTTTGAGCATTTTCTTCTATCTTCTTTTCTAGTGCATTAGGATCTCCAAGTGCTGGATTATTGACATAGACATCCTTCATCTTTAACATTCCTTCTCTACAAAATACATCAAAAAGCAGGTGAAGGACTGGAGTTCTTTAACATTTTATTTCTATTTTATGTACAATCCAAATATTACAAGATGAAAAAAATATACAAGCTAATTCAGAGAATATTGGTCCCCTGCTTCAGGAAAAAAAAGGTGGAAGAACTGAAAAAAAATTGCAGATGGAGAAAAAAAAAAGTTCGACCTAATAATCTCAACCCTTCAGCCTTTGGCTTTAATAGGGGTCTTTTTTTAAGTTAAAGAAATTTATGACCTTTAGTTTCATTGCAAATGCTTACAGAGAATTAAAGTTATCACCTGGAAACTATGTGTGCAATATATAATTTTTTGTCCTACGTCTATGACCTTTTTTTTTTACTTCAAAATCAATAGCAGTCTTTTATTTATGTCATACTGAATAAAGGTATAAAATTTCATTGCAAAACCTCAAAGAGAACTAGAATTATCACCAGGAAACCATTTAACATGTTTAAGGCAAGACATCAATTTTTGACCTTCTTGTGTAATTGAATTTACCTTTCAATTACATGACTTACACAGATTAATTATCATAGGTGAATAGCAAACAGGAATAAGTTCTCTCAGTAGAGTACAAATTTTCCCTACAAGATCAATAGAACCCTGCCCAACACCAAAACACTTAAGCCAGTAGTTCAGAATTTCCCAAATCTCGTAAGAGCATCCTTGCTCAATACAACTTTAACTGTACTCTTTGTGCCCCTTAGACACCTAGGACTTTTAAGGAATTAATGCATTTTCACTATATATTCAATAAGGTTCCATCCTAACACCAGAACTTCTGACCCATGGGCTATGAGTTTTTAGGTAGAGATACCCTTGCTCATCATAACCATGCACTTAGTTTGACTACTAAATACTCTGGGGCAGAGATGACGTTCAAAGAATTAATGCATTTTCAAGAAGAAGAGACAATTGAATATATCCTATGGGAATGTGATCTTGTACAATCACTCCTTGAAAACTTTGAATATTATCTCCAGCAGAGAAACCTCCATTTGTCCATAACAAAAAATCATTCATTTTAGGTATTGGAGGAAAAAATAATGAAATAGTTAATATCTTAATCTTATGGTTAAAATATTATATCTATACTTCTAGATGCACTGAAAAACCTCTAAATGTGCACTCTGCAATATCACACTTGAGTTATTTTTACCAAACACAAAAATATATATCACATAAAAATGGTGAAAAAGAGAAATTTGACACTCAGTGGAACAGCTGGAACCAACTATTTTTGTAACTTTCTCTCTCTCTCCCTCGTAATTCTATATATACACAATTCTGTTATAGAAAAGATAATGAACATTTGGTTTAGAATGAATTGTGTTGAAAAAATAAAATAATTAAAAAAAAAAAGAAAAGAAAATGTTCAAATGCTTAAAGATGACTAACACCTGACAAAGCACGATGACAGATGAAAACAGATCTTGAAAGGTCACCTGAGTGACTCTAGTGCCTTAAAAAATGTGGATGTCTGTAATAATAGTGAAAACAACTGGTCCTCTAATAGTCAGGGGCAAACATAATAGTTTCTATATCAGGCCTCAACATCATTAGGGGTGATATACTTCATAGAGGGTACCAATGTACCAAATTTGAAGTCTTTCAAGTAAATGGTTTTAAGATACTAAGCTAAAAACATCTTCCTATTCTTGTGCCTATGTTGTTTGATCCTTGACCTTTGTCCTTGTAAGTACAAAATCAACAGGGGTCACATACTCCATAAGGGGAACCAATGAACCAAGTTTGTTGTCTGCCAAGAAAAATGTCTCAGAAAATTGAGCAAACAATATCTACCTGGGTCTAGCCTCTAGAGTAGTTTGACCTATGACCACTGCTGACCCTGTGACCTCAAAATCTATAGTGGTCAACCACTCCCTAGAGGAAATCAATGTACTAAATTTTACCAAGTCTGATGTCTTTCAAGCAAAGTGTTCTCAAGATATTGAGTGGTCAATATATTCCTATGTCCAGTTTGACTCTGGTAGGAGGTCATCTACTCATGCTTGTCAAGCAAGTAGTTCTCAAGACAAGATTTTCCTATATCTAAGGTAGCCTGACCCTTTCTTGTGACCTCAAAATCAAAAAGGGCCATCTACTCTTCAGGGGGTCCCAGTATACCAAGTTTGATGTCTATTAAACAAAGGGTTCTCAAGATATTGATCAGACAACACTTGGTCTACCAACCAACAGATGCGAAGCAAAATGACCCCTTTTCCAAAGGGAGGCATAGAAATCAACAATAATAGTTGAAGCAAACCCTTAACAACAGAAAATAAAATAATATACATTACAGTAGATTTACACCAATATTTTTCCTCTCACATACTGCAGTTTTGTTGAATATATAAAACTATGTTATAAAAAGTGTACTCTTGTATATTCTTTGATAATATCTGTAAATAATTTTTTATGCATGTGCTGCATTTTGACATCAAAATGAGATATACCTTTCAGCAGTTTCTCTGGCAATTTCTTTTTTGAATTCATCTATCTTTTTATTGAGAGCTTTTCTTTGTTGGTTTGGAGGAAGATCACTGAAATCTTCTTTCGATTCCTCTCCCTTAAAAAAAAAATACAAAAAATCAACTAGGTAGCAAACAGGACTATACACTTGTGAATTACTAGAAAATCTTTTCCAAATTACTTATATTTATTCTAAAAGTCTACAACACAGTACAAAGTATATGAACTTGTGCTTATGCTCACGAAAGCCACACGTGCTCAAATACATAAAATAGCTAGGATGCATTAACCTATAAAATATTTAAGGAGGAAGTGGGGGATATCTGAAAATTCTTATAATCAATTTTAATGTCATTCTGTTAATTAAAATTACACCAGACTTTGTGGACATAAACTGAAATTATTACAGTACTTACAAAGTGAAATGAGTTTGTCTCTGAAAACAATTTGACTATTTGAACGTCTCAATTTTCATCATTTAGAATTACTAGTAATTTTACAAAATAAGTACCAGGGTACTGAGTATAATGATTACTTTTCCATACCCTCCCCCCCCCCCCTTTCAAATCTATGTGTACTAGAAAACCATTTCAAACTCAAGATAAATTCAAAATTTCCTTTTTTTCTCTCAACGAATCTTATCCATAATATAGAGTTGCAAAGTGTGTATAAAATGAGTAAAATATTTTACCGCTAGGTACTATGATATTAATATTTAATCATAGCAGTTTACATAGTTTATATCTATTCAATTTCATTAAATAAATACACATATAGAAAAGTGTTTTAATGATCAAAATAATCAAGATGAAAGGACATATTTGGAGTATTATCCATTCAAATAAGATGGACTTTATTTTAAATGTATTTTTTGTATACTGATTACTGTGTACTTGTTATGAAATTGATTAAAGGCACTAAATAATCTCAGTTTATTTTTTTCTTTTTTAAAGAACCATTCTCAAACCTAATACCACAGAAGATATCCAAAGTCTTTCATGCTGCATGTCTGATTTCAATACAAATTCCAACCAAATTCTGATATATTCAAATCCAAAAATCTCAAAACCTCCCACCTAAAAATTTCTTGAATTAAACATTCAAAAACAGGGAGTAACAAAAAAATAAAGGGGTAACATTGTTCTGCTTGAATAATTTTGCCATGCATAAAATATTTGAAAAAAAAAATGGGGGAGGGGTGGGGGCGTGGGGTAGGTGGGGGCCATACCTACCTCATGCTCCTCAATGGCAAAAATAACATTGAAGGCAATTAATGGATGAATCAACTATTGCAATTTTATTGTTGTTAAACTTGATGTTTTTTTGTAGCTTTTTAAAACAAAAATTACAATCAAACAAGAGGCCCATGGGCCATAATGCTCACCTGAAACACTTAGGTTGGCTCATTTTGAGAAAACAAAACAATTTTCAACTATTCAATTCCTATGTCTCTGGTTTTATCCTACATTTACAACCCCAACCGGAAGCTTTTGTATCCCATTCAAAGTCTTATTATGAATCGAGTTAATTTTTGAGGAATAAATGAGTGGTTTACAATAAAGAGGCTCGACCAGAGAGATCTGAAACGATTAATTTGACAAGAGAAAAAGTCTTTCAAAGCGAACAATGTAATTTTAAAGTAGGTTAATGATTGATATGTTAACAAAATACGAGCTTGAAGCGGGGATGCCTGAAATTGAGTTAGGTACCTTGCGGTAAAAATAAGTAGAGGGTGCCCCGTATACGAAACAAGTGCCTGTGATTCTTATGTATAACTTTGATCCTGTCGTGGCCCGACCCTTCCTGGGGGTTATGATTTATACAAATTTAAATCCACACTATGTAATGAAGCTTTCAAGTAAGTTTCAACTTTTCTGGCAGAGTGGTTTTGAGAAGATTTTTGAAAGATCCCATTAAATTTTCACCAAATCTCAATTATCATCCCTTGAAAGAGGGCATGGTCCATCATTTGAACAATTTTAAATCCCCATCACTTAAGAATGCTTTGTGGCAAGTTTGATTAAAATTGGTCCAGTGGATCTAGAGAAAAAAAATGAAAATGTGAAAATTTATCAATGACAATGACGATAGACAACAGACAAATTTTGATCAGAAAAGCTCACTTGAGCCGAAGGCTCAGGTGAGCTAAAAAAAGCCCACTGAAGCCTTTTGACCTAGGTGGGAGAAAATATGCAAACACTACATTGCAGTTAACTTTTAATTCATAAACTAATTTCAACATTACTTGGTAGAGTGCCACAGCACACTGTCATAAACCATACACAAAGGAAAATCACTGTAAAGCAAAACTATAACTGAAATGTACAAATAAATGTCAACATAACGGATGTTTTCATTACAGATTTCATGCATTTACTGATAATTTTCTACTACAAAGAAACATGCATCAACTGCTTGGTGGGAGGGGCTAGGGTCACATGACCATGCCCATACATACCAGTAATCCAATGATCTGTGGTGAAATGCAGGAGAAAGCAAAGATTGAGAATTGTAAGGTGTTTGATTACATGATGATGTAATGATGAATGAGAATGGAATATAAACAGAGTTTTCACCAGATATATCACTTCAAATGTTAAAATATTCAAGTTTTCAATGACTTTCCTTACAAATGATACAAAAATATACAATTTTTCACTAATCTGGTTCAAACTCATGTGTAGAACATTTATACCAAAGAGGTGTGATGGATGAATAAGTATATTTTGGGATGGCAGGAATTCAAACAATGCATGAGTTGTCTAAAATTTTGGTTCATATATTTCCAAACACCTTTTCTTCTCGCTAAGAAAAGCAAAATTAAAAATTGTTCCCAAAATAAAAATAAAATAAACAATGGAACGTAATTCCTACCACTATAACACTTACTGGACATGACAAACATTTTATTTTCTAAAAATGGAAACAACAGTCAATAAGTAAAATGGTATGTATATAATATTAACATGACAACAACCTAAAATTTTATGACTGAATTTTTAATTTCATGCAATACAGTCTATCACATTTAAGCAAAGAATAATACTCATGCAGTTCTGGAATTCCTGATACAATTAGTAAAAGAAATATAATTGGCATAGTACAATTAAATACTGCCTGAACAATATGCTCTATATATCAATCAACATACAAATATATCGTAAATTCATTCTATCGATATCAATAAGACATGAAAAGAAACAAACCAAAAAACTAAAAGGAAAAAAAAAGACTGGATAAGGAAAATTGTTAAGATTTGTGGTTGTTATAAGTTTTTAGAAAGGCATGGGAATACATGCTATGTGGGAAAAACAAAAATTTTCTCTTTCATTATGATTGACTGATTCAGAATGATGTGTCATTATGGAGTTAATGAACTATGGTTGCTAAAGTGTGAACAGACTTATTATAACAATGACTTCCCACACCCAGTTTGTCTGACTTACTTTGTTAATTGTGGCCTGAAATAAAACAAGACAATCTACATTTTCTACAAGTTTTACAAAGTAGAAAAGAAAAACAAAACTTTGACTATCACTACTGCGGGACTCTCTATCGTTCTATCATGCAGTATGTGAATTGCTCAAACATGTTATGCATCTAGATTTCATTTTTGGTATGCACAAGTGACTTCATTCCCTAAAATAAATGGTGGAAAATGATATGGAACTGATGTCTTTGATTTTAGAATTTGTACCTTTAGCTAAAGCACAGCTTTATTTTATTTTCAGTTCTATAAGTCACTAGCTTCTACTATCTAGATCAAGAGCCCTAAATATTAAGAAAACTTATGATTTAAAGTAAGTCTACATTCCCTAGTATTTTTTCCTTTATTGGATAGGGATCTTTAAATCAAAATGCCCATGCCTGTTGCCTTTCTAAATTTTACATAAATAACTTAAAAATAAATAAAAGAAAGATAAAATAACTTGTAATATTACAGATAATACTAATAAAATCTAAAAATTTTGCTACAAAATTTACATTTCACAACAGTTTTAATCAACAAGTGTTTGTCAACTGGACATAGAAAGCAAACTGAACAGGCATTATAACTTAACCCCGCTTACCCGAATTCTTGCTGACTGGGTAATGAAGAAAAAAAACTTTATATAATAATTTCACATTTTCTCTCTAATTTGATAATTGATTTGTTTTAGAATTTCTGTTTAGTTAAGTTAATTTTCAAACTCTTAAGATTACAGAAAATGTTATTATTCAATCTGAAATGTCAAGGTTTTCAGTCTTTAATATATTTCTTATATTCTATATTTCTTAAAAACTTCTTATATTCTATATTTCTTAAAAACCTATTTAAAAAACTTATAAAAAACTTGTTATTCAAATATTTAAGCAATTTTTCATTCAATCACATGTTCTCAATGCTAAATCTGCCACGCATAAGATAAAGGAAGAGAGATAAGTCCCAAACACACTCTATAAAACCCCTTAAGTTAGGATAAGGCCAAATAAAAAAATATGTGTGGTTATGGTTACCCGACCATCCCTATTTTATACCCCCGACCCTAAACTTTTTTTTGGCAATTTTCATATTTTTTCCAGAATTTTCCCAGATTTCTATCAATGGCTCCGGTTTAAGTTTTAGTTTCAGCAATGATGGCCTCCTTGCAAAACATAGTGTAAGTGTTTAATAGTATTAAATCCAAAGCAAGCTAGCATGTAGGTGTTCCCTACCAATATTGACTAGTATATTATCACACCACATCTAAATGCCACTTGCAAAGGAGTGATAGGTATTATTTAGAAAAATTAAGAAAATCATTTTGTTTAAAAAAAAAAAATTAAAAAAAAAAAAAAATAAAAATAAAACCTACCTACCTACCCTATTTTTTTTGGAGGTGTAACCAGAACCACACATATTTTTTTGTTTGGCCTAAGCTGTCAATGGATATTGCAGCAGGAAGCAGATGAATATATGATAAGTGCATCAGGGAAACACTGTTGATGCATATTTTTGAAGAGAAACTCAGAGGTTTTGACTATATAATCTATATACATATTCTGTTAATTTCAAGTACTGATTTGTACATGTCATTTGCACAGCAAACAATTAGTACTGAAAAAAAACTTTGATACATTAAGTGATTATAAGATCCTAGCAAATTTTAATATTTCACTAAGTATATGATATAATGGCATCTCCAAAAAATACCTTGGATGAAGTGAAAATTCCAAATAAACCTCCTCCTCCTTTTTTCTCTTTTTTATTTCGTTTTTTGTCTGATACTGTGCCTTTGCGGTATTCCACAGCATTTTTAGGTGTTCCATTAGCATTAGAAGTGTTGATGACTGAGCTTGGATTACTCAGGTCTTCAAAAGGAAAGTCCCCAGGGATAGGGAAACCAGACTTGTACTTATCAATAACTGCCTTAGAATCCTAAAAAAGAATTTCCTCATTAAAAATCTCAGACGTATAAGATTGTATAATTTTACACCAGACAGAAACATGGTGAAAACCTTCTATTCTAACAAGAGTTACCTCCTCTGCACTGATTCCATCTGAAGCTTTGACCATTCCGTCTATACACGTGTTAATGATAGGGATGACACTACGCTCTATGTCGGCCACTTGCTTCACCACTGACTTTATTTTATTGATTCTGTTCTCCTCCATATTTTGTATTTGCTTTAAATAAAATTTACATGTATTTTCAATTTTTAATATCATTTAATATTATTGAGGAGAGAACTGTGTTGAGAGAATTGCTTGATTACGTACCTGGAACACAGCTGGCATATGTTGTGTGTAGTGGTCTCTCTGGAATTGGTTAGTTTGCTGTAACTGAGCAGCATATTCATTCTTACATTCATCACACTGGTTGTTCTTTATCATCATCTGATTTCTCGTCTACAAAATAAAACATCCTCTTTGTAACTTCATACTAACTGAAAAATTGTAACAAAAAGCACATATCACAGAGCTTTTTTTTTTGCAATAGCTGCTTATAGAGTCGACTTTTATCCAGTATGTCTGCAAACAAAATCATTAAAAATTAATTTTTAACTTCAATTTCACTAGTTGAAAAAAATATATGTAGGTTATTCCATACCACCAATTAGAAAATTTTCCAAATTTGTACATTGTTGTTTGTTTTTTGGGTGAGGACATGAAGGACTTCTACATGTAAGTGCAATATGGGAAATGCAGTGTTATTTTAGTGAAATGGTTTTCTAGGTTTTCTTTCATAAATGACAGGACAGTGTCAGACTTTCATGTGTTCTGAATGCAATGATAAACTTGAAAAGATTTCCAGTAGAAGTCATACCCAGTTTCTCTTCTGTGGAGACAATATTCATGTAAGATTTAAAATCTATGAGAATGTACTGTACTGTATGGCGATAATTCACTTATCATTCATTCACAAACCTTCTCCACTTCTGCCCTTGATAAATTAATATCTGCGTCAGCTTTTCTGTAATCTTCTGTGGCCTTCTCTGCCAATTTAAAAGCCTTTTCATATTTGCCTTTACTCTACAAAATAAGGAAAATCACTCTCAAATTAGAAAAAAAAAACAAATGTTTTAATTTAATAATTTATGATCTCCATATTACAGTGGAGTGTGTCCCATGGTAAGGCATATCATTCATAAAAGAAACAGGCACTCAAACAAAACTTGTCAAAGGCATGACTGAGCCTGACTGACTGAGCATGATTGCGCCTGACTCACTGAGCATGACTCAGTAACTGCTGGCAACAAGAGGGATGAAAGCAAGACAATTTTTGTGCTTCCTCTGATTTTTTTTATTACATAATTAATTGTCTCATTATAGTAAAAACCTGTGCATTTCAACAGTTTACATTAATAGACACACCTTTTGAAAACTTCACTTTTTTCTTGGGGGTGGGTGGGGGGTGAGGATACATTTTTCGTATGTTTTACATTTGATCTGATCGACTTGTATACCTGCAACTACTGTAAATTACTTTCAGTTTGTATGGATTTTATTTTCATGTAATTATGCGAGACTGTCTGCTTGTGAAAATTTCATTCTTGCATATTTTAGTATTACTAAAGATTATATACAGCAATGTCCAAAATTCAGTCATTTATAATCATTTATTATTTCATTATTTTTGGGGGGATGGGGGTGGTAATTTTCTTTCCCTAAAGATTTTTATGAATATCTATTTCACTGCAGTTCTTTTATGATCATAAAACAATGTTTAGATGAGCAGACAGACTTAGAACTGCTGAGTATAAAAAATCTTTACCTTTTCTAATTGGCTATGTGATGCTTTCAGTTGATCTTGAACTTTGGCACCCTCTTGTAAATCCTGAAAACGTGTGATTATATTTCTTTATTTTTAACTTTCTATGTATAACTTATACTCTCAGCCTTCCAAATTTATTTTTTAACTGTAGTTATCTTTGCTTACTCTAAATTTCATACGACTCAGAATCTCATATGATTCTGACTCTGTTTAAAGAAAAATAGTGGTCTTTCTCATTTTTGTATATCTGCAATTTTCTATTGAAATTTAGTGGTCAGAAAAAATAAAAATTAAAATGGAAATTATTCTTTTCCTCTTACCTTTCATACTGCCAGTCAATTGGAATCAAGAAAAACAGAAATTTAAAGGCTACCAATCAGAAACACAGTTGTGCATCACATATTGGCTTTATATGGTTACAGTGATATTTTCATCTTTAGATTTGATTCCTGATATCTATCCCTCAGTTGTTCCACTGTTTATTGTGATATTTACCTGTTTCCTCTGTGATTTGATATTTGATATCTATCTCTGAGCTGTTACAATATTTAAAGGTCATAGGAAACGATTCTTAACATTAGGATTTCACTTTTTAAACCTAAAGCTATATATGAAAGAATGTTAAATTACGAGTAGTAATATTTTTTGGCCTTTGTTCTACTGAAAAATAAAGATGAAAACTTTTCCATTTGTTACTTTTCTTACCCGCTTATCGTTCTTGATTTTGTGGTTTTATGACGTCACAAGAGCCCACTGATGTAAACAGAGCATTAGACTAATGTATTTCTACCAAATTTTTATCTAGTTAATTTAAGCTATTTTTGTAAATATAAATGTGTCTATGTTTTCAAGTGAGTTATCTGATTTCGTAGTTCAGTCATTTCAGTTTGATCTAGTCGTTAATAAGGCACGGCAACTCAAAAACGGGGGCTTTTTATCGGATGATGATTCTGATGGATATCCTATATAAATTAAGCTTAAATTAAGCTACAACATTGATTACTTACTCTGCATCAAACCTTTAGAAACAAAAAAATATTTCCTTGTTTAATACACATATACGACATTTCAAAAGGATTCCATCATCATTTAAAAAAAGAAAGTCGTTTTTTATTCCAAGAAAAATTGCATAATGCAAAATAAAATAGAATAATTTATTAAAAGTGACCTTTTCTGATATGAATAAAAATTTTGATTAAGCTTATAATATTCTGTTAAAGAAAGAATATGACACTTATATGGGGAATATCCCTAATGTGAATCCCCAAAATAAACACGGGGCCGGTGGAATTGAAGTCCATGATAAACGTGAACCACTGAAAATGCCAGTGTCTTTGAAGTTTCGTTTTCCCCGATCCGAAACACACATATTGCTGTAAAAACGATATGGCAATAGAATCTCTGAGTTTATGACATGATCGTATTCTTCTATAAAAAAATATATATATAAAGAAGAAATGTTGAGCCCAGAGCAAATGAGATTGTTACGATGCCGATACTTTGTGCAGACACGGTTTGACTCTACAATATCGAATTTTGAAATAATCGGTATGTAGTAGTAAACAGTACAGTCCGTGATCAGTTTGCAAATCCATCCATCATTTGCGAGACTACAATTTTAATATTAATGTTCTTTTTAACAGATGATAAAACTTCTGAAATTATATCCTTTACAGAAAAAAAACATAAATATAATACACACTGGAAAAATAAACAGGTTTGTATACGATGATAAGTACTGATCTTTGATAAATATTTTAATAAATTGACTGGAAAGATACCTACCTTTTTCGTATTTTATGTATTAAATTTTACTAAATTAAAAAAAAATGTCGATTTCTAATTCATTCAATATCTACATTTGGTAGAATCCTTATTCTTCATAGAAATATTTCCACATGTTAGAGCTGCTTTTTTTTAAATGTCGTTTGTACTAACTCCCATATATACAAGTTTACGAATAGTTCTTGCCAGAGTTGTTTTTAACCCATCTGCAGTGTGTTTAAAAACGACACGATTATTTCAAGAACTTTCAATTACAAAAAGAAAGAAATAACAAGGGGGATGGGAGGGGGGCGCCTGAGATCGGGTATTGGTGGTGATGTTGTACATGAGTAAGTGAATATTAAGACATTGTCAAATGATAAGAATTGATTTAATTATATAAAACAGTAACACAAGAAATTTTTTTCTTGTTTTTTTTTTTAAAGTCATGTGGTACTTAACGCAGCAGGTACGTATCGTTTGTCAAGAAAAGTGTCATACTGACAGTGTTGGACTCTGTGTGAAAGTAAAACTATGTTGTAAATAAATGATTTCATAAAAACAACTGCCCTGGTTATGAAAAATGAATTCATTCTCACTCTCCCTTCTTTCTCTCTTCCGATTGCTTTATTTTTTCTCTCAATAGATCGAAGTGTCAAACGATGAAAATGATCACATTTTGATTGACAAAACATGCAAACATCTTGCAAATATGCAATGGAATTTTTAAAAAGAAATACTTGCTTGTTTGAAGATCGTATATTTATACTAGGTTTTAGCCATGATCATGATATTCTTTAAAATTAAGCTGCAAAATGACATGATAGTTTGTAAACATTGCATAGCTTTGAACAGTGATTGGGCCTTACTGACGTCATATGCTAAGGGAGATAAGCAATGTTAGTCAAAGTGAATTTTCACGACTGAGTAATTTTGATCGACTGTTCTGTAGCTATCTTGCGTAAAAAATCCAAAAAACAATTTCAGTCTTATTTTACCAGCTCATATGAACTTATTCCCATATGTAACTCAATATGTTCAGGTAATTGTCTCCTATGACCTTTAATTTTATTATATCTATTACCTCTGTGATTTGAATTCTGATATCTATCCCTGAACTGTTACAATTTTATGTTATAATATCTACAGCTGAATTTCAGTATTTCGAATACCAATTCTTGAATACTATGGATAAGTCAAAGTGATTTAGAAGTCTCAACCACTTATTCTTTAAGTATTTTACCCTCGATATTTTGAATCCTCAGACATCTCTCTGTTTTTCCTGGTCCTATCGAGTTTGAGATAACAAGATTTGACTGTATTTCCTCCATGACTTAATTCCTTTTATCAATCCCTGAACTGTTACACTGTTTACTCTGTCATTTACCTTTTCTTTTGATTTCTGATATCTATCCCTGAGGTAGTACACTGTTTACTGTGATATACACTTTTCTCCTCTTTGATTTGATATCTGATATCTATCCCTGAGCTAGTACACTATTCTATGTGATATTTACTTGTTTCCTCTGTGTTTTGATTTCTGATATATACTCCTGAACTAGTACACTTTTCACTGTGATGTTACCTTTTCCTGTGATTTGATATCTGATATCTATCCCTGAGCTAGTATGTTCTATGTGATATTTACTTGTTTCCTCTGTGTTTTGATTTCTGATATCAATCCCTGGAGATCTTTAAGCACTTGGCTCTGTGTGTTTTCTGCAATGACTTCATGTTGACCTGCAAGGTCATGCAGTTCCTTCAACATCTCCCAGAATTTGACAGCCCATGAGTACCTATAAATAAAGTTTATGATTATTGGGGTGTTAAATAATGTGTACATCATTTAGATACCCTTTCGTGAACACCTATGAAAATTTATAACTAACTCAAAGTGTCATGAAATATATTACATTCAGTAAAAAAAATCCTAACTTTTTAAGAAATGATAGGTCCTGGCTGCTACAGATGACCTCCCGTTAATTGCTTAATTTTAATTAATTTTTTGTGATAGCTGTTCTGACTTACTGTTGAAGTTCTTCTTCTTCTTTCTTTTTTGGCTGATAATTTTTGACTAGTCGTCTGAAAGAACAAAACCCTGAATTAAACATGACCGATAAACATTTGATTTGTATTCAATATTTATTTATTCCATAAACATGTTGATAACAAGGGAGAAAAATCTGCCAAATAGAAGAGCAGTCTTCATAAAAACTCACTAGCCTGATGTCTGAGGCTAGTTAAAACTGTTCCAGAAGTAAGCCCAATGGGCTAGTGAAACCAATAAACCATTCAGAAGACAAATACAGTAAAATATTGAACTGTTTAAATTTCCTATGCTGTCATTGTCATTATGACAGATATTATAAAGTGTTTTGGGTACGTATAAATATATCCCATACCTTCAGCCTTTAACAGTTCATAGGTGAAACGTGACACAGAAAAGCAGAAACACAGCAAAGGAAATACAGAAAGGAAATAATTTTAACATTTTATTTATATTTCTTTGGGCTACAGTAAAAATGTCATATCCATTAGCCCTATTGGTTAATGGCTTAAAAAAAGGATTGGAAGAAAACTGACAAACTGACTTTAAGATGATTGACAACAAGAAAGGTTTTAGTCTCTCAATTAGCTTAAATGATTAAAAGGTACTAGTAATCCACAATTATGTATTATAATAGACCAACTGAACTGGTAACAGAAATATCAACAATGTCCTGTCAATTAAATTCACCACAAGAAACAAAGTACGAAAATAAACAGGCTATTTTGACATACATCTACATGTCAAGTCACTCAAAACATATATATAGCCAATAGGAACATAAACAATGCACTTATGAAAATTCAGGTTCATTTCCCAGGCACTGGATACTAGCCATTGTAAATATTACACATAAAATGTAATTTTTTAATGGTTGTATCGTCAATGCAAAGTTGGTAAGCATAGGGCTTATAGTTATGTCCTGTTCACACGGAGAGTTTAATTCGAATTAAACGTAAATTACTGCGAATTAAATTTGATCCGCGTTCACACGGAGAATTTAATGCGAATTAGTTTAATTCGAATTAGTTTACTGCGCATTAAATTACTTCGCATTAGCTCCGTGTGAACGCTAAGCGAAGCTAATTCGAATTAAATTTTGACGCATGCGTAAGGGCAGAATTTAGTCTAAGACCACTTGTCGGTGGTCAGATATAGTAACTTGTGCTATTTTTGAGTGGAAAACAAAGGAAAATTATGTTAATCACTAAAATGTGTACAGACACTATGACATTATGTCAAATGTATATCTACTGTGCACAATATGACGTGATTTGTAAATGACGTCATAATAGCCTCACTGAATAGCCTTGTTGTAGAAATAAAATTGTAATTCGCATTAGTTTACTTCGCATTAGCTGTCGTGTGAACACAATTTAATTCGCATTAGTTTAATTCGCATCATTTTACTTCGCATTAATTTACTGCGAATTAAACTCTCCGTGTGAACAGGGCATTACTTTAGAATGAACCTGCTCAAAAAACTTTAACCTGGTCACTCATCCTGAAAATTTAGTTCAAATCCAGCATCCAAAGCAAGTCCAGTAGTGTGCATCCAGAATCCTTAGATGTATCATCCAAGCAAGTTTTGTCAACATAGGGCTTATAGTTACTTTAGAATGAATCTGCTCTAAAAACTTTAACCTGGTCACTCATCCAGAAAATGTAGGTCAGAACCAGCATCTGAAGCAAGTCCAGTAGTGTGCATCTTTATAGAGACCTGCTCCAAAACCCCTAACCTTCTCATTCTTTCAGAGTTTATGAAAACCATTGGTCCTAACTGAGAGAAGATCGAAATGTCTGATGCAATTCGCCATATTACTGGTCTGCATGACTGATTATTCTCTGTCTTAATAATCCTGAGATTTTTGTTGTTTCTGAAAAGTTTTGTCTTTATGTCATAATCTCAAAAAGGCTTTAGTGAGTACACTTTCCAATTTTCTTCTAAGAGTTTTTTTGTACTCTGGTCTACTGCGATGTCTAACAGACAATAGACAGACAGTCATGCCCATACTATGACAATACAGAAACAGTCTGAAAGCATTTGAAGGTTTGAAATATTTCCCATTAAGTTACAAAGGATATAGTGAGAAAATGAGCATTATGCCAATAAAAACACATAACCCTTACAAATGTGAAAGTTGTCTATTCTTCATATCAGAGGCTTAGAAAATACACACATATATCCTTTTGCTTTCAACAAAAACCTTTTTGCTATTTTGATTAGACCTTTATAGATAAAAGATGCATTCAACAAAATATCAAATACTAAAACTTTAAAACTGAATACAAGTTACACTGAAGCCTAATTTTAAAACTGATTGCTTGATTTTGCATATTACATGTACTTATAAAATATAATTATACACAAACCCCTTCTGCTTTTCTAATTGCTGTCTTAATCTGGAATAAGCAAGTCCAGACTACCAGGATCATGGAGCATTCTTAGACTAAAGTCAAAATTTCAGTCATTAATAAAATGAATATTTTTTTATTTTAAACTGACACTTGAAAATCAAAATTAACAACATGAAAGGGAAACATTTTTGTTTGTTTGTTTATTGTTTAACGTCCCTCTCCAGAATTTTTCACTCATATGGAGACGCCACCACTTGCCTGTGGAGAGCTGCAAATTTTGACCTATAATCGGCACTTATGGCCATTGAGCAGTGAAGGATCTTTTTCTTGCCAGCACCTACTGCGACACGGGGTCTCGGTTTATATGGTCTCATCCAAAGGACCGGTCTCCATGTCCCACAGTGAGATTCGAACCTGTGACATAAGGATCATCTCCTTACTCAGCGACTCTAGAGTGAATGCTCTAACCACTGCACCACATGGGCAAGAAATAGTTTTTAAAATCATTCCAAATTTTAAGTTTTTTGGAACAGTTTTTAAAATCACTCCAATTTTTAAGTTTTTTTTATGTAATAAAACTTGATGACTTTTAAATTTGGTTAAAACTGCTTCATGGTCCCAGGGCCAAGACATTAAGATGGAACAAAATTTGAAGCCCCAAAGCTTGCTTATATCAGTATATTTGACACTTGTAATGACTTACTTTAGATCACTGGCATATTTGAGTTCTATAGAACACCTGTCTTTGAGGAAGTGGGTGAATCTCTCGCAGAAATCGATGCCCTTCTGTGTGTGTGTGGCTATGGTGTCATACTGATCCTGTTAATTAAAACATTAACTAATTAAATTTTTAATTTACAGAGAGTAGTAAGTTACAGTTATCACCCACCTGTAAAGGTGCAAAGTTACAACTGCTCTTTTTTTCATTCAAAATTGTAACTGCATTACAAAAAATTAAAAAAAAAAAATCTTACCACTTAGAAACTTAACAGACGATAAAAAAGTTTTTCATGCTTATTTTTAGAGATCATAGTTTTATATGTGAAAACAATCTTGCTTGCTTTGACGCTATTTTTGGTTTCAATATATTTTTTTTTACTTGTCAGAATTTTGGAAAATTTTGCAATATTTCTCATGAATTACTTGTTATCCCTTCATCAAACCTGAAAAGAAGGGGGATACAAATGAAATATTTGAAGTGAGAGAGTGAAATGTTTACATAATCCTGCACAGTTGCCGGGGCATCAAGAGCAAGAAATGTTATACATTTCCTGGTATGATTAAATATGATGAGACATGTATCCATGGTGTCAGTTACACCAACTTACTATATCAATGTAACAGAGAGTCATCATTGATAGACATCCCTTTCCTTCATTACACAAAACCATTTGTGCCAGCATTATGAACAAGAAGGGCAAAGTGTAACTTGTCATAAGTGTGCCACATTTTTGTATATATTTGTGCTCTGTACCATACACATTGTTGTACATTGTGCAACACTCGCACAAGGACCAAAACACCTTCCTCAATCATCTCATACAAAATGATTGGGGCACTGATTTTCAAGATCTTCAAGTCTATTATAAAGGAAGTAACCATTCAAACTGTACTTATTAGAACTCAAGAACAATCATTGTCTATTATTCATTTCCTTCTAGCAAAGAATCTTAGCCAAGCCTATATATTTTGGCATGTGAACTGTATGGTACCAGACTCATTTTACATATATGCAGGGCTGTCCCTAAGAATTGAAATAGAAGGGGACATTTAAAAAGTAGAAGGGGAACTGGGGTTCCTCCCTTAATGGGGAGTTTAGGAGGAATACTGAAATAACTGGGGGAGGGAGGGGGGTGTTACATCATTATAGGTGGGGAAATTCCTGAATCCCCCAGGTCTTAGAGACAACCCTGTATTTGATTATCTTAGTTAAGAGGTTTTAAAAGATCTAGCTATGAAAGATACCTGAAGTAAATTGTGTTGTCAAAATTCTCATGAACAAGGTTTTGCAATGTTGGGAATTAATAATGAAATATTAAAAAAAAAAAATGTCCGGGTGTACATCCAAATCAATATACAATAAAAGTAACAGGTGGACTAAGTTCAGTGTACATAAAATGTCATGTTAGTTATTACATATCAATATAAATCTAACTATTAAACACATGCTTACACTAAGGAAATAAACTCTGTCCTTAAAATTTAAAATAAACATATTGTTTTTATCATATTGATAGTTCCTTCCTTCCTTGTGATTGAATATAGTGAAGAACCTAATGGAGGGATTTTATATACTTAATACAAACTTCTTTTTCATTGACAATTGTTTTCATTTTTTTTTATATCCTACAAAGGAAGTTTATTTTTCTAGGCACAAGTTCCTGTATACTTTATAATCTGTTAAAAAAAAAAACAAAAAAAAACAAAAACAAAAAACCTTGCCTCCAATGCATAACCAACACAAACAAACACATTAAGGTGGTACCAAGTTCATACTGGCTTTGACATTTTTTCATACAGCACTGAATTTCATTAGTTAGGTCTGATGGGTAGCATGCAGGAATTAAGAGCCACATTAAAATGGTCGTTCAGTCGAGTTTATCACAGAAACAGAGCAAGTACTTTATGGTATTCTCTGCTTGCTTTAAATCATTCCATCAACTGCAACCATGGTCTTTATCGTGGTGCTTTTCTAACCAGTGATAATGTATCTGATCTTTGTCTTCCTACAGTTGACCTGTAGCTTGTACTGCAGACAGGACAACACACTTTTGGACAGAGATAACGAGACATTCAAGTGACAAGTAATAGTTTACAAAGAGCTTATTTCCCAGAGAGTTATGAAGTAAACAACCCAATAAATCCAGCCATAATTCCAACAGTTACATGTAAAGGATGGGGTCCTTTGATTCTAAGAGTTTTAAAAATGTTAAGTATGGGGACCTTTGATTCTAACAGTTACATGTAAAGGATGGGGTCCTTTGATTCTAAGAGTTACATGTAAAGTATGGGGACCTTTGATTCTAACAGTTTCATGTATAGTATGGGGTTCTTTGATAATAACAGCTGACCATACCAACCCAAGCAAACAGATGCAGGTCATTTGATACAGTTGATGAAATGTCAGACACAGATGGTAAGTCTGTGATTAACCTTCAGACAAAGGGGAAATGAGAAAGATTCATACTAAAATCATACTATACAACAAACATTTCTGCACTCTTTTTTTTTTTTTTGATGCACTAACTTTTTCAAATCTCTAAATATCAATTCCATCACTGATTGAGTTAAATGCAGAAACAAACATTATGCATAAAATGAATGACTACTCAGTTTATCAAAATACTGCTTATCAAAAATAATCGTTAATTAATATCACAAAATTTTCTGGCATATATTCCAAAGAAAATTCCAGCATGATAAAATGTATTTCTCAACAGAGAAGAAGACAAGAAAAAGCTATTTTCTTTACCACAAACCAGAAACTCCCTGACGTACACAAAAACAGTCGAGTGTGACGTAAAGCGATTTTGTGATTTCTGTATCTTGTTGCACTATAAAAGTCTTGAGCTTCCAAGAAGTGCATCTACCAAATTATCTGAGCCCTATCTATCTTGCTTGAAAGCCTAAAAAAGCAAATCATCTTTATATCAGTGATGGCAGCTAGAACTGAGTCTGTAAAATGACAGTTATCTTCCAGGGGCTAAAAACTGGTGTACTTGCTTCTTTCATTTAAGATTAAAAAACAATTAAATTCAAATTAATACAGTACTGTTGATGCTCTTCCTCCAGAATTTGTTGAAAATCAGAGAGAAACATGATCTAGAGGTACTTTGACTTGAAATATGAACATGCCATGTTTTTAACCAGAAAACATGTAAATGTCATCCAATATAATTAAGTCATGTGATACAAGCCTCCACCTCTTTAAGCAAAGTTAATGAGGTCTTCAAAGCATAAACTACACAGCATGTGTGTGACTGAAGTGCATGAAGTCAAGATTTGACCTTGAAAAGCCTAAGGACCAAGTCTGATTGATACAAAATACCACACTCTGTACTAATTATGTCAGTGTTATTAGAAGTTTCTGGTACAACATGTGTTTTATGGGTATAGAGAGATATTAAAGTGACACCATCGTCATACAAGCTATCATTTCCAAGAGAGTCATCCAAATCATACAACCATGCTGAATTTACATATTATGTAGCCATTATCATGGAAACTTATATTACAACCTGTGTAACTCTACTCCTTTACCCCCAGTCAGGTTCTGTATTAAAAAAATACCATACTGTGTAAATTATTCACAAAATTGTCCATTATATGCTTATTTCATGCACTTTATATTTGTCATAATGCCAAAAAATAAACATTTGGTTTCATTTACTGAGGAGAAGGAAATGTTTTCTTATTTTTTCTTATCAAATACAGAAAATATATTAAGTTAATAAACTTGATCGTTATCATAAAACACAGAAAACATGTGTTGGAATTTTTCAACATTTTGATATACATGGTGATTCAAAAAGAAAACGGAAAATGAAATACAGTGTTCTAGTCTGAATCTCACATTCCAAAAATACCAGACATATTTTAGTAATAATCATGCTTTGCTGCCTGCAGAAAATTTTTTGATCAATTTTCAGACATTTAAAGGTGCTTGGACACAGATTTGAAGTTAATATTTTCTCAAATTTTCTGTATAATTTCATGACTTATATGTTGCTATAGCATTTCATACTAAAATATAATAAAAATCTTATTTCATCTCCAAGTTATTGAAACTTCAAATTTCTGGACGCGTTTGATTGACACATCCTTGCACTTTCACAAATTTTAATTTTATTCTTAATACTTAAGAAAAGTGGCAATTTTGTTGTGTATTAATGAAAAATATTAAAACTATAATCCAGAAAATTCAGAGTAGAAATGTTCGAAAGCAAAACCCACTCACAGTATTGTCAGTCCGTGCTCAGTGGTGTGTGCAGACTTTAACAATTGAACACACCCGGTGAATCGTAAACATTAACAATAACAGAGCTCGTGCCCTGTTTACAAAAACAGTTTATGTTTCACGGGTGTATTCAATTTGTTAAACTCTGTATAGAACACTGAGCACGGACTGACGATATTAGTGAGGGGGTTTGCTTTCGCACATTTCTACTCTGAATTTTTCTGGATTATAGATATAACGTTTTTCATTAATACACATCAAAATCGCTTCTTTTCTTAAATATTAAGGATAAAAATAAAATTTGTGACAGTGCAAGGATGAGTTAATCAAACGCGTCCAGGAATTCGAAGTTCCAATAATTTCCAGATAAAATAAGTTTTTAATTATATTTTCGCGTGAAATGCTATTGCAATATGTAAGTCGTGATATTATACAGAAAATTTGAGAAAATATTAACTTCAAATCTGTGTCTATATAAGCACCTTTAAGGAAGCTCTAAACACTGCACACTAAAGAGTTCTATTTGTAGGGTAGTTTTATTGAGTTAGAGTGATCTGCCCTGAGATGAAAAATAGAATAAATGGGAATCTACAGCTAATGACACAATTTCTTATGAATTAAAGTATTCTTAATGTTATTTTAGACCAAGATTAAGTAATTGAATACATTATTTCCATTAATTTTCCCGATGCACGTAAACAACAGTGATTTCTGTTCACAAATAGTTCATGGTCTTTGAACATTTTTTCTGCAGAAATAAGGCGGGCATCCTATGTTGAAAATGAATTAGATACACTGAATATGTGTACCTTTATACGATATATTTTTCTCAAAGTCCAAAAAGCATTTTTCATTAGTGTTT